AACTTCATGTTTATATAATCTTTGTTGCTATGGTAACCAGATCGTGTAAATTTAAAAAATCGCGCCATAGTCCCATCACGAGAAATGGCCATCAGGATGTTGGGCACGTTTATTTATTGATATACGGTAGATGCGCCGGGCGAATACAAATAGGAGCACGATGTATCAAATGAGAAATCACTTATTGATGTTACTAATAGATGGAATCAATGGAATCCTTGATAGTTGACAACATCTAACGAGAATGTATTAATAAATAGAGAAATTATGAAATTTAATTACATATTTATTCGAATTGAAAGTATAATTGTGTATAAATGATATATGAGAAATTAAATTCTATATTGAAAGTCTAGGTAATAACTGAAAACCTTGAACAAGCAAAGCAAAAGAGAGAAATTGAAAGAAAACTAAGTTTTAAAAGTTAGTTAGGCTCACGCGGCAACATCAAAGTCGAAACTTTTTCACATCTTCATTTTTATTTTTCAGCATTCTTTCTTTTTCATTTAGACTCTGGATTATATTTTAAATTGACTCTTTCTCCGCCCCGCAAACCTGGCTCCACGCCAAGGCCAACTCTATCGTTGTAGCCTATCACCATAATGTCCTCATTCTTAGGATATCATTCTTCCTCCGAACTTGCCGATTACTTATCCGTGATACCAAACATCTGGGCTTCATCTAATAGCTACTTAACAATTTCAACAAAAACCCAGTACTTTGTTAGTAACAATAACAAAAAAAAAATCACAAAAAAACATGTAGTTTTGATAAAGAAAATGGTGGAGAACAGCAGCTACAAAATACAAAAAAAAATCGGTCGTACAGATTGGCATCGTCATGCGGCGCTTCATTCTCATCTAGATTAGGTTGTATGCATTCGATGCAACTTTATGTGTGCATTTCGGGTCTGTTTATTGCACTCCAGTTGTGCTGAGTGATATCTCAAGCATCGCAAACTGCAACTGCGAAATACCGGTTCGGTTATCTTTCGCTTTGATAAGTTTCAGACTACTGCTTGTGCGGTCGTCGCCGCAAAACCATTTCCATTCGAAATTCCCTCTAGCATTCATCCACAAGATCTCGTAATGAAAGACCTCGGAGGATAGATAGATCGAGGCCTTAAAACACATCAAACGGAAAATCAATCTCCAATCTGCAATATATGCGCGTTCGTGAAAAAGTCTTAATTTTCAGTTCCCTACGTTTTTTTTTTTGGTACTTTTATTGGGCCATTACTAGATGCCTGAGTTTTAAATCGGAAATTCACGAACATATTAAAAGGCAATTTAAGGTAATCTTCACAAATCCCAATTGAATTCTATAAAATAATGTTGGCAATATGTTATTAAACATATGCGCTTAACTAACGACTTTTTAAACATTCCATTGGCATATAATTTTAATTTCATTTCTCTCGCACGCTCGATAAACAGTTTTCGTTGTCTCGGATAAAGCGAACGCTTCTGCATATAGCAACACCCCTTTTTTCCTCGATTCTTTTGTCCCGTTCCTTCGCCTACTGACACCGAAATTCACTTAAATTTATGTTTGCCGCCCCCGCAGACGCTTCCACAGCCACCTCCTCCATACAACTGCGCATATATAATGAACGCAATTCCAAACCCCATCCCTCTCTAAAAGCCAGGCGGCGTTAATCCAGACTCCCCCATCACCCCTGCAAAACAAAACTTAATCTCTCCAGATAGCGCGATGCTAATTTTAATGAATTCCATCTAAGTTGTCTGCACTGCAGACGTTACATTATGCAGTGTTACCAATTCCAAACGATCGACTTAAATCAACGTCACAATATTAACAGAAAAACCAGACGCGCGAATCAAACGTAAAACTCATTTAAAAAAAGAGAAAGCATTTAATCTCTTTTTCGGAACTCATCAATATAGAACGGATTAAGAGGAATATAGTGTGCGGCGTGTTCTTTTTGCGCTAAATTAAATTTGGTTTTATGGAGTTCCGGATTTCGACGTGTCACCGCGTTACCAACTGTTAAATTGTTACATGATTTGCTCATAAAAAGTGACTTATTAAATCATATAGTTAATTAAATTATGTCATTTTATAAAGTATTGATAAAGTATTTTTTTAAAACAAAAAATATTTCAAAACTTTGTTGGAATATATTTGAGAATCGATTGGATAGAAAACTCAGTTTATATTGAACGCTTTATATTGTTACTAATTGAATCAATTGCGAAGTTTGCTGCAACTTTATGCAAAAGTTTCGATTGGAAACCTGACTGTAAACTGATGACAGTTTTACTTTTTATCGTCTGCGATGATTTTTATGGAGGTGATGCAAATGGAATCGTCGAATAAATCGGTATTATCTGGACATTAAAAGCAGGTCGCTAGCATCGGGCACCACCCGAAACTGAAACCGTTCCGAGTCTAGTTTATGTCACTGCGGGGGCGGCTGTAGATTTGGAGGCGGTGTTGGAGAAGGACGCCGTTTTTGGGCAAGGCTAACCGTGACGCAAACCGCAAACATCGATACGATTTTGACACTTTACATGCAAAATGAATGAGCGAATGAATGCGAAAAAAGAACAGTAGTAGCATCAAGGAACGTACAAACTGCGGAATAAAAATAGAAGAGGGGGCGACCGCAGACTTTCATCCACTTAATGTACTCCATAATTCTTTATGCTTTACAGACGATTCACGTGCCAAACTTGATCGAAATTTCCTCAAGTACGAACACATGCTGAGATCCTGAATTTAGGTGATGCGCGTGATAAAGGTTCTTGGAACAAAGGACGACCGTGTAAATCAACTCGGCACAAAAGCATAATCGAATTTTTACAACACTCGGCGAAATCCTTGAAGATATATACGAGTTATGAGCAGCAGAATAAAAACGTACATTGTTTAGTCCCAATGTACACGGAAAAGTATTAGTACAAAAAAACGGCTGATTAAAAAAAATAATTTTACGAAAGATTTATGAAGATTGGATCGCAAACTTAATTATAACGCGATATCAAAACAAATTGAAATATTTAAAAAAAAATATGAGCATAAAGCGAAAAGATGATTTATGATCGATGAAATTTGAAACAAACTGATGTGCATACTTACAAACAAACATACAATTTTAGTTGCATACAATTAATGATGCAGAATGCATCTAGAAACGCAAACGTAATTATGTAAACACGAACTTCTGTTCACAAAACGTTATCCACTGGTGTATACGGATGCAAAAGAAAAACGAAATCGTTGTGGAAAATGATTTCTGTGAAATATTGCGACAACATCAATTCCGAGGCCAATTCGCGAAAGTTAACACTTTTATTTGTTTATTTTTTCCTCCTCTCCATCGTTTTTCCGTGCATCAGCCCTTTAACATTTCCAGCCAATATTTTCGATTGACGATTGATGTTTACACACTAAGCACAAGCGAGAAGGTAAATAAATAAAACGTCGATTTGCTATGAAGCAAATAACAGGGGTCGAAAGGGGATGAACAGAAAGTAGTCCAAGGCAGTAAGGTCAGGGGAGAAGACAAAATACTTTCGCCAAAAACGATCCCATCTATATGCTAAACACTCCATCCCCCTCCAATCCACAAAAACCGCACACTCTATATAGGTACCTAGCAAAGTGCGCAATACAAATTGTGGTAGGGTGCTTAATTTAATCCCGACTTAATCGTTTTAAAATGAGAATTGGATTAATCTGTCCGTTGCAATTTTACGCTAAAATCCGCAAGTGATGTTGAAGAAGAATTTAAAAAATGCACGCCCGATATGACCTTAAGTGCGGTGGAGGCTGTGGACAGGCGCAGACCACGGCGTGGACATACCAATTAGTGGATTGATTCAGCCCCGAAAACAAACACAATATACACACATACCCTCTGCACCTGCAGTAATTGCAGGTTCGGACCAGCGCCATTCCGATTATCAAGGATAATTTAGAATATAAACCCCGGGACCTACGAATGTCTCCAGAGCCCACGAATTATACACAAGATTAACACAATTAATTAACTCGATGGATTAAGCAACTAATCATAGCGAATATTAATTGCTTAATCTACCAGTAAATAAGCAAAATAAAATAATTGCAACTTCCAAAGAAAAAGTAATCTCAATTAATGAAAACACATAAACCGTCATTTTACATCTCTTTCATCGCTTTCTTTGCTATGCATTTATTAATACAATTGATATAAAATTGATTAAAATATTATAAAATTAATATATTTATTAATATATATGAAAACTTGAATTTAACGAATTATAAAAAGCGAGTTTACAATAAATAGTTTAATTGTAAACTAAACTGATGTTTGAAATGTTCATATAAATTTATAAAGATAATTACAGATTTGGTAAAAAACGTGACCTACAGAACTACAAAACAAACAAACGGAGATAAATAATCGAATGAGCATCATCGGATGTTGTGAAAGGAAATTACTAAAGTTTGAAATGGTTTCCTTTTTTGTGGCGGTGGCGGTATTAAATTTGCAATTTCTTGTGCAAACGTTCGGATTTAATTGAAGGAGAACGTTATTTGTCCGTTCGGAAGATGTGGAGGAACCGAGGGAGTGGCACGTTTTTAATAAATCGCGCGATCCAATTAAAGAGCCGAAAGAATGCGAAACCTCCAACCAACGGCATATGCGTTGTTTGCAGAAAAATAAACGAATAAAAAAATACACCGTCAGAGTTTTGGTTGGTTCGAAGGCTTTTCCTCTTCTCGTTCCTTACATAAATATTTTCCTTTTCGCTATTATGAAAGCCAAACACATATTTTCCAAACGGATTAACGGCCTCGCTTACTGAACGTTAAAGTTAAAGACAAAGTTTATGGGTCATTTAAAGAGAGCTTCGCTAAGAAAAGTTGTATATCTATATAGTATAAATCTCGTTCAATACTTTATTTTCATTTTGTTTTGTTTGTGCACTGCAGCTCTAATCGTCAATTATAAGCGGAAATTAAGGTATAATGATGGTGATTTGTTTCAGGATCCGCGGTGGCTATGATCGGGGCGAACCTCAGGTTCGGCAGCAGCGCAGCAAACGCTTCTCTGAACGCAACGAAGGTGTTCCAGTGCCATCCAGGAGGAACGGCAGAGGCTGTTCTGATCTTTGCGTTGGGTTCTCTCGGCATGGGTGCCAACCTAGCCCTGATGGGCATCATTCTCGCCAACAGGCAACTCAGAAGGTAATCAAGATAATCATTGTTTGGACACTTTGTAAGATGCACGCTGTTCGAAACAATGAACGGTCAACTTTTCCGCTTAGCGATTTGCTATATTTGTTGAGATGGATGCGACGGCCGTTCATGATACATATGGAACTCGGTGGAGTTTAATTTAGTTAATTCGCGTCACGGAACTGGACGGATGATGAAGGGCAGAAAGTTGCTACTCGGGAAAAAGTTTACTCGTTTTTTTTTCCTCGGCAAATGTCCGTATTTTTCCACCCTTCTTCGTGAAATCCATTTGACAAACAAATGCATCATCGGGGACTGGCGATTAAGGGAGAGGAAGTTTCGGGGGGATGTCGCGAATCATTCTTACCGATGCGAAATGTGTACACACATCTCCGACGAGATGGCAATCTCTATAATAACGCATGTGCAGAGCCAAATGTCCCAAATGGGTGTAACGAAGGGTTTTTGGTGACCCCCTGTCCACCCAATTGAGAATTTGGAGAGGGTGGCAGAGAAATGTACTAAAAAATAAGCTAAATTAGATAAATCCCGTCATTGCTGATTCGTCCCATATTCTTTTCCGTTCGCTCCATTTCAATTCATTTGTTTTTCTCTATTTCCATCGCCCACTAGAACATTGATTCTCAATCATCAAATAAACTATTGATTTACAATCTTCATACGATAACAACTTACATAAGTTCGATTAATTCACATCTTACGTAACAAAAAAAAATACTTTAACCAAATTCAGATATTGTAATATAATAATTTATATAGAATTTAGCGACCGAAGTAACTCACATGAATGAATCAAGTAAAATTTACAAATTGAACAGTTCTATTATTATATAGTTTTAAAATATCACAAAATTTTATTCAATGTTATAAACACCATGACATCCACCCTGATTAGATATCACAGTATTCGTGTCGCCGATGACGAAGGTTGTTGTTTTCCTCTACGATGGAAAACGAAAATAATTAATGGATACAGTGGGTATTGTGCGGCTCGGCCGAAGGGAAGGGATGAAATTACCCTTAGTAATCTTTTGTTTCGGCCGTCGTTTGGGCGGCCGGCCTGCCACGATTTGAAAAGCATAAACATGCTTTACATATAAATTACGAAAGCCTTAAGGAATCGTGGTACGGCAAATTAAAGAAGAACACGCGCACGTGCGTACACGCATCCGTCGAGGATCCTGCTGAACCTTCATCCTGAGTTTTTCATTTCTCCCGGTGTTTAATTCCACGGGGCCGGAGGGGAATTAAATTTCACAAGTTTATATCAAGGTACGTGTATAACCGTCCCTTTAATGACCCTGTATATATACTCATGGGGATTAGTAAGAAGAGGGCACAAAGGGGGGAGTATCAAATTAAATAGTTGTAACCACACTTCCTAATTGCAAAACCATAAAATGTTGGGAACACGAAACGAGTGGTCCTAACATTTTATGTTGCCTTTGTAATACTTTTTGCAGTTTCAATTTAAAATTAGCAAGAAAATGCAAGTTGATCAATAAAGAGTGCATCTCTTTCTTCCATTGTTTATCAAAAGTTTGAAGTAACTGTCCTTTATTCTCCAGTTTAAAGAATCAAAGAATCCCGTTGCTTGCGAATAATTTGCAATAAAATAAACAAAACCTTTAAAACAAAGTCATGAAACTAAATTATCTAAAATGTCTTATTTTCCCTATTATTCTATAATATTTTTAAAGCTTCACTGATAATGCAAATAAATTTGATTATTTGTTTATTTCATAAAATGTTTATATTTGGTCCTTTTTAAATATATTTTTTAATAATCTCAAGCGGTACATTTTGATCAAAGGCGAATCTCGCATTGAAATATTCAAATGTCGCAAACTCTCCAAAGTTAGTTCTAAATCTGTGCGTGCGGTCTTAATAATATATAAATCATTCACAGGAAAGTCCTAAATTAAAAATCCAATTAAACTTGGAACTGGTGGACGGCAGTGAATCAAAAGCGACAGAACTTGAAAAAAACAGGATAAATTTTTCATCGGCTCTTGGAAAACTTTCGCTAAATAAATAAAACGTCTTCAAGATTTATTTCCGTGCGACCTGCATCCACTTTGGGAAACGTTTCACCTGTTTGTTCGGAAAAATGTGGAAACGGGTGAAAGCGGTGTACGTTTCGAGTCGAGGAAAAGGCGAGAGAGAAAAACGAAGAAGAAAAAACGTAAAACAAGAGAATATAGGGTGGAAATTTTATCGCCTCGCTCGCTTCATTCTGGGCTCACCCCGTACCGGACAAAACCGAATCGGCCCTTTTAATGTCGAGTCCTTGGCAAATTTACCAAGCCCTTATCGCCGCTCTCACATAACACACACGCACTCCCACTTTGGTCTTAAAATTACGGCAAGAACAAGACCCGCCGCCGAAAGCAAACTCGATTCGGCGCTTTTTTTATTGTACGTGTAATAAGTTTGACGCGGCAAAAAAAGAGAGAGAACACATACACATTCTCACATGGATAAAGAAGGTACGAGTAATTTGGGGGCGGAATGGATTTTTTTCTCCAGGATCGCAATAAAAAAAAAAGAAGTCTACCGCAATTATCTGGACGCAAGGGTTTTAGTATGTTTACGATCTAAACGAATTGCGATGCTAATACATGAAAAAAATGCAGAAGTCTAGAAGAGGCAATATATAATCAATATATAAAAAAACGCAGACACATAAAACTACTTGATTTATGAATACCCCAAATAACTAATCAAGATGACGACAATGAACATTTGAGATTATCAAAAAAAATAACAAAATAAACAAGACACCAACAACGATATATCCATTCAATTAATCTTTTTTACCAAAAATAAAGTGTTGATTGATAGTAAAATTTATGTTGCCGGACTGCGCATAATAATGCAAAGTTGTCCTTAATCATGATTTATTTACTTTTAGCTAAAAACCATGTTCTTCTCTAAATATGAAAGATTACTGTAAAAAAGCGTTAAAGTACGAGTTTATAATTTACTTTGTTAGGACTGGCGTTAATTAGGTCGAGTGATGTAATTATGAAATACGAGATGGGGGCGAGCGAAAAATAATAATAAAAAAGAAATAAATATTATGAAAACTGCGGAATTTCCGGTGAAAAGTAAAGCGCACTGTCAGAGCTGCAGGACGTGTGCATGTAATTCTCGAACAGCAACGAATTTTAGAAACTTCAAAACATCCGAAAGCGAAAAATACACTCGACAACTTTATAATATAATAATTAATCGCGTTCCGAGCCGGAATGGAACCTGTGGCTGTTTCATAATTACGAAAATTAAAACACAATTTTCATGCAGATTTCACCAGGTGTTGCTATCAAAAATGCAGATGACGCTGAGTGCAAAATAATACCAAATAACAACTGTATTCTACAGATATCTTGAAGATTATTTATTATGGAAATGCGTGTATCGTTAAAATTTCGTACTTTAGCGAATCGTTCTCGGTTCGCAGCAAAATATGATTTTGAATCCGAAATCGATTCGGTTATAGAGGATATGACGTGGCGATCATTAATCAAATGCCGCTCGGAAAGCTCAGAGCTTAAGACGTGGAGCTCCGAAGAAAATCGGGAGGATTATCGATTACGCAATTACAAGATTCATAAGATCTCCTCTTTGAGATGGAAGGATCGAGCAAAAATTAAAAGAGGAAACAGGGGAGAACGTGTTTAATTAATTACTATAAGATGAGTTTTATGAAATTCGGTAAACACACCGAAAAGATTAAATTTAAAAGTGTAAACTTGTTCTATTTATGTTGTTTTCTTCATACAAAGTCGATTTTAAATTATTCAACGTCGAGTTTCTTAAGCACTTTGTTCGATAGTATTGAAATATTTGTTTCAAATACATACAAAAAATCCCTACGTTGGCCATCAATTTTAATCATGATGTTTAAGTCCTTTTAATAAATTAATTGAAGTAAACCGAAGTAATCAAGAAAATGATTCATTTTAGAATAAAATATTAGATTCAAATGATTGATGATTCAAATACAAATAATAATAACAAATATAAAGTTATCAAGATAAAAATGAAAATTAGACAACTTAAAGAATAAATATTAAATTTTGTGAAAATCAATATTTGTTGACCAGTTTTTCTGGTTTTACTTTTCCTAGATAGTAGATAAGTAAGACAATTTAGTTAAGTTTTTTTCGATAGATTGATACAAGCTATTACGTTCGATAAATGTAGTCAAAGTGAGCAATATTTGATAGATAGGCTCAACTATTTAGTTTCGTGTATCAAATAAAATAGATAGGTTCAAATTTCTACCTTTTATCTTAATAATTCCATCTCAATAATCATAGATTAACTTTCAAAGTTATCATTTTATTTTTATTTCTTGGGCAAAACGCTCAGTTTGACTTTTAAATGAACAATGACGATTGCAAAATCCGAAATAGAATATATCAGAATACATTACAGCCTCTAGAGCTTTACCATACCAGCCCTGACCTCAATGAAGAAGTCCCAAACGAATAAAGAATGGCAACTCGTAAAGAGAGCAAGAAAAATGTAAATAAATTGCGGAATAAAGGAAGCGCTCACGTACAGGAAAAAGAAATAACTACAATCGCGATCCATTTTCTCGTGTGCATGTGTTTGTATATAAAATATGTTATTTTTTCATCATCCCGCGCGTCGTTGGAAAGATATGTCGCGACGACGACGGTAAGTGGATGGAAACGTTACTCGTTTTCCTTTCGCCTAGTTCCTATTTTATTTATTTGTTTTTATTTTGAAATGGCTCTCGCCGAGAAAAAATAAAATGAAAGGGAAATTCGGTACGAGGCGAGATGAATTCATTTCGGCATAGATGGAAAGAAAGACATCTGGTGATGAAGGAAGAGTAGGAGGCATACGCAAATCGCATACAAATCCAAACACACGCTGAGCGAGTGAGGACGCCCTTTTGGCCTCTCTCCGATCCTCATCTTCCGAAAGAGGCCAATGTTATTCGCGAGGTTGATCGATATTCCTAGAGCTTTTGATTGACGAAAAATGTGCATTATCCACATACAAATAAATATATGCAATATAAATCGCTGTAGAGTTATTGGAAAAGAAGGATTCGCGATCGAATCAAACTCGTAAAGAGGTATGAAGATTCGGATTGAGGAAAGTGGATATTCGACGCGTATTTGATTGTGCTGTCGACAATATTGTTTCAGCCTCGGACAGTTGCAACGAATCAATAGGTAGCAAACCGCTGTATAATTAAATACAAGCGTGCACATGAATCGGTGCATCCTATCTAGTCAATGCTCCAGAAAACTGAAGGAGACATCACAAATCGATCTATCATAGACGTGAAAATGCGTAACCAAACCAATAGACAAAGTTTGAAGTTTCAGATTTTCTTGAAAAATATTCTATTATTAAAAAAAAATTGCAATGACCATCACTGAAACAAGATCTTGTACTATTTCAGATGGTCACAAGGATTGCTGTTTCATCAGGGGGCTGTGGATTGCGCGAGGGCGGCGCTTTTGCTACCCCTGGGCATGTCCATATTGCACTGTCAACCGGTGAACAAATGCTCATTGGTGGAAACGGCTTTCCTACTCTTGGTAACCGTGGCTACCGTCAACATGCTGACGACGGTGCTGAACGACTCTCCGATATTTCCCGAAGACGAAAACGACGCCGACGACATGACAGACGCCCCATTGCTCATGGACTCGCCACAGTGCGTCCTCTTCGGCACCTTCATGATCTGGTTCGCCTCGATCACCATCAACCTAGGCCCCACATTTCTTTCAGGTTAACCCATATAGTTGTTTTTAGATTTATCCATTCGTTAATCTAAACTACTTAAAATCAACAGATTCATAACAATGTCTACAATATTGTTCCTAAAATTATTTATCAAATTAAGAACAGTGAAATTTACTTAATTCGACAAAATGCTAGTTTGTTCTATATCAAATTAAGAGAGGCTTTTGAAACAAAAACAATTAAATTCCCAATTGAAACTTTTGTCATCTACAGGTGCATTGGCGGCGCAAGGCGAACCGGGTCACAGAGCCCCATCCTGTCCACTAATCCACGGTCCTCTAAGACACTACATACTTAACGCCCTGTGGATAGCCGTGAATCTGGTGTGCGTTCTGCTGACGCTCTTCCATTTGCGCAAACTACATCGCGATCTGACCAAAGCCAACGTAGAGGCAGTGAGAGTCGCCGGACTCGTTACGACTCTGGTCAATGTAACCGGAGCTGGCGGAAGGCCCGGAACGCCCAACATGAACGGCGAAAGAGTAAGCGTACCGCCCCAACTAAACATTTGTAAATACTAATTCGAAATGGGTCATGTACAAACAATAAATGTTAAATATTATCACAATTAAAATCTTATCACCCTAAATCAGTAATAATATTTAATGTTCGTTAAATGTAATGTACTTTTGAGATTAATTTGATCTTATGGATGGATAAAGGATTCGAAATATTAAGCCATAATTAAACACGTAAACAGGAACAAGTGTATAAATGCAGAAACTACCAAGATCACTGAAAGTTGGGTTGCAGGAAGGAGGCAATTCATTTTAGGGTATATCGAGGCAAAACATTTCGCTTCAAAACGATCTCTGGGAAATTCATAAAAAAAAGAAAATTTGAGTAGGAAATCCCCCTCACCACCTTTATGCAGTGCGGAACTGTTAATTAATATCCCGATTCGCCCATTTGTGCAGGTGAGCGGCGCCCTCGAAGAGCACAGGAGGATGAGGGAGTATCTGAACCGGATGGAGCGCGACGGGGTGCAGAGGGTGAAGATGTTCCTGGTGATCACCGCCGCCTATGTCCTGTTCTGGGGACCGCTATTCTTCGTCACCCTCGTCAACCACCCGATTGTCGGAAACGCGCTCGGTCACGAGGCAAGTATGCAAATGCGCACGATAATTCGATTGGAATCGTTACATATTCATACGTCGACCAATCCCGCCAATTCACTGCCACCCGCACTCCTCTCCAACGGGGAGAGGGTCAAACTGCACTAAAACGGATATGCAGATGAAATTGCTGACTCGTGCGGCCATGAAAATGTCATCTTCGAACTAAATTCTAAGAACTAACATCAATGAAATTATTCAGTGTTCTAGCAATCAATTTACTTCGAAATTCGTAATCGCATTGAAAATATTAAAATTTTGTTGGGCTTTCGCAGATAACACTGCACATATCATACGTCCACGCGATAGTGAATCCGACACTGTTCCTGCTGCTGCACCGGGGCCTGAGGAAGGCCACCATCGACTTGTGCTGCGGATGGTTACCATCATGGTTGACAAACCACAGCGTTCCGCCGCCGCCGAACCCGCCACGCGCCGACATATCACTACTGAAAACGCCGCTTCCGGTGCCGGCCCAACCTGATAGCTCTATGGTAATTAAATATTATATGTAAGTGGTGTGCACACAGCATGATTATATTTCTACAAAATTTTACCTAGTCCTTTCGAACTCTTAAATATTAATAAGAACCAAACCAATTGCACACGCAACTAAATAATAACAAAATTAATTTAAACAAAATTTAACAATACGGAGCGGGGCTTCCTTTTAATCAATATGGGCGGGGGTTCGAATGAGGTGGGTGGGGCATGTCGAAAATTATGTGTGTTTTCTTCTGTCTGTGCTTGCAGGGAGACACCGATATGAACATTTGGATACCGGAAACGCCGCCGATGAATGGCGGCGTTTTAATACCGCACTACACCAGCCCGGAAGTGGCGCCAACATCGCCGGCGGAGAGCGATTAGCCCGAGTGGGACCGATCCACAAAAATCTAAAAAGAAATGTTTCGAGTGACATTTTTTTTATGTTTTACACGGAACTTGTTCCTCTTGTGGTTCGGACCCAACACGGAAATTGATCGATTTCAAAAGTAATTTGCGAGCGCGATTTGTAAAAAAAAAAAATGAAATCGCGCCCTCAAAAGACAACCAAACAAAATCACTATCTAATGTATGTATACTACTTGATAAGCTCCATTCCTAAGATGTTGAGATTTAGGCCGAACGCGACTTTTGTGGTTCGTCGGTAGTTCCACCCATTTTCTCATTATCTAATTAAAAGTGTTCATTTACGCCGCCTTAACATCTCGGGAATATTCTTAATTAGTTACTTTCAGACAAGAAAAAAATAATATTAAAAAAACACACACTTACGACGGTGAAATCTTAGAACATAATTAACACTTTGTGAGCTGCCAAAAGCATAAACTACAAGACGCGAACGTCCCTCGGTCAAATTACGAGGAGACGTGATTTGGTTTCCTTTTCTCGTCCTCATTCAAAATGAAGTCAATTAAGTAAAGTAAATTAAAACTGAAAAGCAGAGAGCGTAATTAAGAGAGGATCATGTATTAGCACCGGCGGTAACGCCTAATATTTTAAAACGGAATTGAGTAAACTTAAACGTTGATGCGCGTTGATTGCTTCGAGAGACACTTATATAATATATTAAATATGGGCCAAAAACGATAAAAGTCACGACACGGGAAATGGATAATACGCATCACGTTAAGATTATAAATTAGAGTAAGATAGATGAAGATATATTATTATTATTATTTATAAAATCAAAGATATATTTAAAAAGAACTGATTTATATTATTAATTTATCATTTAATTTCAAATTCAATTACTTAATTCATACGATTGACGAACTCTACTATTCAATAACAAAACTTTTAGTCTTCTAAATGTAAACCTAACGCAATAATGAGAAAAGCATCCAACGTTTAGAATTATATTATTATACGAGTAAATAAATAAATATCTATATTCTAGAAATTGTATTTTCACTAAAGAAAAAGAAGTATATATATATATAAAAATATATTTGAATAGTTGTGATTAGCAGGAGGGCATGAATATTCTAAAGTAGAGATCTATATTTAAAATAAGACATACTTAGTTTAAATAATGAATGTTTAATGTTAATTATTTGCACGGTTTACAATAGAGGAGAAAATATACGCACCAAAATTCGTGTTGAGCAGTCGAAAGCAATATTTGAAATGTTTTAATTATAAATTAAATAAAATGTATACTTCGTTAAAAAAAATAATCAATTCATTTCAGAATTTAAAATAATTTTCATTATTTATATATTTTTTAGAATGTAGAGTAAAAAAAAGTGAAATATATAAATTAATAAACAATAATAATATAAAGTATTTTTTATAAATAAATTATAATGAAATTGAAAACTAAAACACCAAAAAAACGAAAAAAGAAATATATCAAACGAATTTTCAGTTCAGAAAATTGGTCCAAAAGCTTTAACAAAAACATTTAAAAAAATATATGTGAATGTAAGCAAATTGCCGACTTTTTCGTTTGTTTTTAAAGTAATAAAAAATTAAACGTTAAAAAGGAAAAACGATGTGCCTAATTAATTAAAAAAAAGTTGATATAGATTAATGTTAAAATTAAAAAAAATATATATTTAAAAATTGAAAAAAAATAATATATAGATTATGATTGTTATATGTAAATATATATGATGGTCGTAACGCAATTTATATTTGATTATTTTTTGTATGTATTTTTGGTTTATACGCTGTATCTCTTTCGTTCAATTGATTTTGAATTATGTAATAAATTAACTACACTACCAATCTCTTCTCGCATCGTTCACCCTTCCCAAATCCACTTTTCAGCGCTCATTTAAAGTATATTCATCCGGAATATTTTATGACCCCCACATAGCAGATATCTGCTCGTAAGTATATTAGTGCTATGATTTCAATAAATTTTACTACTGAATATTGGATAGATACACGGAAAATAATTGTTAAGAAAACTCACCTGTTCGAATCCACCTAAGATGTCGGTAGTGTCCATGGCGGAGGTGACAGGTAGCACCCGAAGAGCTTTTCCGGCCAACTTCGCTAAAGTCCGGACGACGCTGCTCTTTCCACAACCAGCAGTACCGACCTAAACCAATAGACATACGTGTAACAAATCAAAACACTATTTTTAAATTTATCAAAAAACTTACGAGAATCGACATCCAATTCATGTTTACGCAATAACCGAGACTGCGCAGAACGCTCATTTGACTTCTGAGTACTAATCCGTGATCTTCTGCAGAGTTCGCTGAATGCTCGTCTTCAACCCTGGACACTCTGACATCTCCGAAGATTGCCGATTCCTTGGTTATGTAGGCAACGGCATTGGTGCCCGCTATGGAAACTCCAAAAACGGCCTCGAACAACTCGCAGATCTTAATCTTATCCTCGAGAGTTCTCATGCGATCGGCGTAGATCAACATCACCAAATTTTCAGGTCTGCAGTCATCACCACCGTTCTCTCCGCGTTGGTAAATGGTGGCTTCGCACCACCTTGTTAAATCCCTCAAGTTAAACTCCCATGGAGCGCCCTTGCACCCGAACGTGTGCTTCTCCAGTTCACTCATCAACGCCATATTGAATTTGATCATACGTTCAAGGAGATCCTTCGGTAGACCGGGGAATTGAGAACGCAGAATGCAGTGCATGTCGCTAGCGTTTAAGGGGTTCACGTAGACTTCGGTGAAGCGATTCAAAAATGATTGCGGTAGACCTCGCCGAGAGCCACCCTGCTTCAGCGGATTTTGACAACCGAAAAATCTAGTACCCATCTTAACGTTGAAGGTCTTTCCGAGCTCAGGAATGAAGATCTCACCGCGATGATCCAGGCAAGCGTTTAAACCTTCCAGAACCGATTGCGAAGCCAAATTCAGCTCGTCCAACAAGATCCAATGGCCCTGCTTGAGCGCCTGTAAAAGCGGTCCGTCGCGCCACGCAAACTGACCAGCTTGACCATCTTCCACAGGCAAATCAGCTCCAAACAAATCTGAAATATCCTGAGAAACATATTTTTTACTTTTACTTTTTACTTTTAAAATGCACAAATATCTTACGGTTTGATCCGATAAATTCACTCTGAACACTTTGTTTCTAGTGGCTTTGGCCAATGCAGTGACGAGACTCGTTTTACCAACTCCTGGGCTACCTTCCAACAGAATGGCCTTCTTCAATTGCATTCCTCGCATTAATCGGAGAGTGTTGTAAACTGTCGTTGGGGCATCGAAGACGAAGCCAACTGAATCCGCTTTTTCTTTGCCGAGATGAATATAAAAGGGTTTGATACCGAATATATCTCCTATCATCTCCACTTTGAGATTATCGGAAGCCACGTTAATGGTGCTTTCTTTCAATTGATTCTTAATGAAGTTAACGCATTCATTTTTGAACTCCTGCAGCACGGATTCTGCTTCCATGCTGGTGACTCCAGAACCGAAACTATCGAGGAAAGTAAGACAAGCGCCATTGAAATAAGCGGTGGCCGGGTCAATTTTCTCTACACACGCATTAATGAAGTCGACCCAGGTGAGTATATCACGAATGCTTATCGTGAAGCGCTTTCCGATCTCTTGCAACTTGAACCAATCCACGAAATCGATGATGTTGTTAGCGACGCCCTGGGACGATACCGTCGCACAGAGATTATGCTTTACGATGTCGATTAAGTCCTGGCGATTAGAGCACGGCTCGCACCAGATCTCCGTAAATCTGTTTCTCAATGCCGGTGATAATTCCTTCTTACCGAAATCACCTCCGGGGTTCATCGTACCCACAAAACTAAACCTCGCATCTGCGACTATCAACTCTGATTCCTTGCTGTTGGCCTTCTCCGCCAACAGCAAAGACCGTTCCGGCTCTAAAAGCGAGTTCATACGCTCCAAAACGCTGTCGTCAGCTAGAGAAATTTCATCGGCGAGGAACAAATGCCCTTTGGACATGGCATGTATCAAAGGACCATCCACCCACTCGAATAACTTATTCAAATTGTCGTCCTGAAATACAATTTCCTTGTAATATTTCACGCATCAAAAGACCCGAAACTTTCTACTTACACTGTGCTCCCGGACCGGACGGAGTCCACCGATAAAATCGCTGCTTTCTATGTGCATGTGACAATTGACTGTGATCAGATCTTGTCCAATTATGTCCGCAATCAATTTACAAACCGTCGTTTTTCCACCGCCCGTTTCGCCCACCAGCAAAATGGGCTCCTTGAACGCAATACCTTTGAAAACGAGTACAGCCAACTGGCGCATGTTGTAGGTCCAAACCACGTTTCCGCAGCTATCACGATTCTCGTAAATTTTCTCCAGAATCGGACGCGTTATGGAAGAAGTTTTGTCTGAAACTGAGAAACCAAGAAACATTTTAATAATAATTTCGTTAGGAACCGTTTGGTGCTTACGGGTGAACAGATGCTGCGGTACAACTTCGCGTTTGATGTGCTTCTTGATAACTTCGGCGATCTCTTCGCGTTCCTCACCCTTGCGGACTCTTCCGGCCAAAAGCAAGTAGCCCTCATCTGCTATATGTTGATCCCAATCGTAGAGAGCGTTGGAATTCGCTGCTAGTCGATAACGTTCGCCCCAACGAAACAGATCACGAAGTGTAATGAAGCCGTGTTTCCCGGCAAATGCAGCAGATCCTCTTCTTCTAGTCTAATTAGGAATAATTGAATGTTATCTTCATTTTGAAATTATAACAGCTACTTACTTGTAGATCTTTCATAACGTTGATCATTTTCTTTGCGTACGACGGAGCCATGTGGCAGCGCTTATGCAGAATGAATTCCAACTCAGGATGAGGAATCTCGTTAAAATGCAGCTCAACGAAACGATTCCTGAATGCCCTGGATAGCATTTTCCTGCCACTGTAAGTGCCAGGCGGATTTTGAGTGGCAAAAAGCATGAAGTTCGGATGAGCCTTGATCACCTCCTGAGTTTCGGGAATGAACAGCTCCCTATTATCATCGAGCACACGATTTAACGCTTCCAAAACATCAGTCGGAGCCAAATTCAACTCGTCCAAAATAATCCAATGACCTTTGCGCATCGCCTCCACCAAACAACCTACGACCAATCAAAAAATGTAAAACACTCTTAAATACTCGAGCAGTCATGTCCCACCTTCTTGAAACTCCAATTTTCCATCCTCATTGGCAACGTACGACCCAATGTATTCTTGCAAATCAGTATGCTCGTGATTATTGATCCTCACGCATTTGTAGCCAGACGCCTTAGCCAGATATGTAATCAAACTGGTTTTACCAACAGAAGTATCACCCTAAAATAAAATTATTACAAAAATAACATCATCATTAATGATTTGCATAGTCAAACTCACCTGAAGCAGTACAGGAAGATGTCCGATGGACACAATCCTAACAAGATCTTTAAGATTGTTACGGACCGAATCGGTGAGAATATAATCGTCGGCAACGGTTGGTTCGAGAGAACCCTTCAACACCCAATATCCCTCGAACTGCAAGTAATTGCCAACGCTTGGCTCTCGAATAGGTCCCTTCAAAATGGCCTTCAGGTCCTTCTGACCACCAATTATGTACTTTACGATCATCTTCTCCACAGCCTTGTACGAATTTGCATCGAGTTGCGTTAAGAAACTCAAGCAAAACGCTTCATACAAGCTTCTGGTGAAAACGCCGCACGGATTTTTTGAGGCCACTGCCAAAGCTCTGCACAACGAACGCAAAGAGAAATGCGGTTTATGTCCTAAACCATCAGAAAGAGACAACAAAGATTCCTTTCGTACGTTTAAATAAAACTTGACAATGTTTTCTACTTTCTCCGGTCCTATGGATTGCGCCTCCAAATAACTATTCACCATCAGTATGAGATCGTTGCGATCGATCAATTCATCCACGAAGAACTCGGTGAAACGATTCCTCAGACCAACGGGTAAATCCTTTTTACCAACGTCTGTGGATGGATTCATGCAAGCGAATAAGGTGAAATTTGGATGCCTCTTGATAGGTTTTTTCTCGCCGTTCTCAAGTAAATTCAAACTACCTTCGGCACCCTCTAGCAAACCAGAAAGGCATTCCAAAGTCTCGGCGTTGGCCAAATTGATTTCATCGAGCAGCACCCAATAACCATTAGTGACGGCTTTCACCAAAGTTCCCTCGATGAACGCAAATGCTAACGCTGTTTTGTGCTTCAATTGGACCTCAATTTTTTCTAACTTGGAGCCCACCTCAGTCCACTGTTTCATGTACTTAATCTCCTTTTCGCTGCTTTCGCTTCGCACTCGCTTTTGACCCACGTCGTTTTTCACTAGTCGGTTCATAGCCGCTTCGTAACTTTTCTTCATCAACGTTATAAGATGGCTCCAAAGCTTCTCGTTGTAGCAGTAGTTCAAGTTCTGCAAGAACTTTCTGTTGGCATCGGCGTTAAAATATCCTTTGAATACAGCCTCAAATTGCTTTTTGACTGGGGCAATGATGAACTTGAAGTCGACGGGTTTGTAACCGCCCAATAGATCGGCGGAATCAGACTGCTGGTTCATATTGATAACAAGTAATTTTTGACCAACCGTGTGTGCCAAGTACTGTACTGCGCTCGTTTTTCCGGTTCCGGTTTCGCCTACCAATAAAACGGGTTCCCTCAGATTCACACAGCATATAATCCTCTCCAACAGACAAGCGAAAGGACGTGTGAAGCAGTAATTCAACACTTTATTCGATTTAATATTGAATTGCCTCTTAATCAAAGCCCTGCCCACCTTTAAATCGTTGTCGCCCATGCTCAAGTTTGGTTTATATTGGTTCAAAAAATACTGCGCCTTCTGTTCGACGATACCCAGATGAGCACTAATTGCCTGTGCCAACGTTACTCGTTCATCGGCGTTCGGAAAAGCGCAGCAAAATATGTCTATAGCATCTTGAAGAACTCTCAAAGCACTTGCCTGACTGGCAATATCAAAATCAATGACTGCTCTGGAAGTCCACTTGAACAGGTCTCGGGTTGAGGTCAGACGCGCGTTTTTCTGCAACCTCTCAGCATCCCCGGAAACTGTCTTGAAAACATCAGACATGCGTGTGCAGATGGTCTTCAACTGTGGATAAATTCCACTAATGATCTCTATAAGTTCTGAATCAATAAGCGGATCGATGTTTATCGTGAGAACATGTTTCTCCAATAAAGCATTAGCGTTTGTATATTTTCGGTGGTGTCCCGTAATCGTCGTTATTAATCTGAAATAGAAAAAAATGCATTTTGACATTTATAATTTAATTAACAATTAAAACTATTACCTTTGCGTTAAGAACAATTGGAAACCGGGTTTGATTGGTACTGAATCATGATAGCCAGGCACAGTTAAGTATCCGTTTTCTATTAATCCGTTCAAGACTGATGCAATGTCTACACTTGCTGAATCAATATCTTCCAAAAGCAGCCAAGAGCCATCAATTACAGCCTTAAATAAGAACATTTTATTGACATTTCACACAAAAATAATATTAAATTATTTACCTGAGTTAAAACTCCTGGTTGCCAGATGAATTCACCAGGAACATCAGTGCATTTGTAAGTTCCCAAAAGCATTTTGCTATCAGTCTGATCTCCCAGCTGAATCTTAATAAAACTCTTCCCCAAAACACGTCCAGTTTTTGCAGCCAAATATTCCACCAAACAAGTTTTTCCACTCCCCACTGGACCCAAAAGACTCACAGTCTTGTTAGCAGCAATCCCCAAAGCAATCCTCTGCAAGTTATTCCTTGTCGACGCAACCTCAACGATTTTCCCGCACGTCGCAACAACTTTTTCATACACAGGAAGATAAATACCACAAACACAAATCACCGACTCCGACGTAATGATACCATGCATATCAGAATCTGCATTTTGGATATCACTAATGGCAATCTGCCTGCTCAAGCCATATTTCAAGTCACTATCAATTCTCTCAGAAGATTTCAATACTATATCCAAATAATTATTCAATTGGATTTCACCCATCCCTGTATACAGCCCCACACAATGACAATAAATCCACCTCACTGCAGCATCTTTGTGATTTGCATACTTTGCAAAAAATGTGGACCAATTCCATTTTCCCTTGAAAAAAGCTGGTTTAAATTTCAGTAGTTTATAGCAGGCCTCAACAAAATCTAAATCACTAAAAGCATATACTGCCACATCTCTTTTCTTTTTCTTAGGAGCACTCTGAGCATCTTCTGTAAAGAGATCAGTCCATTTCTCGAAATACTTTAATATAAAACTAAAAAGAAAGAAAGATTAATTAATAAACAGATTTAAGTAATTTACTAAAAAAAAACCTTTCACTATCTGGATGAAGTTCAATTGTTTTGGCCAAGGCAACTGTATTTCTAATTGTGATGTACCTATCAGCTTCTCCCTGCTCAACTGATATGGCCAAATGAAGAATTTTCACAAAGTGCCTCCGAAAACATTCCACTACTGAAGCTGTGTATCTGGGATCCAGAAATGCAGCAGCAATGTACTCAAAGATATCCTGAACATGTCCAGCTTTGAGATCCTGCGAGAGATACAATACAATTCAAAGCTAAAGTAAAAACGTGAATTTAAGGTTACTCACCTTCGCATCGTAATTCGTTAAAAACTTTTCGAACTCTTTGTTTTTTGCCGAGAAACGGAGCAAATTCTCCTCGGAAATAGTATATAACGTCATTTTGTGCTCGCTCATCGCATGTCACGTCGATTTTCGGCTTGAATTTGCAATTGAAAACGAGGATCACCACCAGCAAACACAATCAACACGTGCAACACACACGCTCGAAGTATTTGTTGTTCTGTCAAAATCACGCGCTGTCAGATGTTTGTCAAATTGCTGAACTGCCAACATAAAGTAATATCAATTAGCAGGATTAAAAATCACTAAATTTTAAAACTGGTAATAAATTGCAAATATTAGTAATATCAAGATTATGCATGAGGATTCGGATGATTAGTAGTGAAAGTACAACAGAATGTTTTACAAAATAGATGTATATAATAAATAGTTTAGAAATAATACAAAATGCAATTTCAAACGACAAAAACTTAACAAACTTGTACAATTTTAATTCTTTTCTTAAGAAATAACAAGACTAATGATAAAAAATGTAGAGAATATAAATAAACAAGATATGAAAATATTCGGCAAATGAATTTCAATTACGAGGAAAATAAATAAATTCAATGTCGATTTTCGAACAAAATAAATAGTATATTAAATAGTAATAATACTGAATATGTGTAAATTTTAAAAAATATATAAATATAGATGACATCCAGGCAACCACATAGACACGTATACAATGATATAACATTTTTCACAAAATAAAATGTAGAAACGAGAAACGATATACCTACATACAATATATATTTAAAAATAGTTTAAGACGAAGAGAGTTGGTGCGCGAAAGTTAAAATTATACATTTTTGGTTTCGATATTTTAAAAATAATAATATAAAAAAACAGCTTTGGTTTAAATGGTAATGAAGCGTTCACACATACACGGTAATAACTTTAGATTGCACAATTGAAAACATCGGTTTACTGTCGAGTAAAATATAAGTAGACTTAGATATTAAGGAGGATGTAAACTGCGAATCCGGGGAGAGGATTTCTGTAGTCAATGAAAAATTAAAGAGTTGATGTCAGTCAACTTGTCAAGACAGAAAAGTTTTCTTAAGTGTGTGAACGAATCTGGAGTGTGTTAAATGTAAACATTCATACGTGGTCCATAAACATACCAAATATACAGGTGCATTCAGACATAGATCAGTCATTATCACAAGATCAATTAATAGTAATAACAAAAAGGTGAAGTAATCTTATGATTTGATGATGCACAACAGAGGGGGTTGGCGCGGAGCGGTCGGTCGGGTATTATTATTATCGGAGAGGGGACGTAAATATATATTAGTCTAGTTAACGTACTGTATAACTGCAATCTTCTGTCAAAGCGAACCTGCTGAGTTGCTCGTCCAGATGTTCGCCAACCTGCGGCTCTACGATATTTATGGCACACGACACCCCGTTTGCAACCTTCAATTTGTAAATAAATTCTTGCATCAAGTCGCAGTTAACTCGTTTGGTGCAAAGCGTGGGCACGTGGAAGCACGTAAGAGAAAGGAAAACCTCCTTCATCGCCTTTATCGTATTAATCCACATGTCGAACACGCTTAGATTGAGGAACTTCTCGTGAGCTTTGGATTTGAATATCTGAAAATGAACAAGGAATTAGTACGAATTACGAAGAATGGGCGATCATGGTTCAATTACTGCTGCGACAGTCCTGTTGGCTTTCAGACCTAACGTCGTTGAGATCAGGTGCTTCGTTTCGAGTATCTTCTGGATGGAACCCTGCAAATAGAGCACTTCCTGACTGAGGCAGCCTAGTTGCTCTTCGTTATAGTCCTTGATGCGCTCTATGTTCTCTTTCAGAGTTGCTAGCACTCCCATGTACACCTCCTGCTGCGTTTTATCGCCGAACGTCAGAGACTTCAGCAAATCCATAAACTCCTTCTGATCTGGATCTACTTTCTTTTTAAGCTGCGCTGGCTCCATCTTCGGTTCCACCCTGATGTAATGGTTCTTAAAGATGTATTTCGGCACGTCGTCTTCCTTCTTCTTCGGAACAGTAGCAGCTTTCGGCGATGAACCTTTCACGCTGTGCAGAAACTTGTCTTTCATGACCACCTGCAGCAAACACTCCAGATCGTCGTATTTATCGATTCCCTTGAGCGCTGTGAAAGGCACATTCTGAAAAAACCAACTGCTACCCGACGTGCCTTTGTTAATCTTCAACTTTGGTCCTCCGTACATGACGAACATCGAGAGATCCTTTTCAGGGCCGAACTCATCGTCATCATCGCTGGAATCGTCCGTCGGCGTTTTCTCGTTCAGCAGCTTTTCAGCGTCGGCGTATTCGCTGAAATCATTTATGTTGATTTCGATATTCTCGTTACTCTCCACCTCGGTCGCCTTCGCTTCGTTCACCTCTATTTTGCTTTTGTATTTTTGTACTAGCTTATTAAGATCCGCGCTGAATTTGTTCACCAACATCTTCTTTTCCTCAGTCACCTCATCGATCCTATTGGGTCCGTCGTACATCAGAAACATATTCTCGCTTTCTCTCCTCCTGCTTTGCAACCTTCGCCGCGCATCCTCATGATGCAGTTTCCCTTTATCGTCGAAAACTAAACTTATATTATTGCTTTTGGAACTTTTAAACTTCAGTAATTTCTCCTCGCGCACTGGAGGATACCTTTTGTACGAGTTCAATTGATGGATTTTGGTGATCTGTATATGTATTTGCAGAGTGATGCTGTTGCAAACATTATTCAAAGTATCCCAATATATGCTCAGTTTTCTCAGATGCGACTCTAAACCGCTTATGTAGGATTGCGGGCATTGGTAATACTTCAGAAAACACTGATAATCCAGTATCCTGAAGTGTCGCATGTTGAGCGTGGCGTTGTCGTGTACCCTGTTGTTCAATCTCCTCTGTTTATTCTTGGGGAGGAGATCAGCGTTCATCTTGCACTTGATCTCCATATCCGTTGAGCGCACCATCGTTTTGAGTATGGGTACACACTTTAACCAAAACAAATCGTGCTCCGATTCCCTGTTATAAGGTTTTCTCAATACCTTGCCCGAATCGTGGATCGAGTCGATAGCGTTCATTGAATCGAATATTGTGTCGAAAAGTTTGCAGAAAAAGGAGATATCCGTCTCTGTAATTATGTAAATTGATTATTTTTTTGCATTTTATTAAAAATAAAATATACCTTTTAATGAGCGCGCCATGGATTGGCTAAAAAGTTTCGAAGCGGTGGTGGTCTTTCCATCTGCTAAATCAACGGAAGAACGATGCGTGTCTACATATTCGTTAATAAATTCGTTGGTGGCAACCATCGTCTGGTTGTTAACAAGAAAATAAACATCGCTGCATACTATAGTTCGGTTCAATTCACGCAACAACCAGGAAGGATCGAATAACAAGACAATTTTCTTGTATTCGCCCACATCAAATTCGTAAAACCCAGTCTCATTGTAGTCCTGTAAATAAATAAATTGCATATTACTTATAAATACAACTTTTTAAACATACCAGTTGCAGTTCCCAGAGGACCTCTAGAATATCCCTAATACCGGACGTGGCCGTAGCAATGACTCGGAAACCACAAGAGTGCAGATCGAAAATGTACGCCTTGATTGCGTCCGCAACTTTATGCATGTTCGAGTTTTGAAAATAGAACATATGTCCGATGATTTGATGGAAGTCGATGGCCAACAGCCGGATGCCGAAAATGATGGTGTTCTGCGGAAATGCCTTGTCGGGGCCAAGCGGCTTCGTCGCAGGGAGAAGCGTGGAGCTCTTCACCGAGTCGAGAGTGAAGAGCACGCTGCGGAATCCCGGATGCAACAGCATGGCGCATTCGCTCATCCTGCTGAACACCTTCTCGTTCATTATAATTCGTGTGACTTCCTCGGTCCCTTTCGAGAAAAAATAACGAATTAAAAACTAATAAATAATATAACAATACAACACACAACATCGGAAAATATAAATATTCAGAAAAAAAAATCACAGAAACACAAACAATAAAACTCACCACATTTCGTTGAGTTTTGTTTGTCCGAATTAGATTGTTTCTTCGTTAAAATCTTTTTGTTAAACTTTTCCGCAGCCGACATTTCGGTCATCAAACAAGGTGATGCCATTAAGCGACAAAATCACAGCAGCATGATAAAAACAACCGCCACAAATGCCAAAATTTCTTTGACATCTGAAATGTCAATTTTCAGGATGCATTGACTACCGTCAACCAGCAATAGATTAATAACAAACTAATTAAATTATTAAAGGCGAAACAGTCGAAAATTTAATAAATTAACCAAGTCCATCTACCACACAAACCCATCATCAAACTGCAAACCAACAATATTTGTCCAATTGAAACTAATTAATTGAAAACCAATTGCTTTTAGTTAATTAAATATAACTTCAGAATACTAGCAGATAAGAAATGAACAGAAAATCGACGAAAATATAAACGTCAACATTTTTAGGTTAGAATTCAAAACATTATTTTAAGCTATGGACAAAACTCACCCTTTTTAGTTGCGTCCTTTGCCATCCTGTTATTTTTGTTGTTATATGATTGGCAGTTATTTTTTGATATGGATACGCCTGTATCTCTCGTCAGTTTATCACTAATGCGAGCTTTAGACCATAATGAAGAAAAATAATTTTAAATTAAATGTCCATGGCCCGTGGTTAGAACGAACAAAATTTGCTATCGAAGAGGATGTGTTTGTTTATTTTACGAAATATCGAATGCTCTACAAACGCGAAACTTGGCAACCTTGGACCTCTTAAGTTTACTATCTAACTCAGTAAACTATTATCATTATTTGTTTGTCTGTTATTGCCAAGAAAGATGAAGACATATGCCTGAAAAGTAAATGTATAAATAAACTGGGCGGCAAATTTCATAACGTATCTAAATTTTTACGTTATTGCCAATGACTAACAACGTCTAATGTTGAATAACGACTTACAATATATATATAGTACTAGCTTCGAATTGTAAGTGGCACTAAGGTCGAGAATAATTTAAGAATATTGTTACTCTATATAAATTTAAATTGCTAGACAGCTATGAAAGTCTACAGAACGCGGTAAATTTAAATTTTAAATGATGTTAATGCGAACTATATGTATAGACATACAAACTATAAATATTTACATGTTTCATTACGAAATTAAAAACTTTCATTTAAAATTAATAACTTGAAGGGCCAAAAGTTTCAAAATTTCTAGACCCAATTGGGGCAAGAGAACTGAATCACACACCTTCGTCAATGGAATCAATATCTGATCATATGGATTCAACATAAACATTTTCTACTGCCATATCAAATTCATCCCTTTCCTGGACGTTTTTTTAGTTGCTAAGGGGCCCCAACTATCCTTAATACGTCACTATGCGACGATCATTGTCTTCAAAAAACTTAATAATGACAATTGTCAGTCAATGATCTGTTTTCCAATTTTTACACGTTATTTTGTAAGAAATTACGATGAATGATTTCGAGGTCTTCAATAGGCACGTGAATGAGCGCGAGGTTCGTTTGGAGAACTACAAGGTTCCAGATTTGCATGGCAAACATGTTGCGACCTTGGATGACGATCTCGAGGAGTCAAAGAAGGAGATTCCCTACTTCCGCAACTTCGCCAACTTCACCGAACCCTACGAATGCACATGGGCTTTCATGAGTAAAGACGAAATTGCTGAAATCATGAAAGAGGAGCGTTACGAATGCATCAAAGCGATCCTTGGTGGGGATTTAACATTTAAGATATCGAAGACCGAAATTCATTGTTGATTTCATGATTCCTCCTCAGAAAGGAAACTGTGTCAGAGCTATCCGAAAGGAAGTCCTCGGTCGATAGTGCTTGACTTGCTGTACAGCTGCGTCAAATTTGGCAAATGTTCAAAATTTCGAGGAGAACAAGTCGCTGCCCTTCTGTCCATCTTTTACCTCACCCACAGATTCTTCTCTATCTCATACACGTCCACCGCAGAGGACTGCTTCAACTTCTTCAAGGAGATTCTCACGTTCCACAGCCTAGAAGTGAAGACGTCCTTCTAAGAGCAGTACCATCTTTAATTCTCGGTTATTTTTGCAGTACGTCCCCAGTCACAAGTTGATCTTCGAACCTGACGAAGCCCACATGGTTTTCAACTACTTCTGCAAGATGTACTTGCGTCACTTGCCCATCATCCGCCTCCTCAGTTTACCTAACTTCTCGTTCGAACTCGACCTAACCGTCGAACCTCCACCGGTCTTTAAAAAGATAAAAACCAAAAAAGATAAGAAGAAGAAGGGCAAGAAGGGCAAACGAGGAAAGAGTAAATAGTATTATCGAAACAATATTTTAATAATATCAATACAAATATATATTTATAAAAAATGCGATGCATAAAATTGCAAATAAAAGCAAGTCTTACTAAAAGTAAATATTATATAAAAAACAGTCTTCAGTTGTCGCGAGAGACGACGTAGTCGTGCTCGGTCATGCGGTTCTTCCAAAACCTGTTGTTCCTTTGTAACTCTTCAGTTAAACTTTCCACTCGATGCAGCCATACCTGAGGAGCGGTTTCGTTGTCCTAAAAGTATACGATACTAGGTAATTTGATGAATAAATATGATTAACCAATAATTTCACCACAGTTTCCCATTCTGCTTCGCTGCTCCAACTGCATGGCGGGCTCTCGCAAGAGCCTAGACTCCATCCTCTGGGAGGTGTGGCCACGCGGTACGGTGACTCTGCCCTCTGGCCTCTATTCTTCGTTTCCATGGAGCTACAAACAAATTAACAATACAATTAAAAGACTAGAGGAATCATCACTGACAACGTACGCAATCTTCTCGTTGAGCTTGGATATAATTGTGTTCTTAGACTTGATCTTATCGTTGAGCTCGACGTTGAGTTTCTGCTGTTCGTGTAACCAGCTCTTCACGTTGTCGATGATGTGCTTGCTTTCGGTGCAAAGAGTTTCTTTAATAGATTTAGTGTCACTTAATTCCATCTCAAGTGTAACCACGGATTCTGTCTTCAATTGACAGGCGTTTTGCAAAGAGCGAATTTCTTGCGCTAATGCAGTGTTTTTCTCCATCAGGAACTCCTTGTCCCTTTGAATCACCTGCAGCTCGGCAAGACATTGCTCCAATTCACGCATCATGATTTCATTCTTCTCATCATTCTTCCCAATGACCATTTTCAACTTTCCTACTTGCGTTTGAAGTCTATCATTCTGTGAACGGTTACAAAATTAGATAATGTTATTAACAAAATAATTACTTGGAAGGATACCTCGCATTTCATCAATGACTGCTGTTGTATCAACGAGTTGATTTCATTTTTCAAACCGCAAATTTCTTCTTGATGCAACTGTGACTCACTCGATACTGCCACAAAGTTGCCTTTGAGCTCGTCCAGTTCCTTATCCTTCTGAGACAGTTCACAGTTAATAACTGCCAGTCGCTGCTCCAACGTCGTCACCACATCGATCAATCTATTCTGCTCTCGTTGATACTCCCTCATATCTTCGTTATGAGCCGTTTCTCTGAGCGTTTTCTCTTGTATAAGTTTCATCTCGTCCTCCGTGGTTTCCGCAATTTTATCGCGTGCTAATTCCAATTCTCTCTCAAAACATTTGGCCTTTGTATCGGATGCAATCAGCTGTTCCTTCAATCCCGTCACCTAGAATACCAGTTATATAACTTAGTTTTCAATACATTAAAACTGTATTACCATCAAATTATATTTCCCAATTTCGTTGCAGTGTCTCTCCTCGGAACCGCGCAACTCCATCTGCACGTTCTTCAAAGTATTCATCGAAGTCGTATAATCGGCTGAGACCATATCGAATTCTTGATTTTTCGTAAAATACTTTGCCTCTAGTTCCTGCACTCTCTTGATTTCCTCCTTCCTAATATTTTGCACCTCGAGCAACCGTTGCTTCAGTCCGGATATCTCGCCACTTGAACTCTCCAGTTTTTCCTCTAATATCTGTATTTCCTTCTTGAAACACACCATCTCGCATTCCTTCTTCGCAACGGCCACCTCCAAACTAGAAACTGTCTTCTTCTCATTCTCCAAATTTCGCGTCGTGAAAGCCAATTGATCAGACAACGTGAATATCTCTTCCTGCATTCTAACTATTTCTTTCGCCAATTTACTGCTTTCATCCTCCATCAGCTCCTGCTCCCTCGTCTAATGTGAAAACCAATTTTATAAATAATTAATTTTGTAGTGATTAACCTTTTCCTCACCAAAATCAAATATAAGTTTCTCAGTTCGTTCTTGCAGTCCATCAGTTGCGTGTTGAGTTCCTCCACGAAAGCTTCCTGGTCGACCTTCTGCACTTCGAGCTGCATGAGTTCTTGTTTCAAGTGCGTACACTCATTCTGAAATAATTGAAATGTAAATATGCTTCATATTAAATCGATGTTCTTGTTAATTGTAAAGAGTTTGACGTTATTTAGAACAAAGATATCAGAAGAACAAATACCGTCAACTCTTTAAAGAGCTGCTGATACTTCAGCACGCGTGATTCATTGATGTCGATATCCTGGCTGTTATAAAATAAACCCTCTTCGAGAAGTAAGTTCTCGTCCCGAAGCCTCTCGACCAGCATTTCGAAACACTCAAACTGAAAAAATAATAATAACGAACAGTCCAGATCGAAGATAAAAAAACTGCACTCTCGCAAGGACTCTCGGGATGAACAGGAAGACGGATATAAGGGTCGGAATCATAAGCGAAAAAAGAAACATAAAAGAAACGATTCGAATGAATTTATTTTAGTTAATAATCGTTCATGCCCAAATCTGCTATACTATAATATAAATACTACAATGGAAAGCTTTCGAAACAAGAAAACACAAATTATATTAAAATAAATACGTTCCCAAAATTAATGAATCACGGAATGGTAACTACGTAGTTTAAGTTTCGGAATGTTAAGTATTCTTAAGCATGCGTCATGCGTCGGAAAGAAAAGGAAGAAAACAGATTAAATCTGCGTCCGTCACACTTCATGTACGTTGTTGGCTTTGTGGACGTTTACGGTAGGCGCAGGCTGTTGCTTGGAAGCAGAGCCGAACCACCGCGACGCCCAGCCCAAACCTACTTCCTGATCCGTTCTGGTCCGCTGCTCATCCAGTCCCTGTTTGACGGAAACCAGCGCGTCTTGTAAATTACCTATAGTCACTTTTTGCTCCGATATCTAGAAGGACACATCAGCAAAACAAACAAAAACCAATTCTGTCAAATAGTCAAGAGATGCAAGAATCTCACCTCGCGTTTCAAGTTGCTTTCGGACGATTCCAGAACACTGATTGAATTTAGATATAAGTCAACCTGAGTGTAGAAGTACAAGGCCAAGGTAGTAAAAATAATACTGTAATTGTATTGGGTGTGGTGCAATCACTTACTGCTCTTTGCAGGTTTTCGGAGCGTTGTTTCTCATCGTTGAGATTGAGCAGCAGGGTCTGAATGGTCTGCTTCAAGTTGCATACTTCGCGTTCGCGACATCCACGCGCCGCCTCCACCTCGCACTCCATGGTCCGATAGGCCTGCAATTCATTTTCAACAATATTTAGTGTATCGTTTTGGATGTCTATGATCTCATCCTTTTTACTGATCTGCAAGCACACGAACCAGGGCGAAAATAAAGAAAGAACCAACTTCCATCCATCTACTTACCCATTGTACTTGCTCTTCCAACTCGGCGATACGTTGATGCGCCAATTTAACTTCATTCTCCTTCTGAATAATTAAAGCAACAATTAAAAGATACTAAATTATTTCCGAAAATTTACAATCTCTCATTACATACCACAATAATCCTGCTGACGCTGTCTTTGATTTCGTGAACGGTGCCCTGTAGCTGACACCAGGGTTGCGCATTCGTCGATATCGCCGTTAGCTTTACAACTTTCAAATCGCCCAAAGTTTGATCTGCAATTGACAAAGAACACCATTTAGAGAAAATGACGATTGCGTTTTGTGGTTTACCGGAGCCGCAGGAGCTTCGCGAATTTTTCACGTGCACTTGCAGCTTCTGCGCCAGATGACCGGCCACTCTTTTAGCCACCTGTATCTCATCTTGTCGCAATTCTTGCCGTAGTTATTAGTAAAGAAGATTTTGTTAGTTGATTATTAGTTGTGGTATAAATAAAAAAAAACCTTCGCTTTTTCTCGACTGGCACTTGTGTTTCTTGTCTATAAATCTGGCGATCTTTCTCGAGTCATTGCGCGATGACGACGCATCTGTTCTCACATCAGATCATAAAGTATAAGTAGTGAGAACTGTTAAATTGACAATTACCTGTTTGTTGATCGGCGCTGTCGCTGAACGAGATCCTTTTGTCTAAATCGGGTTTCGTCGCGTACAGTGGCTCCCTGTGGCTTTTCGTTATTTCTTTAAAATAAATAATAATTTATTATTGAAGAGTAAAAGTGTGGATATATTTTTACCTGAAAAGTCATCGTCATCGAATAACGACGTATTCGATGGTTTCCTCCTGACTATCAGCATCTTGTCGTCGTCATCTTCAAGATCTGATTCTTCGCGACTACTTCCATGGTTACTACTGTAATAACGACTGTTGTCTCGGTTACCATCTCTCTTCGAAACTTTGTAGTTACGGTGGAAGTTCGATTGATTGGCATGGTGACTACGTTCTTCAGAGTTTGCAGTATCGCTATCATTGTAACGTCTATTGTCGTGTATGTTATGGTGTGTTTTGTAGCGACTCTTTTCGAGCAAAGAGTCATAATCAACATCATCGTGGTCGTCATCTTTACTGCGGCTTCTGTGTCGTCCCTTGGATCTCGTCCTCTTGCTCGGTTTCTTATCTCTATTGCCGGTGCAGGAAAGATCAAAGGTGAACACGCTCTCTTCGCGTTCCTCGTGCTCGTCGTCGTAGGAGCGGCTGCGGGCGGGGCTTCGACGTCTGCCGAATCGTCCCTTCGGACTGGATGGTCGCGACCATTGGACGCCCGTGTCCTTAGTCTCTATCTTCTTGGACAAATCCTTTACACATTTCTCCAACGATTCAATTTTACAACACTGCTCTTGTTTCTATAATCAGAATAAAAGAAAAAGACATAAAATATAACGCACTATCACTATCCGTGCTCAGTAAGAACCTCTCCAGATAAACACTCAATGGTGCAAAGGCAATCCTCGTTCTTCTTACGCACATCATCCAACTCAAAACGTAGCGTTTGAATCATATTCTCGGATTCTATGGAAATTTCTTCTGTGTGACTTAACCTCTCCTAAAAAATAATCATTAAAATATTTCTTCAGATATTCACTCAATTTATTTGATTTTACCAGCTTGTCCTGCATTTGGCAACAGTTATTCATCAGTTCCATCTGCAAATACAAGGAAAGTTTAGCTGATGCTACAATAAATATGCATTAGTATTGCCGCGTACCTTTTCAGCCTCTAAAATCTCAATTTTCTGCACGTATTCCAATTGGCATTCTTGCAGTTGACAATTCTCGCTGATCTGCAAAAGAAACAATAACTAAGTTATATTGAAATTATCGTCAATATATTGCGAAACAAATCGAAAGAGAGGAATAAAACGATTTTATAAAGATGCTTTTATGATGTTGTTTATTTTATTGAATACTTATTGTTGTGTTATTGGAATCGCATGCTACTTACCAGTTCTTCGGTTTTACCCTCGAGGGCCGCAAGATTGTCGGTGGACTTCCCGATGACCTCTTTCAGTTCGGAATTTTCCTCCTCTAGCTCCATCAACTATCGCGAAACACACAATCACGTATTATCACCATAAGAACACTCAAAACAATCACATGGGAACGAAAATACATCAACGGGGGGAAAATGAAAAACAAAAAGAACCCTCACCTTTTCGCGCTCGAAACATTCTTTCTGCAAAGAGAAAAACAGAACAAACGAAAATGAGATTGTCTGAACGTTGAATTCTTTAAAATAAAATGACGATTGAAATGCAAAGAGACGGAGTTGCGAATTTCGTTTATTTGTATTTTAATTTTGATTAGTTGGTTGTGTTGTACGATCGACGGATAAGGGATGGATCTATGATGGTACAGGATGATTACGGTAAGGCTACGTCAGTTGTCGAGAAGAATTCGCGCAAAGCTTCTTCGTTCAACTGTTTCATGGCCGCGTTGATTTCTTCCAGAAGAAGATTCACCGTCTGTTTTTTGATGCAGTCGCTGCTGGAGGCGCAAATTTCCTTCCTCTGGAAATCATTCAAAATTAGACAGCTTTTTTAAGTCTCACAACAATCGCTCCGTCGCTTCCTTACGATGGCTTCGGTGTAATCGTGGATCTGGTGGAAACCGTCAAAGACAACTACGAGTCGGCGCATCGTCATCGAAACCAGATCGTGCATATCCATCAGCTGCTTATCCTTTTCGTGAAGGTCGTCCACCAGCGTCTGTCTCTCTCTGTGCATAGTATCCCAGATTTTTCTGTTCCCTGTATCCATAACAATGTCTTGCATCAATTTAGTATCGGATAGCTGCTGGCTACAGGCTGAATGATCGCTTCCGGTCAAAGGGATCATCGAATCCATGCCTCCGGCTCTTCTCAACAATTTCTGCAGCTCATCCTTTCCGATATTCAGCAGATCATTATCGTCTAATCCCAGCGACTCGATGAGGCTCAGCCGCTTCTCTTCGAGCGTCTCCTCGGCTTTTTCGATCATCACATTCTTCACCTGATCAACGAAATCCTCCAGATCGATATCCAATTTGAAATTGGAATTGGTCCTACTAATCTTGCAACAGTTTACCTCCTTCGGACGATCTTTGTAATCCGATAGTTTCGCCTGCAGAGGTTGCACGTTCACTTTTGGAACAACAGATTCAACGATTCCATCGTCGGACATAGCTGGGAAACTCTCGTTGGAAATCCTGTAGTCAGAGCTACTGCGCTTACTCTCTTTGGCTAACGAAGCCGCCTTATCCTCTATTACTTCCTTCACCTTCTTAGTGATTGTTTTTTTAAGCTTCCTCTTCATAAAACTCAGCTCTCTATTTATGTCTTCCTCACGAAGATTTCCAGATTTTAACCGCTTGATCATCATCTTCTTGCAGGAGAAACAGGACTCACGAACGTCGTCTACGATATCTGAGATGCCACTAATCGATGGCACCTTTTCCACTCCGCACACTTCCGCTAGCAACTTACCAGTCTCTTTCAGGTCGTGTGCCATCTGCGCACCCTTTTCTGCTATCTCCGATTGCAACTTAGCAAGCATTGCCTTCTTCATCTTTTTCTTGATCATCTTGATGTACAGTCGCGTTTCAGACTTATTTTCAAACGATTTATTTCTATCCCTAGCTAAAATGATACTTTTACTCTCTAGCGACTTGCTGCTCGAACGTCTCGCTTTCCTAGGAGCACCGATTATTTCAATCACAGAATCATCAGGGGGTAAATCGTATGTGATCTTCTTGATTTTCTTGTCCTTATCATGTGAATCATTTTCTGCTTTCGAAGATATCACAGGAAACTGATTTCGTGATGTTCCTTGCCCCATTGACCCAAATGAATCATGCTCGTCTTTCCTTAGCATTCCCTTTCTTGCAGTTGTTTCAGGTGCTTGGCTTCCCAATGGTATCCAATGTTTAACTGTTTCAATAAATCCACTTACCAAATGTTTTTCTTCCGAATTATGAGGAGATTTTCTCATATTCAGCGCATCGTATTCCTCGCTTGAATCCCAACGAAATCTACCTTGATCTAAGGTATCATTTCTATATGGCATTTCACTCTCAAAACTACTCACATATCTGGATTTCGCTGTTGATTTCTCTCGTGATAATACGTGCGAGGTCTTCTCAGGCATCCTATATCCTTGCATTTTGATATTTTCACCTTTATTATACTTTGGAGCATTTTGCAATAAATTCTGTTTCTTAGGGGCACCGATAACCTGTTCAGCAGTGTTTTGTTTATTAGTTCTACCCGTATATTTATGTGAACTATCTCTCAGATTCAACAAACTCTTAGAGGATCTCGCATTGCTATTATATTTCGTTCCTTTTTTATTGTTATATTTCGGAACTTTTCGATTTTTATCAGACGAATTTTCATATTGCATTTTGCGAGAAGACCTCCCATCCAAATCCATTAAGCTTTTCGAACTTTTTGGGCTCATGACATCTACATTGTAGTCATATCTGCGGTTCAACACGTTCGATGGCTTTTTGTAAACATCAATAAAGTTATTACGATCCATCGGTCTGTTATTGTACGACCGTCCACTTCTGCCAGATCTTGAATACGGATCATTGCTTAAACCATATCTAGGAGAGTTTATCAATTCTCCTCGAGAATTCCGCCGCATATTATTGGAAGATCTTCTGTTCAGATCGATCATACTACGTGATCTGCTCGGCCGAATGATCTCGCGTTCGAGATCGTCGTAAGGACTTATATTTGATTGATTGCTATATCTCCTGTCCAAAGCGTTCATGTCAAAACGGCGATAAGGATTGTTTTCAAATTCAAATGAATTTCTGCGGAATGAAGGTCTTCTGCGTAAATCTATCATGCTCCTCGTCCTTCGAGGAAAACGACTGAACGGATCACGCGGAACCATACAAGATACATCACTGTCGAATTGGTGGATCCTTCTACCATATCTGTCGAAATAGCTTGGTTCCATTAACGAACTTCTTTGATAAAGTGAATTTACGGGTCTTCCATACGCGTCTACAGTTTTGTTCCATCCCATCATTCTATTCTTATAAAACCTGCCCCGCATTGGATCGTACATCCGGTTATATCCCAACGGTCTGATCAAACGACCGTACGAATTTCTGTAGTACATATCGTTGTACGGTCTATTCAAATCGAATAAACTTCCGGATCTACTCCTTCTCATCATATCATCTTCAACGTCGTCATCTTGAGGGTTTACGCAAGAGTTGACGAAATCGGAAAATCCGCGTGTCTCGTTACGCCTGGGACTGTAATAGGGAGGCATATCGAATGATCTTTGTCGATTCAAGAACCAGGAAGGTATGTATCCCATACGCATCAAACTACTGGATCCCATCAATCTGCTATTGTGCGGACCGTATCTGTACGAGCTTTGGTATCTCGGCATCCTCATCAATTCACCATAGGAATTCAAATAGTACATTCTTCTTTGCGACTTTCCATTCATAACATCTCGTGATCTGGAGGGCCTCATCAAAACATTATCGTTATTATAACTGCTCCTCGACGTATCGCTGCCTCTTACATTCAACGAGCTCTTGGGTTCCACTAATTTATCCCGATTCCTCTTCTCAGATATATTCCTGCTCTGCATATCGTAGGATGACTTCATATCCATCAAACTTCGAGACCTGCCTGGCCTCGCAAGTTGCGCATTCAACTGGGCATGATCTGCGGTGCGTCGTTGCTTCGATTTGTTAGAATTCTTTGTCGCGGCTAAACCGTCAAGTAATCTACGGTTTGTCTTGGGTATTTCGTACAATCTAGTTTTATCCTCGAATTTTGGATGTAGTCCGCTCTTCGCGTTGTCCAAACCGCTTTGCGTTAGCGACGATTTCATGGGCAAAGCTTCGCCTCTCTTCTCAGCTGAGAACGGCGTCGTTTCCAACGGCCTAACGGTTCCGGGTAGCTCACTTCTTTGGCCCTGTAGATCGTGCGTTTGCAGATTAATCTCGTGGCCGGAATCTACCTCGTTATAGCCACCTTTCTTTGGCCACACGATAGCTTTTGCAATTGTACTAGGATCAACTGTTTTATTTCTTTTGGCATCACGTTTCCTTCTGCTTTCGTGTACCGGTATGAATGAGCGATTCGCAATAAAAGGTTTCGTTGGTGTCGATTCGTCACGCCTCGACTGCGAATCTTGAGATTCTATAGGTATTTCTTGTTTATTTATCTTTGTTGCAACATCTCTTTCTGGTTCATAGTTTTCATGATCTTCGGGCCATGTAATCTGTTTGAATCCTTTTTCAGTGTTTTCTCTATAAGATTTATTGCCATCACTATACGCAGACCGATTTTCATCTAAAGGTTTAAATCTTCTATGCTGCTTCTCATTGTCGCTAGGATACATCTTTCCTTGCGGACGAGAATAACGATCAGTTTGAGGCCACGTAATTTCTTTCATACCTGTACTAGTATCTAAATTATCTTTACCATATCTTATACTTGCATTATCATAAAGAGAAGTAAGTGGAACATCCGATGGTTTTGTCTGTTGCACGTTTTCTTTTAAGAATTGATCTTGCAATTCGTTTTTACCAATGGTAGAAATAGGTTGTAGATTATCTTCTTCTTTGCTGTTATCATGGAGAGTTCGAAGTGGAATTTTCAATGTAGTTCCAGGTTGCTCGACTTTAGGCTGAATCGTTGCCGAATGGGGCCAAGTGATCTGCTTCTGTCGACTGGCGACTCGGATGATGTCATCTTCGATCGCCTGAATAGATTTAGTTTTGCAGAAGTTCTTGTATCCGCTTGATGGCTCCTCATAGATGGTATCCAGATCTTTGCAGTCGCAGTTCTCGTCTTCGTCTACGACGCTGTGGCAGATCTCGAATGCTTTGATGGTCGTGATGGTCGAGGAGGACGGGGGACAAATGCAGACGCGCGTTCTATTCTCGAACTTGGACAGTAAATTTTGGCATTTCGCCTCGAGACCGGCGATCAGCTCAACGGTATTCCGGGGACAAGCCCAACAAACCTGCGTTTGCTTCTAAAACAACGAAACGAAAACAAAAACAAACACAGAAAGAATGATAGGATGATGAATGGAAAAATATTATACAAATTAAATACGAAATAAAATCAATTAATAAACGGACGAATTAGATTTGCTTTCGGCGCAACACGTCCGCACTCTTGCACTTGTCGTGCAGACTTGTTTCGGTAAATTTGCTCTTCTTTTTAGCTTTGTAATCGAAGAGGAACGGATCCTTCCTGAATGATCGTGGAGGATGCGAATTCACCACCTCGAAGCTGCTCGGCGAGTCGGACGTTCTATCCTTCTCGGGTTTTTCGTTGACGGTATCGCGATCGCCGGATTGTCGCAAGTCTTGGTGGTTGTTAACGCATTCGTGGACGATCCTCCGATTCTTGTAGACAACCTGGAGTTGATCCCCGTCAACTATGCGGAAGGGTTCCTTGCCGATCGTGTCTTCGCACACAAAGATCAGCGAGTTCCGCTCGTGACAGCGGTAGCGCTCCAGGTTCTCGTGCGTCTGCACTGGGCAGCTGACGTCGTCTTCGGCGGGGATCAGCGGGCTCGACGATTCGTGTTCCAGCTGTACGGCCTTCACAAACATACACATACATGGATTGATCAGGATTGGGTTGATTCGGTCAAGGAGGTGGGCCTCATAGGATAAGAAGTAGGAGGCCAAGGTCTCTAGCTCTTGTTCTCTCTCTCTATACAATCTGCTCTTTAGCATCAGCAGTTGTTGTAGTAAAATACTACACTGACCTCGAGTCGCAGCTGCTTGATCTCCTTGCGCAGCTCCTTGATGATGTCGTCCTTGAAATGGGTCTGCTGGTCGGCCTTCCGGCACTGTTCCTCCAACATTTGAACGTCCCGCTTCAATGCCACGATCGCGTCGTGCTTGTCGGCCACCTCCGCGGTCAGGGCGTCCCGCATGTCCAGCATTGACTATAATTCATTCAAATTTTGAAACGGCAACAATCGTGTTTCAATTGCAAGTACAACAAGAATTTTACATTCAAAATTTGAATGAAAAATGCCAAGCGCGTCTACTTATTTAAATTTTTTTTCATTGTTTCAGATTACGAAAAATCTTCGGATATAGAAAACGCGCGCGCAACTCGGACCGCGTGTTTCCACTTCGAGTCTAACTTTAGATTGCAACAATTTTGCATTTTTCATACAAATTTTGTAAAAAGGACCAAACTGTACGACTCACCTGTTTCAGTTCAGCATATTCGGTTGTGACTACAGTCGGTGCTGATTTTAGCTCCTTAATTTTCTCCTCCAACTCCCGAATTTCCCTGAAAAAAGAACAAAAAATAAATATCTTGGAAATGTAATTATATTATATGAATAAATTAAGACATATTTTGAAGTATTAAATATTAATAAAATAAACGTATTAATTTTGAATCATCAGTATGAAGAATAAAATAAATACTCACTCTTCTTTCTCGTGCAACTCGACAAGAGCCTGCAAACATAAAAAACAAAATAAATTAAATAATTAAATCTAATCAAATGCAGTTTTCCATTTTTTTTATTTTCTACCTTATTCGCGTGCAATCCGTGGAAATTTCTAAAAAAATGTGAAAAAAGAAAGGAAAGATCAGTGATGGTCCCTCAGAATCGTCGCTACAGAAGAAAACTTACGACTTTATCCTAGTTCTAAGTTGGTCCACAACGTCTTCGTCCATTGTATAGAAATGGTAATCGTCAAAGTTAACTTTGTTTCCGTTGCAGTCGGTCTTCAGTAGTGTTAAGAGATTGGTCAAATCGCTGCGTAATCGTTCCGTCTCGCGAAACTTTTCCTCTAAATCGAATGAGTAATCTTTATATCCGTTCATCACCTATCCGAAGAGAAGAGACAGAACTTAAGTAAAAAAACAAATATTTACATAAAAGTATGAAATTAGAATTGTGTTTGATCTTAAGATCAATCCTCGAACGTTTGAAAATCATGTTAATTTAATAGTTTGAAATATAATAAATAACGAATAAAGGAAACACAAAATTAAAGATGCCATTAGTAAATCCTCAAACAAAAGCATCGATCTGTCAAGCTTTAAAAAAGTGCTGTGTAATATATGAAAAGTTTTAGTACCTCGTTGGCGCGTTTGGAAGTCTGCTTCAATTTTTTCTCCAAAGCGATGACACGTTCGGTGGCTTCCAGTTCGAGCTCTTCCACGCTCCTCACAAGCATCTCATTCTGCTCGGTTAGATCTCTGATCCAATCCTGCTGCAAATTTAACTTTGCCTAAAAACAAAACATTTTTTTGTGTATAATCTCAACTAACAACCACTCATCGCTCATCTTTTGTAAAATGGTAAAATGGTAAAAAGAATATAAAGCAATACGACTAATAACATATACTTGGCAACAAAAGATAACTAAAATATGTGTTTTAGTATTTTCTAAAACATTATTTTTATTAATTTGTGCATACATTTAATTTTTACCATAAAATAGAAAGTAAAAAAAATGGAAAAGGTCAAAGCTAAATAATAACCAAGGCTTCAAACTTGAAGAAACATTTTCTTTAAACCGATCTCTCAAAATCAAATCAAATTATTAGCACTTTTCCTCAATCATTAATCAATAACCCAAATTTACGTTACCAAAATTTAAAGATTGCTATTATAGCGAAATTATTAGTATGCGAAGAAAAATCGCACGTCTAGACTTTGCAACCATTAAAGACAAACAACAAATAAACAATCACAAAACAAACACATATTTAAATTCAGATAATTATAAACTTCGCTTTCGATTTACTGAATTTAGTTTATATACATACACTAAAAATAAAGAATGAGTGTATATAACATATACTGACGCATGAGAAAATAACTTACACTCTTTTTATTTTAAAATGAAAATAAAATAACAATCGGTAATTAAACACGTAAACGTTTTTTGTTATATGCCAAACGGTGGAATTTTTTTTGTCTACAATCGATTCGTCTTTGTCGGTAATTCGTGAATTTCCTTTTATCGTCAATCATGCATTAATGAAACATACTTAAATGCGTCGCAGTTAAATCCAAGAAACATTACAAAATATATTTATTACATTCTCATATTTATCAAACGAGATCTTTATAGTCATATAATAGGAGGCAAGCATCGAGTTTCCATATGGGAATTGATATTTCTACTTTGCAATTAAATATTTAAAAACAGCAAGAATTTGTGATATTTGCGAACACCATGGTTTATGTTTCAATTATTCATTACAGCTATAGCAAATAATTATTGTTTGTATTGCTGTAATTTTCGCAACTGTTATTCCAAAACCAAGTCTGTGTTGATCGTTAAATTAATATTCGATGTTTATGGCAAGTGCGTATAATTAGATTCTCAGGCCATTGACACCATTCGCAATTAATTAAATATTTTCATTAAATATCTTTAATGAAAAATACTTTGAACTAAATTGAATAACCAAGTCATGTAATTTCATTCTATTCTTAAATTACATGAAACTTGTTGCGTGCTTTGTGATTAATAGAAAAAATGATTTCAAGTGTTTCAACTCTTAATATTCCTAAAATACAGAAAATTCCTTCATTTCCATAGTAAAAAATAGAATTATATATTTTTTATCATAAAAATTAATTATATAATTTTAACATTAATATTTATTATGTGTATCACGAGTTTCAACGTAGTTTTCAATGTTTTTATTAATATTGCGTTCAAATACAAAAGAAAACTATAATTTAGCAAATCTGCATTGAATGATTGTTTTTTATTGACTCAAATTTACCAACAAATGTGTAATATAAACTAGGGCTATTCCCAATTTATATTTATCATATATTTATATATTATCGGTTCGTGGGATTCCATATCAAACATTGAGCAAATTGATAGAACTTGATTTTGAGAGCTTTATCAATCTTTGTTTTGTAAATAAATCAAATATAATTAGATACTTTTTAATAATCATGATGCGTTCAAATATAAATGCCATGAAGCAAAATTCCAAACTTCTATCATACATAAAACTTGTTGATTATTTCATACAGTTTCAATACAAGTTCAAAAAAGTTATAAATGAATGATTTCCTCAAATCTATATTTTTTATAAAACATCAGAAAAATTAATTGAATTATTAGAATTTGCGATTGTTTTGTTTGGGAACAAAAAAAAACTTTAAACTAAATAATTAGAGCCATTCATTAACTTGATATTGAGAAAGTCGATGGTTTTTTTTTATCAGTCTTTGTTTTCTTAATGCATAATTTAAAATTAGACTTAGACAAAGATGCGTTCTATTCTAAGCGGAAGGAAGAAAGGGGTTCAACACACGAAGAAATATCTAGGCGGGGGAGAAAGCAATGGAAAGGATTTTAAAACGAAACGTGCGTCCTAATTTCCTAGTCTTGTTTACACTTACGTACGTAACAGTGCACAGATTAAATTGTAGTTTTAGTTACCTGCACGGTGCAGTCTCCGCTGCCGCCCTCCTCGTCGATGAGCCTCATCTTATCCTCGTAGAGCTGCTTGAACTCGTTGATGATGTTCATCGTGTTTGACTCCAGTTGGCATCCGCACTTTGCGCGCCTCGACGGGCACCCGGCGCTCCCGCAGCCGCTCTCCTCGCCACCCCTCCTCTGCATCATCTCCTCCTCACCCACATCCAAACATTAAAAATAAATAAATAAATTGTATAAATTTTGGAGAACTCCAGCAAAAAGAAAAACTCTGTCAATATCGCACGTTGGACAAACGAGCGAACGCAAGTAAGGAAGAGGTCGTCCGACTCCCCACTTTCTCACTGTTTCACTGGAGATCACTCGGATTGCGTGTCATTTTATTTTTTCAAATCACGCCGCGTGTGTCAGACAGTCGGTAGACCTGTCAGGCCAGGGCCTCCTCGAAAACTGAACAGCATAGGATCGGGGGCGGCAGCGGCGACGGTGATGGCAAGACGCGCGCCCCCCTATCTAAATTTAGCGCCCGTCGCAAGAATAAACTCTGCCCCACAATTCCTCCTCGAGCCGAACGCTCTCTATTTCAACAACTCCTCCTTATCTAATTTACACAACCGACGGCTGTCTAAAACGTACGTACATGCCGCAAATCGAACTCCAGGCATCAATTAATTAAACCATTTGTTTTTCAATAACTCAAAACAAATAAACAACAGTTATAATCGAACAAATACGTAGATCAATTGTCGATTTGCTTGAGCGAACGCGTATCCATCGAGCTCGCCATAATAATTAGCGAAATTAATTACCTATTAAAATTGCGCTCTAGGCAACCCACATCGCTTCAAGTTTACGTAATAGTAAAGAAATTATATCAGTACAGCAAATATGTGGACATCGAACGCACTCAAGCGTTAATTTAATATGCCGTGAATAACGGGTCACAAATCAATCTACTTGCATCAAATTATATAATTGATACACATTTAACTTAATTGATTAAGAAGTGAGTATACGGTTTAAAATAATTAAGCAAGCTTAATATGGGAGTGTCTTAACATAGTTCCTCCCACTACACTACTCATTGGCGACAGCGATAAATAACAATTTTTCGAAGCTACCAAAACATATTTCCATTTTTTTCAATTACAATACCATTGAAGAAGTCAACAGTACCTGCAATCATCAATCATTTATTTTGTTAAATGAATTAAATATATAGTCCACCTAAGTAATTGAACACTCTGTAATTGAAAACAAAATTAAATATATAATATATAATTTTTTTTTACAATCTACTCACCTCCAGTTTTGTTTACTCGCTATTACTACGAAATCTCATAGATATTTATAATTAATTTACATGAAAACAATACATAATACGCGTGTAATAGGTTATCCATCACTGGTTTAAGATATCAACAATTTGCAAGTTTAAACAACATTATTGTACAAGTGACACAATGTTTACAAAATAACAAACCGTGCGTTTTTCAACATAAATATCTGTAAGCTAATCGAAAATTTAATAACACATATCACTTACCATATAAAATTAATCAATCGAGATTTTCGATTTGAGGATAAAGTTGGCTGGGTTTACAAACATTTTATTATACATTTCAATTTTTATATGTATATATATATATATATTGCGACAATTCGTTATTATTTATATTTTTTTCTTCAGTTTTAAACTTTTCTCGTTCTCAACTCTTTGTTTCTTTTTATATTTCTCGTCCTTTTTATTATTTGAGTATGACTTCTGTACATTTTTTTTCTGTGTGCAAACAGAATATTCTTTTATAATAATTAACTAATAATAATATAACCATAATAATTATAATAAGCAAGCAAATATTCAATCATTAAATAATAAAATCAATTATTTACGTTCTATTTATATATATATATAATTATAATCTTCATTTTTTCCTTTAATTCTTGTAGACTTTATTTTTTTTATCTTATATAATATATTTTATATATTATTATAATACAATATATGGAATCGAGGAGTGACAGAAGAAATTAGAAAAGAACCCATACGAACAATAACATTAATAATAATAATTCTTTCAGTGATTACCTTTTATGTTTGCATCCATACAAACTGTACAACCACCTTGTAATTTGTTTTTTTTTCTTTTTTATACATATATAACCTTATTTGTTTTCCTTTTTTAACTACAAATCTCCTAAATTATGTACTTTTTGTTTTTACTCGTTATATACGTGTATATATATCCCCGTTTACAATTCGCAACTACAATCCTGATCCTCTCTTCCTCAATATAACTTACGATTACCTTTTATTTCATTTCGGTTCTAATTGAGAAATAAAAAATTAATTAATGTAGAAATAGAGAAATACATTTTAAAAAAGAAAACCAACGAGGGAGAAATGATTACAACAGAAAATAAAATCCGCCGGATTCTGCAAAAGGAGAGAACAGACAACATAATTACAAACTACGGACGACAAAATCATTTTACAATGTTAATAAATTAGATGTTAAACAAAAAGAGAAAACCTATATTGAATACAATATATTATATGATTTGTTTTATATATATATATAATTCCTCTCATCTCAACTACCGACTATTCATATATATATAATAAATAAAATAATAATAATAATAATGAAGAGAAATCGTATCTACAAATTGTATTCCTTGCAAATCAAAAGACGATGCGTTGCTTAAAGAAAATGCGGTCCCCTTGATTTTTCATCTTTATTTTGTTATTGCTATTATTGTTATTGAACTTAAGTCTAATTGATCCGAGCTTACAGTTTGCATGTGCAAGGAAGGAGGGGCTTCGTGGTGGACGTCGGCGGCGGCAAAGAGGATATGGGATGAAGTAATTTCATAATCGGGTTGGATCGACCTGTTTCGGAACTCGAGGATTCTCTTCGTACTGCCAAATTGATTTATCTTTCTCATTGCTAGCCGAGTGTGCAGTGTTTAGTACGTCTTACATTATATAATACATAGTTTTGGAGCAAAATTGCGTCACAAACAATTTATTATATTTAAATCAAATGAATATAATATACGTAAATTAAAGCTTAAAATTTACTATCCTTCGAAAGTCGTAATCAATTTGACAGCAGTTCACTGGAATCTGTTTAATTTTTTGCCACTTGTTTTTGGTGTGTTTGTGTTCATATCGTTCAAGATCGATGATAAATTAAAATGCAAATTAAGTGTATTAGTATGTGTCATATGGGGTGGGCGTGTCTGGGGGGCGGAGCATGATCGAAGTTAGGAGAGAAAAATTACAAAGAAACGAAACAAAACGATTCCTAGAAAAGAAAATATACACTAATTGATTAAAATAATGTTTATGCAGAATGTAAATATATATGTATATATATTAATCACTATGTATATTATGTGTGGCGCGCGTACGGACCTCTCCTGACCTGAAAATCCAGCACCCCCGGATAGTAATTTTTTGTTTGTTGTTTTTTTTTTGTTATTATATTATATAATTCTTTTTTTTTTTGTTTGTTTTTTGTTTTGTATGCTATACAGTAGAATAGAGTATATATGTTGATAATGCTGCAACTAATCTCACCTTGCAGTGCGATCACTTGCAGCAGCTGCCTGCAGCCCTTGCACCCGTATCACCCTCCGCCAACCTTCTGCCTTGTCCGCTAGCGCTGGCCCCGCTCGCCTGCTCGTTCCTAGGCAATTTCTTTGCTGAAAATTAAACAAAAAAGGTTAAAAACATCGGATGAATATCATCCATTACACGATAAGCTCACCAATTGCCAAGAAGATATCATTGACGTTCATCGCGGTCTTCGCCGAAGTCTCCATGAAGAGCAGCGTGTTTTCGTCGGCGTAGTTCTGCGCCTCCTCAAACTCCACCATCCTCTTGTTGGCCAGATCCTGTTTGTTACCTGCGAGGGCGATCACGATGTTTGGACTGGCCTGGCGCTGGAGCTCCTTCACCCACGTCTTAGCCCTGCCAAATGTATCCTGGTTCGTAATGTCGTACACCACTATGGCGGCCTGCGCACCCCTGTAGTACATTGGGGCCAAACTGTGATACCTGCAACCAAGAAAAAAATAAACTTATCACAAAAATCAGTTACAATCAGATTTAGGTAAAGAATTACAACAAAATTTGCAAGAACGAGCGCAATATTCAATTGGCAGTATAACAAAATAAAGAAAACACCACCACGCACCATCGATTTTTCATTCAACCTTTTTGATCTTTAATGTTGATAATGTAAACTGTATATACAGAATATTACAAAAATGTTAACTACCTTTACGTCATTTTCTTTAACGTCAAATTCTTAATTTGCTTTAAAAATTGGCGAACAATAATTGTAATTTTAAAAATGTACAATGGTAAAATACGCTCACTGTAATCTCACATTTCGAGTCTCAACTTCTAGTAATAATTGTAAGTTAGCGTTACAACTGTTACTAATACTGACCGTTCCTGACCCGCCGTATCCCAAATCTCGAATTTGACTGTGGTGTCGTCCAGGCAGACAGTCTGCGTGAGGAAGGCTGCTCCGATGGTGCTCTCCTGGTACTCGTGGAATTGTCCCTTGACGAACCTCAGCACCAGACTCGACTTGCCGACGGCTGACTCGCCGAGCAAAACCAATTTGAACTGGCAGATCTTGCCCTGCGCCGAGCCGTTAGGCCTCTGAGCCGTTTGAGTTCTGGTGGCCATGTTTTCTGCAAAACAAAAGCAACGACATTAGAAACACTGTACGATAAGATAAACAGCAAAAACTAAAAATTGTCTCAAGACTAAAGTCTGCGTTGCGCCGTTTTACATAAACTAAACAACGTGTTTTGCAAGAAACTACGGATGGAAACGATTTTTTTGCTGCGTGTATGAGCTAACGCGATTGCAGTTTGTATGTGCAAATATGCACATCAAACAAGAAGTTATCTTAGTTTATTGCAGCCGCTATCTTGATAGCCACAGCTACTACAATCCACAGATTTCATTATATTTGAAATATGTGTAACATAACATAAAATAATAGAATCATCTAATTTCAAACGGATATTCCACTTGAAATAGTTAATCTTCTATGTTTTGTGGTATCAAGATTTAGAAACATCTTCATTTCCTGTTGGACACGTATCACTCTCTTATACAAATTACATGTAATTATTGTTATGCATGTATTAAAATATTCTTTATATTTATTTTTGATCTAAAATCATAATACTCTCAACGTAACCCTTACCTACAATTACATATAATGTACAAATTGTGAATCGATAAGATTATTGACGATTTTCAAGTACGCAAATCAAATTTGTTTAATAATGAATTGTCACATCGATAATAATTGAAACAAATATTAAACACTTGTATAATGATTGTTAAAATATATCAAAGAAATGAATAATCAATTCGCTTCTACGTTCGTTCGCAAATATGTTATCGAAAATTATAGAAATAGAACAAATTAAGGTGCGTTAGATTATTAATGTTATTCTGGGAAACGAAAGTTGTCTAATATTATAGGAGTCATCAATAAACGAAAAGTACAAAAAAATATATAGTATAAAACAAAACGTCGACGAAGATTTATTTACAAAATACGGCGATCGCAGCAATGCAACTGTTTTTATTGCGTTGCTTAGTTACATCATGCGCTGTTCGGTGGATTAAATGCAATGCACACCAAAACTGTTTATTAAATATCACGTGAAAAATGTCATATGAAAATTCTACTGAGATGGAAAAAACAAGGATAGCGATTTAAAGATCTGCACTGTGACCTTGACAATGGTTTCATACTTTTTTCGAAATACGCTACTCGACAGTCCGATAACAAAAAAAATAATCCAGGAAGACTAAATATTTGAGTAGCATGAAAGCTTCGCAAAGAACAAAAAATAAATAAACGAATAAACGAATAAAGTGGATTACAAAAAAAAATGCGCACACAATAACGCTTTCTCTTTGCATTTTTCTCTCTCTGTGTTTTGTTTTCGCACATGAAATACCTGATTATTTATTGTTGGAAGCAACGTCAGATGAGGCAACCACAACAAAGGAACCGCGACACGCGAAGGGGAGGAAACGAAACCTAGGAAGAGCTGTTATCAAACGAGTGGTGATTCATCCACGCAGAGTGGAAACTGGGCGTCCATTCGGCCACTTCTTATATATAAATATATATATATATAGGAGACAATAACTCAAATACAAAAGCGAAAAAACTAATTTCAAGGGCATATAATCAGGTTAATATTTATTATTTTCTTTCTACCCGATGATCTGTGTCAGCTGAGGTGACGATAACCTGCGGACGACTCTCTGTTCTCGCACTCTACGTATCTAATCAACAGGTCAGTCCGTTTTTTTTTTCATTCCCAAGGCGTTCTAAAACAGAAAATCCTCGGCTAACCAGCTTATGACGCAAGGGAGAGGATCGAGCTGGAAATAGAGAGAGAAGAAAGACGGAAGGATTCGCAAGAAACAAATAGATCGTAGAAAACAAATGAAGAAACAAACAACAACAATGGGAAGCGGTGTGTGTCTGAGACAGAGAGAGAGAACGAGAGACGAAGGAGATAGCAGCCTTCAGGGCCTACCTACCTTCTTTATCCGTTTCGCGTTTATTATCGTAAGGGGCGACTGTTCGGAGCTTCTTCTCTTTCCTACCACCACTTTAATATTACTTGTGGACGAAACGGCGCTATGAAATCCTATACATTGATTCCTAATGCACTTCACAGCTTTCGTGTTCGTTGCGGAACAGTCGATGGGACACCAAAACCAAACAGAACTCGATTAAAAAGACGACCAAAATGCACACAGAGTAAATGACACACAAGAGTTTGCACTTTCCACCGAAAGTTTCGCCTCCTTTTGACAGGAGACAGTGGCGGAGGTTACGGCGTTGCCGCACCTATGTGTTGGAATTCCAACAACAAATCTTATTGAACCCACATTTCAAAATGCAAACAATTATCAAATGTACATTCCTCCAACAGATCGTCCATCAAATGAATTTAAACCTGTACATGACCTAAAGACCAATACCTGATCGAGTTCATGTCGATTACAAGCATTTTTCGATATAAAAATAAGGACTATTGGCAACGGCGTCAACGTCGGTAGGACAGCGCTCTGCACGAAGTGCCACATATGTAATTTACAATGGATATAGTATTGCGCTCGTCTCGGGCCGATGAATGAACAATGCTTACGATCTTTTTCAAGTGCTCTAACTCACCCATATTAATTCGCTAGCAAAATCGACTCAAGACGTTTGGAATTATAGAAAACATAAAGCGATGTTTTGGCACCGACGCTACTGTCAATGTCAGTCGTGCAATCGGTGCGGGGGTGCACGGCGCCAAATTCAAATACACACCTTTTTCTCAAGTAGATCATTAATATTTGCAATTAATTTATGCAGTGCCATTAGATGGTTACGCTATGACTTAGACCAAAGTTCGAAAGTTGTTTCCAATTACGATATTATTGCATATTCATTTAAATTAACCTAAAACTTATAATTGAGCAAAAAATTATAATGTGAATCATTATTTCCGACCATGATAAACACTTTTATAAAGAAAATATAATTATCGATACTTTAATTTACATGACTTAGCTCAATGCATATTACTACTTAAAATGTATATTCCTAATATGCTTTTTTTAATAGAAATATACCGTGAACTTGCGTTAATTAATCCTCATATTAATTATAAAAAATTTCACAAATAAATCAATTTTTATTAAATCTAAATACAAATTTTAAAAGCAGATAAAACTTACTTGAAATGGCATTTGTGATGATAATGTGTACTGCTTAATTAAAGCAATATATTTTAATAAAAGATAAATGTTATTCCATAATAATATTAAATTGCAAGACAACTTATTTTTTTAAAATACCTATAAAATTTAAAAAATAATTAAAAATTTGACAACACATTTTTTGACATTGACAGTTCAAAATTACTAATATTATAAAATAAGGGTATTGGGTCTTTGAGGTTAGGTTATAGAATGTTACGAGTTTTAAATTGTTTGAAGGGGCTGCAACTGGGGGCCGAGGCTTTGAGCCCTAATCCTACCTTACAAACGGTGCGTTGGCGAAGGAAGCCCCGATGGATTCCAAAAGCCAGGTCGAAGTTGTTCAAAATTCCAGAGATCCCAAAAATTCCGAAGGAAGAGAACGATGAACTCGCAAGGCTATTCAACAATTATAGAACCCAAATGAAATCGATCCGGAGACATTTCACCTACAAGTACTGCACGCACATGCAGAAAACGGAGAATCTTAATCAGAAACTGGAAGAGGAAGCAGATTTGAGGAGATGCATCGAGTTGAATGATAAATGGAATGTTGAAGTTAAGAAAACTCGAGAAGCTAGGATTGCTGCTGACATTGAGAAGGAAGTAGAATTAGCTGAGGATAGAGTTTTGGAGAGGCAACGGATCAATGCTGAGAAACTTGAAGAAGCTGAGAAATTGGTTAGGGAGCAAAAGGCTGTGGCCCATACATTTATCACTAGTGAAAATATTGATGAGGCCATTGACAAAGCAATCAGCAATGAGGTAGATTACAACTTCTCCATTGACTTAGAAGGAAACAAGTACATGGGCAGAACAAAAAGTCCAGATGAAGAAAAAATAGCTGTTAAACAATAAATCAAATGTATTCTTAGTAAATAAACTAATTGAAAAGTGTTTTGAAGAAATCTTTTCTTTCCTCTGGATCAACCTCTGGTTCTTCCTGGCTCTTGACTGCAAACAGTTCTTTGTCTTGATATTCTTTGTTTATGAGATCCAGCTTCTTTTTCTTTTTCAAGTCCAAGTTTTGTGTGAAGAAGTTTGTCTTATGTTTAGCACTCTGGATTTCATTACGCAACTTCTGCTTTCTGAATTGATTCTCATACATTAAACGTTCATGTAGGTGGTTCCATTTGAAATGTGACAGATATTTCATGCTCCATATTTGGTCATAATGCTTTGATTTTTTGCGGTTGTCTACTTGGGTATTGTTCAATAATGTTGCAACCCTTTTGGCTACTGATTTTTTGTCAAACTCGATCCAACCCTCTTTATATTTTCTGGAACCTTTCATATGCTTCCATTTGATCTCCCCAGTTTTTGAATCTGCAATGAAACAATCAATTTAAGACATATTTTATTTATAAAGTAATAGAAAATAACATACCTTTATTGTCTAATACTAAATAAACCCTTCCAAGTTTACCAAACTGTTGGAAGTATTCCCTTATTAAAAGGACGTTCATGTGCGATGGTATTTGCGATAAATATATAATTCCCTTTTTCGGTTTCTTCTTCACCAAATCTTTCGATGATCCCGGCTGCGGTTCTTCCATTACTTCTGGCATTTTAAACAAACTATATATTTTACTTTTATTAAAGTACTAATGAAACAACATGTTACTGAGGTTATGTTTAGTATTTATATTTTTTGACATTTTGAAAAAAAAACACGTGTTATTATTGTGGTACTAACTTAGGTCATTAACAAGTTAAGTTGGCAAACAATTCAAATTTAAACTGAATCAATTTTGTGCGTCTTTAAATGATGCATTACGGAGTCTTCGGAATTATTGAAGTACAAATTGCAGATATCGCATTTCCAGAACTTTACAATGAAGAAAGAGCCCTCGCTGACTGTATTCCCGCCACCAAATATATCTTCAAGATGAACTTTGTAAAGGTGACTCTTCATGTGGTAACTCAAGTAGACATGACTAAAAATCATCTTACAAATTTCGCAAGTAACTTTGAAGTGAATGGGATTGACTTTGATGCCATTATGATGGGTAGCCTTATGATACTTCATCTCGTGATTGCACTTCAATCTGATCTTGCAACTATTGCAACTGACACTCATGCAATTGTCCTTCAACTCTATGTTGATATTGCGGAGGACTTCTGTTGGAAGCGTTGAAATTATCATGGGCAATCTATTCTGGAGGTTATTGGTATTGTGGATGAGCCGCATGTGTTTTCTGAGTTGTGATAACGTTAAGTATTGCTTGTAGCATATCTTACACACAATCTGCAATCGCTTCTTATTCAGCTTTACTTTAGACTTAGGCGGTTTAGATTTAACATCGGTTTTTACCGCAGCCAGTAACTGTTTCCTATCTTCATCGTTATCCAAGTTGATGATTTTCAATTTTTTTAACCCTTGACATTTCGTTTGATTCTCCAACGGGTTAACCGCAACGTCGTTGTTTGTTTTTGTAGTAGGAGGCAGAATGGAATTAAATTTAGTTTGACTAGTATAGTTATTGGTCATTTCCTTGACTGTTTCCATCATTGACAGGCATTTTTTCTTAAAGTCAAACGACATGTAAACATTGGCTAAGCAATGTTCACAAATCACGGCGTCTTCCAGAAAATTGTCATCCTTCATGAAATTATTCTTATATATTTTATCTTAATCATTCACATGCAACTTACCAATTCCGGTTGACAAAGACGAAGTTTTTGCTTTATACTTGGTGCACCGTAATTAATATTGTAATATTGCGCGGATTCCTTCCCCAAACACAATCTACAGACAAACATTTTCCAAGTGTCACTTAGAAGTTTGAATTATGCTTTTTTTTTGAATAGATGTCAACAACAAAAAAATATGAAGCCTATTGTCACTATTTGATATGTCAAAAATGATATAATTATATGGGAACAATAAAAAATACAATAATTTAACTTAAATCACTAAAGAAATCAGCGACATTCTGACGTTTGGACGACGGCAGATTCATCTCCGACTCTTTCCGCTTAGTGTTCTTCTTGTCGACCTTCTCAAAGTCCTCGAAATATTGAATGTTCCAAAATTTGATGTCATTGAAATGCCCACTAGATGCAATGAATTTTCCGTTATTGCAGATATCAACGCTCTCTATAACCAAATCATGTTGACCGACGATACCTTAAAAATAATAATTAGTAATTGAAAATAATACATAATAAAATTAATTGGACTACCTAAATGTCGATGTGGGAATAGATGTGTAGCTCTTAAAACGCCATCGTCGCAAGCTGTGACAACGATATTTTCAGTGATCGGGATTAAAGCGTTGATGTTCGTATCAGTCGTTGGGAACATATCGCTATGCAGACCAAATTCGTTCCAATTAAACAAAAGTAGCTTGCCCCTCGAAGTACTTGCGAGCAATTTAGTTTCTTGTTTAAACAAACCAAGAGCAGTCAAATCCTCTTCATATTCTTCAGATTGCACAAAGAACTGTCTCTCTGCCAAGTCTATTGTGGTTAAAGTGCCATCAGCACTGGAGCAAAGCATATATTTCTTTTCATCATGAGTTACAATGTCTGTAATGGTATCTTCATTCTTTTTGAGCTTGAATATGTGCTTAAGATTATTCTCCCTTTGATCCCATAATTTTATAACACCTTCATCATCACCTAAAATCAAGAATTAATAATTATTTATAATTAATTGAATGTTAAGAATAATTTAATTACCAGTAGCAAACAAATTTTCATCAATGACTCTAACACAATTAATCGGGTTCTCATGTGCTTTCTCATAAACTCTAACCATTTGCTCAGTCTCAACGTCAGAGATCACAACACATTTGTCTTTTGATGCTGAAAGCAAATACTTTCCATCTCCACTGAAACTTATATCCCTGCAAGCCTTAGCGTGAAGCTCCAAAGTAGATTCCAATTTATTTTCCTCATTTCCATATCTGTATACAAGAACATCTCCTGTTATCAAGGCTGCTGCTATCAAATCCTCATTTGGATGAAACGAAATCTTGACAATATGGTCTTCACATTTTATCATTGGAGGATGATCCCTCTTCTTTGTGTGTTCCTTCTTGATAGCCTTTATCAATTCATCTTCCTCTTCCTCACCATGATCATACTGTGTTACCATAGTATCAATCTCGCTCTGAGACACATCTGATCCAGAGTCAGAATCCGAATCGGAATCACTCATACTGACATCGCTGCTACTGGACACATCCTCGTCGCCGCTATCCTCGCTCGCTGTCATATCCAGACCCTTCTTCATATTTCCCATATTCTTCCTTGGAACACTCAGTTTAACACAATAACAATGCGTTCGGAGAGGTTATGGTATGGAGTATTATGAACTTTGAAAGTGTGGTTAAGAATGTCGATTTCCATCAGCTGTCAGAACTTGACATCAAACAAATTTTTAAAAAATATGGCGCGAATTTACAAACTGTCATCTCTTATGATAATTGGACATAAAGATGTTTACTTGTAATTACAAAAAAACATTTCATAAACATATATAAAATCTAAAGTTTACATTTACCAATGAAATATTTTTTTCTTCAATTTAAAAGGAATGGAATTAATGCAAGTAAAAACATTTGTAACTTTCAATAATTTTACTAGAAATCGTGTAGATTAAATTACTTAAAACATATAGGATAAAACAATGTTATTTTTTTTTAAATAAAATCGACACATGCGTTTATTTCTTTTTAAAAAAATCCATGAGGGTCTTTTGGTTTGCAGGCTGTTGCTTCTTCAATTTAACGGCTGGCTTTATCGGACTGATCTTTTTTGGCAATGAAGTTTCTTTTTTAGTTTGAGGATTCTTTTGCTCCTTCTCTTCTTCGCTACTATCGGATGCGCTCACTGTAACCCATTCCTTCTTGGTAACTGTAAATATAAATAATTAAAGTGATATTAACGCGACAGCAGGATTTGCAACAAATTACTCATGTATCCATCTTCGTCCATGAAGTTTTTCTCAACTTGTTTCCGCCTTTTATTCTTTGGTTTCGAGGTTTCTTTGGACACATTAATGGAAAACGTCTCCTCGTTGTCCGATAATACAATATCTTCATCGTCGTCCTCCCTCTTTTCTTCATCAGCGAACATATCTGCAAATAAAAAATCGTAAAGTCAAACATTTTCCAATTATCAGACATTTGATTAAATCACCATCACTGTCGGAATCGTTTCTCTGCACGATTCGCTTTCGCTTTTTCTTAGGTCTCTCCGTACTGGAATCATTCTTCCTTTTCGAAGTCTTAGGTTTTGACTTCTCTTCAACTTTTTGCCGTTTGTTCCTTGCCTCAATCTTCTGCGCCTCTTCGTCCGTATCACTATCAAAGAAAGTATCCGTCTTGCGCTTCGCCGTTTCCTCCTTCTCCACCTCTACAACATCTGTCTTCTTTTCTTCCTCTTCCTTATCCACCTCTATAACTTCCTCTTCAGGTTTTACTTTAGGTTTAGTTTCCGTCTTGATGACAGGACCTTTTGTGAAGAAACTAGCTAAGCCGCCTTTTTTGGCTTTATTTGTTACTTCATTTTTAGGAGAGATCTTATCCAAGAAAAAAAAAAATATATTTTATAGTTTACAGTAAAATAAATTTAATAGTTAGTATTACCTTAATTGTTGTTGATTTTTTGGGTGAAACCTTTTCAATTTTAATCTTAGGCTCAGATGTGTCCACTTTGACTTTACCAAACAAATGGGAAGCTTTAGTTTTATCAACTGGAGCTGCCCTCTGTGTCTCTGGCACCACAAATTTTACTCTGACATTCCTCTTAATACAGTTTCTTCCTGCTATTAAAAACCTAAAAGAACAGAATATAATAATGCTTAACTTCCTATATGTCAACTAACTTTGTGTCTTTATTGATGTCAAGGTTGTCAACCATAGATATGACATTAAGATCAACTTCATTTGCCTTCTGCACACTGTAAATTAATTCTGATACAAGTGGATCAAAAAGATTCTTCTTCACTTCAAGTTCCTGTTCCCTGGCCAAGCATACTGTAATATTTCCTGTTTCCTTGAGGACTCCTGACAAGATCCAACTTGTTGACAAATCATTTGGTTTCAGAGATCTGTGGTCTTTCACAAATGATGTTAACAGCTCTCTGGCCCTTTGAGGCCCAACTTTTAGTTCTCTACTGAGCCATGCAAATGTTATCTGAAAGAAATAAACAATAAGAAGAGTATTTTTCATTGATACAAAAATATCTTACTATTTTGTCCTCGTCGAAAATAAAGTCGTTTAACTTTTGCAGATATAAATCTTCCTCGTCACTGCCCATAGTTGTTATTTATTTATGCTTATTAGCAAATAAAATGTAACTACCCTAAACACGACAAGCGGGAAAATTGAGGAAAATTTTGACTTGATTAACTGAGGTTATGTTAAATGTCAAAAAAATATAAGACTTGTTATTGCTTGTTACATGTCTTTATTTCTTTTAAATTAGTTTAAATACATTTTAACAAAGAAACAAATACAATTGATGGAAGATCATTATTATATCATTTAGAATAAATAACATAAACAAAATAAGATAGTGGAGTTGCCTATAGTAACCCAATTTTCGTATTAATTATTGAATGTTCTGATTGGAACATAAATATGTTTATTAACGTTAACATTAGAATCTAACGAGTATTTAAAATAATAATTAACCATTGGGTCGTTCTACCCAAATTAAAATAAGTAATGTAATATAGTTTTTAAGAAGATTTATTTAATTTGAAACAAAAAAGTTCACATTTTCATAATAGTTTTTTTTTAATATATACCTTTTTCATATATATATTATAATTTGGCATTTTAAAGAAAATCTATGTTAGATATAATCTCTCACATTATATAGCTCTCTCTGTTTCGTTGAAAAATAAATTCATTCAATATATTCCAACATATTTTATACATCTATACAATTTAAACTTTTCCCCACTTCATTCATTGCTGCACGTTTTAAATCCTAATAATACTCGACAAACAAAGAAAAAAAATACAGGTAGAGTAAACCTAGTATGAATGAATGAATTGCATAAGAAATGGAATCTTTAAGCGATACAAAACAAACAAAATTTTATCGAATTTAGAATCAAATGAAAATAATTAAAAAATAAAAGTTGTAAAACCTTATACCGACAACACACTTATTATACATTTTTTTATATATATATATTATTAGAAATTAATACTTAATTTAGTCCTAGGCCCTGAATGCTTATCTCACTCGCACTTGCTCTTCACAGTCGATATTATCATATTGGTTTGATGGATTAAATAAAGAGCGCTTACGAATACGGAATTTGCGCTGAAAATCATAAAATGTTAACATTTCAATTGTTATTACAATATTTGAAATTATCTTACTGTCCTTCCTTGAAATACTCTTTCAGAGTGTTACTGAATCTCTTCGAGTATTTCACAAATTCCCTTTTGCGTTGATCAAGAGCTTGCTTTCCAGTTGGACCTGGTATGAATCCATTCACTTCATTCACTGCATCCAACAGTTTCTTGATGGCACTAGCAATTTCCCTGAAGCAATATTAAATTATTAATAACCTAAGTTTTCTTGAAAGCATTATGAGACACATACTTAATTATTTCCAAGAATGTTTTTCTATCTGTGATTTCGTCAGGAATTCGACTGAGGATTTTCTTGAGTGTAGCAGACTTTTTATTCAGTTCTTGAAAAGCGTCCTCGGAACGATTTAAACGATATTCAACCACTGTAAATGAATCTTAGTTATTATGGCTTTTGTTTTTTTATTAATTTGAGTTACCGTCAGAATCATTGAGGGCCCCTTGCAGTCTCAGGATGCTTTCATTCATGTTCACATTGAGCTCACCACGACGCAAGATGCCCACAACTAGATCATAGGTTAGTCCAGGGAAGGAGCTTTCTGCTTTCGACAGGGCAGCTCTGAGTGTTTGTGAGGCTGATACATCACGTCTCTCCAACTGTTTGAATTTTTAATTGAATTTAGACACAAGTAGTTTTTAATGGTTTACTATGCTAACTCACCTGCGATAGGATTGGGCGTATTAGCACTGGTAAAATTAACGTTGTTACTGGCGTCTCGTCACCCATTGTCATATTTCCTGTTTCGTCTGAATTACCTACACGATATCTGGGGGGCTTACGAAGGGGGGAACCGTTCTCCGATGTCTCAATGGATGTGTTTTGTTTCGTTACGTCTGTCACCAAAAACCAAATGTCACAACAACTGCGCGAGAGAGACGAAAAACATATAAAATCTGACGGACGTGATTCATAGACATACGTCAAAATTGGTGGAGGCGGTCGATGCGATTGGTCGGATCGGTCACGTGGCCGATAATAATGTGAATATTGATAACAAATTTGTTTATTTGAACTTGAACATTATTGTTTATATTGTTTTATTTATATCTTTCAATATGATCTTCGGGTTTGTTGTTTTAGAAATTGGAATTGGTTAATTTGTTTTTGCCAAGATCGTCAATAGAAAATTCTGAAAAGTTACTAACAATTATCACGTGACCGATAAGTGCGATGATTTTTCGTAATGATATAATTGTCGACTGAACACCCCCCACCATCGGGAAACGATAACAAAAAAAATCAAGGTTGAGCGTGTTCAATTGCTTCGTGTGTACTTTTTTTTCGGGTGTATAGAATGGTAGTCAGTTGACGGTTGACGACGGCGGCGGTGTCTCACGAAATGCACTGAAAGTTTGGGGCGCTAGGAGCGCGGTGTACAGGCAAATGTTTATTCCGATTTGTTTGTAAACAACAACTGGTGACTAGATGTTAGTGAAGATGGGACAGACGAGCAGCTTTCCGAAGAGCCGTAGGCGATCCCTGCGCTCGCCCTTTCTCTTCAGGAGGTCCAGCAAAGCGAACCTCAGCCACACGTTCAGCCTCCCAGAGGAATGCTCCAAAATCGAACAGCTCAACGTGAACTTTGCCTCAGAGGAGGAACTGATGACGCTACCTGGGATCAACAGGGAAATTGCCAAAGGGATCATCAGGCATCGCCAGCAAATAGGAAGGTTCAGGAAGATAGAAGACTTGGCCTTGGTCCCTGGGATCGGGGCTGAGAATCTGGATAGGATAAAGGCTGAGGTGTGTGTCAGGAGCAATAACAGTAACAGCAACTCCAGGGCACAGAGTGTGGACAGTTTGAAGTGTGAAACTAGAATACAGTCAAAACTTATCAACCTGAACAAGGCCAGTGTTTTTGATCTGCAGGAGACCCTTGGTATCACTCAGGAGATGGCTGCAAACATTGTCTGTTACAGAACAAAGAAGGGTGACTTTAAAAAGGTATTTTCTTTCATAACTATTGAGTCCAATATTTGAATGTATAGTGAAATCAAGTTTTTATTTGTCTCAATTCAAGTTTGTTAATTTACGAATGATTAATTGTCATGGATTTAAGTAATAATATAATACTTAAGAAACGTTTTCACTAAACAACATAAGTGTTGTCATGGTTTTTCCAAAACTTTGATTTAATAACCTTGATGGAATTTTAAAAAATAACATAATTTGAAGTGTTATTGTAATTATAATTGTAACTTTTAACACATTTCAATAGTTCTAATGATATTTAAAAAAAAAATGAATTTAATTTTAATTAGAACAGTTCTTTATTTAATTTCAATTACAGGACTTTGTTGAAAGAATGTTATCGCGTTTTTTGCTGCAACGGTTAATCTATTTTCTTTTGTATTCATTATGCAGTTTCCATTTGATTAGGTAACTAAGAAAAACAATGTACAGCTATTGCTTGATTCTAATTATGCTACATATATGTAGTTTCTTGCAAGAAGTGAATCAATACTAATTTTTATTGGGTCGCTAGTGTGTCGAGGGTCGTGTTTTTAAAATTGCTTTGATGCACTAAAAGTTTGGGAAATCTTGGATTATTATGAGAATTAATTATTTTTGATATGATTTAAATTGCTTACCAATACCGATAAAAGAAATATACCATATTTACTTGTTGTATCTTAAGTAATCGAGTTCCGTTGCATTCCGTTGCGCGTTCGTTCGGTCGATGGATGTGCAAGTGACGTTTTCTAAAAAAAAAATTTCTATTTTTGTTATGTAATGTTATGCGGCCGGACTAATTGTGCTTTGGACCTTTGCACCTCTGAATGGGCGAACTATTACAAGGTTAATGGCGTTTTTCTTATCAGCGCATTTAAATGCACGCGCGGTGCTGCGAGTACAACCACCATTATCGTACAGACTGTAATCGTTTCCTTGGTACAAAATTTGAATTGTCCGCACTTGCCTTGCACCTCATTCGTTTATTGAAGATATATCCTCCAATCCAATATCGTATTATGATTATGTTCCCTGTTTCTAAAAAAATCCGATCCCGAACAAACATAAAGCCTTATCGACGTGCCCATCCATATCCACAATATATTATCTCGAGTGTACGGATTAATAAAGAACGCAGATTTGGTTTTCAAGATTAGATAAGATGACTCCGGCTTGTAGAATGGTATTATAATGATGTATGGAATTGAATGGCTGTAGTCATTTCAAATGTACATTCGCTGCTTATTAATATAATAGATAAGATGCGTAGCGATAAGTTGGCTGCGAAACTTTTGTCTGGTCCTCAGACTTGGCAAGGAGAAAGATGGAAATACTCGCACGCCCATCGCAATTTTACAATAGTTCTATTTATATAAATATATATATATATATAGGAGAAGAAAGCAGGTGCAAAACATTTTTATTAAACACCTGTTGAAAAACAACCTTCGACGTCATGTTGTGTGCGAATTAATTTCTCGTTTGCTTCAATCAATTGTCATCGATTAAATAATCAATTGCTGGGCTGCATTCAAACGAATCTTTATTTAAACTTTTGCAAATTTTGCATTTAATTAAATATAATAAAGGTGAAATTCTGATCTAAATTTTATTGTATGAAAACAATTGATTATTTATTACACATTTATGATAGGCAATAAAACTATGCCTTCCAAGAAAGCAATCTCATAGTTAAAGTATATTATTATGTAGTTTGTTATCACAATTTGAAAATGACACACCTAACTATGAAAAACAGGTTGAATGAGATAATAGATGTCTAATCTCTAATAAAAATAAACTCAATTTAATCTGGAATAGGAAGCAAATGCAATAAATGAAAAAATGAAATAAAATTAATATAAAATTAAATCAATTAATTAATGCTTTCACTGAATATGATTGTTTTATGTTTATTGTTCGTAGATTGAGGACTTGCTGAAGGTGAAGTCCATAAGTGCTATGAGATATACGAACATGTGCCAACACCTGACCATTGAAGATGAGTCGGGGGATTCAAATTTATCTAGAACAACGAGCGCTTCAGAAGTACGCACAAACGGGTCAGTTCTCGCCAATGGTACGAGTACTCCTACAAAGCACAGGTATATAAATAGATTAGCGTTTGTAGCGTGTTATACAATTGTGATACTATGGTTTGAATTCAGGAAAACGTCGAGTGCGCCGGTGAAGCTGCACGTGGCGAACGGATTACCATCGCCATCATCGCTGGGCGATATATTTGATTTGTTATCCGCTTACTCGCACAGACCGATACCTGAAGAGGACTTTAGGTTCAAGAGGAACGGGAAAGATGCCATCAGAGTTGCGACGTGGAATCTGGACGGGTTCAGCTTTGAGAAGGCGCAAAACATGGGCGTCCGGGAGGTGGTCTGCAGGACAATCCTCGAGAATAGATGGTCGATTGTGTGCTTCCAGGACGTCCTCGAAGAGGAAGCACTTCAGTTGATAGTGGACGAGCTGAACTTTCCACGTCTGAGAAAGGTGACGGAGTTCAGGGCGAACAGCCGGGAGTGGCAGTGCTCGGTCCTCGATTCGCACCTTGCTTTCATCTACGACACACAAAGCGGAAGTAAGTTTTTCTTCGATCTGCTAAGCCTTCTGCTAAACCATATCAACATTTGTATTTGCAGGTATCGGCGTGGACATGATCACGTTAAAACAGGAAACTTTAGAGGAGTACAGGGCGGCCTTGGCCGAGTTCACCGTTGGATTGGTGAGATTGCAGATTCTGAACGTCGAGTTGCACGAGAAGGTCCCCGTTGAGATGATCGAGGAGAAACTTAAGGAGCTCAAGGATCCCAATCAATTAGTAGTGTTGGGTGACTTCACCAATCTAGTGTGTGGCGACCAGAGGCGGGAGATAGGCAATCTTCAAGCCGTCCTGCCCGTCCAATCGAACACCAGTTCTAACAATGTGAAGACCAAGTATTCGGATAACATATTAGTGTCCGGAAATGTTAAGAGTTTGTTGACAGGGAGTTGGAGTGTCGTTCGGCAGGGCCTCACGCATCTGGCCATACCCAATGGGTGGAGCTGGGGCGGTACCGTCTCACCTCACTGTCCAATCTGGACCGAGCTCTATGTGGCCCCGCCTTCCGAGAATGGTTTCTGATGTCTGTGTTACTTCTCCATTATAATTTCTTTCCTCATCATCCTTTCCAGTTACCTCCAGCGATGAATTGCTTCTCTATTCATCTATTACAAATCGAACAAAATGCAAGCTAAATTATATCGGTGGGAACAAATGACAGGCGATCGTGGTCCGATTTTTATCAATGATTGTGATAATTATGTACTAAATTTTTATTTAATGATGTATATAATAATAGTATATATATTTTATGGTGTTGATTAAAATGCAAAAAGGACAGAAAATAATAGGTATATATATATATTTTGTTATTTCAGAGAATTTGGATTTAGTGAAAAAATGTTATCTACTATTAAAAACTTACTTCTAGAAATAAAATTGTTTTATTTTTATTAACCGTTAATTAGAATTTGCTCTTTTGCAAAAAAAAAAAGTATCATATTTATTTAAATACTAGAGCATAAATCTAAAATTGCAATTTATATGTTTAATAAGTTGCCTATAATTATTTTGCTAACAATTAGTTTCTGTGCTATTGGAAAGATGGATTATTTGTTCATTTTATCCTTTATCCAAAATAAATATAAATAATTAAAAAGTGTTCAATTTCACTTCAAGGTCTGATCGAGGTAAATCTGCAATTCCAATAGGATATGATCAGCTGATCCTATTTGACGTTTTACAACATTTTGACGTTCCGTATATGTTTACTTGAAATGTTTTGATTTACGATTCGTCATCATTTGATAAGGTTTCAAACAAGCTCATTGTACTGGCATCGGTAGTAAAATATACGCATTTATAATTTGCGATAATATCTTTTGGGCGGAATGTTTTCTATTTAGTCGAATTGTTCAACTGTTATTATTTTAGCTACTCGCAATTGGAACGGACCAACAATGAATGGGAACATCAAGACGTCGGCAGATACCCAGATACAAAGTGAGCCACGAAATTGCTTGAATTCAGTTCCATTGTTTCAATCTGCTTCGTTTACAGTTGCTCTGGGCAGTTTGCTGGAGACAGTGGTTGATAAGTATGAATTTGTTTCGGACACCATCAGTACATCATTGAGGAAGATAGCCAAACAGCATCCGAATGATGTTCTCAAGGCCTGCAGCACCTTCGGAAGGTTGAAGGATGTTGACTTGGATCACCTTGGAGTGGTCCTGCTGATTATGGAGGATGTATGCAGGGAACATATTGTGTCTATTGATGGGGACACAATCATGATACTGATTGAGCTCTGCTTGGACCTAATGACTGACAATGTGAATCATGAGCCTAAAGTGCAGATGCCAGCTTCTGGAGTGTTGGTAGCACTAGGAACCAAACACTGCATCCAAGTAAATTATTTAAGAACATATGATGAATGAATGCTATTATGTAATTATTTTATTTTGTTTTTATAGGTAGTTGATGGTTTGATGGGCAAGCTAAGTGCAGGAGTTGTGCCCCATTATACAGTTCCTCATACCTTAGGGTCTTTAGCAAGTGCAAATGCTTTTGGTGTAGTTCCATACATAAAGAATATTTTGGGAATACTATTGCCATTACTTGCTGGCCTGAAGCAAGACGTGGTTAAACAATCATTCGCCTATGGTATTTATGCTCGATTTCCGAAATTCGACAAGAAGATTGACTAATCCTAAGTAATTTATAGTATTAGGAAAATTTTGCGAAGCCATTTTGGAGTACACCACGAATCCGGAGCAGGCACCAGATCCCACGATCTCCATTGTTGATTTCCAAACGGAAATGTCCATGGCGTACGATGTCCTCTTCTCAATTTGGTTGCACGCCAGGGAGGTGAAATTGGTGGAGACGGTACTCTATGCTTTGGGCGCAATGTTCAGCATTCTAAGTGAAGAGAAGGTCCGACAGCACACGAGTAAATGCATCCAAGTGCTTTTGGCGCAGTACAGGAAACACAAGGAGGCGCAGGCGATAACAAAGTGCCTGGGTTCTGTGATTTTCATCTCCTCCCGTCACGACGGTACTTTATTGGAACCTCAAGTTGGCGTAATACTGCAAGCCCTTAGCGACTTGGTTTGCATTGCTCCCGATTACGCTCAACCAGAGCTGTTGAGAACGCATTCAGAGGTTCTCAGATGCTACGAGTGTCTCTGCACTCACTACACCGATCATACATTGGATCACATCTTGGCTCAGATGAAGAATAATGCCGAGAAGGATCGTATCAGGGGCTTGGTAGTTTTGACGCACCTTACGAACACAGCCAACGGCACCATAAAGAATAGACTAAAAAATGTACTTACAGCATTGGAGAACATGCTGAACGAGACCAATATGCGCGTGAAGAAGACGATAATGAAAGCCATTGTCGCGATTGCTTACAAAGGTCTCTTAAACAACGCAGAGGTATCCGCGGAAAAGTTTCTCAAGTTTATAGTATCTCTCTGCTGCAAGCAGCATATATACTCTCCGACGGATCAGCAAGAGATCACGGAGACCAAGCAGGTGGCCGATAACACTTTGTACATGCTGAGTACCTCTGTGAAAGAACTGGAATGCGTTCTGTGGGATTTGTTGCTTAAATGCCTACTGGCTGCCGAATACTCGGATGCTTGCGTGGTTTTGTTGCGCTGCCTCACTCATCTTGCCTCTCGAAAAGTTAGCGGAGGTCAGAGCAGCGATGCCGCGTTCGTACGTTGTCTAGCATTGCTGGCACGTCCATTAGATAATTTCAGAGGTAACTTTATTATAAACTTCCTGAGGAATGTCAAGCTATTGGATTCGGAACCTTTCAATGTGATCTGGGAGTCACGTCTCCCGCATCTGCTGAAGTATCTCGAGCAAAACTACGATTCGTTCAATGTAAAGGAATGGGAAGATCTCCTGTTTGATTTTCTTACCACGTTATTAGAGGCAGCCAACGACATCAAGTTCGAGGAATCGCTTGTGACCTGCATTAAGGACCAATTACCGCTTTATGTGAACAGGTAAGTGCATACAATTAGACTAGTTGAAAAAAAAAACGATTTATTTATTGTTGGGATTCCGTAAAAAATACTTAGATATAATTATAAATTATTGAATTATGTTGACATGGAGACTTAAAAATTCAAATTTTTGTAAATGGAATTGTAAATGCTTGTTTCCTTTTCCGCCCTGTGTTTGGCCTCGTTGTGGATAATGCGCCTTGATGCCGGAAAGAAGGCCATCAAATGCTCCCAATCGTTTTTAACCAGTGAAGCTATTGTGCATACGGATGTTGCCTTGTAGGAGAAGAGATGCGATGCTAAATGGTAGACTCCTTGCGCCATTCCGAAGTTATTGCCTTTGCTGTAGATCCGTATGTGGTTATCTGAATATTCGGAAGTTTCGCTGAGGCTGACTACAGTGCCCGAGTGCACCCAATACATGGTGGCATTAATGGTTCCTCTGCGAACGATGAAATCGCCGACATTGTATATCTCGAACTTTAGCAAAGGGATTAGCTGACGTTGAAAATCTTCGTGACATAGCGCGAAAGCGCTGTGCTCGCCTAACAAATATCCGAAAATGTAACCCATAATACATTCCTTCAAATAGTAGGGTAACATTTCAAGAGTTTTGGCCTGTTTGGTTCCGTGCGAATGTTTCCACACCAGTTCGGCGTAGTCTTCGACCCGTTCGTGTAAGTTAGCCGATATCTGGGAGTTCTCAAAGTAACCGTACAGCCTATCCAACAAGGATATATAAATCCACATCACGTGCCGTGCAGAGAGCATCAGCGAAATCATTACAGCGATGAATATTGCGACGAACATCATCCAGAATGCCGATAAGCATATGATCAGCACCACGTACGCCGTATCAACAGGATAGTACAGGATCTGAGAGTTTTGCGTGAATGCACAAGTTATCACGTCGAACCACTTCAAGAACAAGTGGAATTTGTAACTGGAACTTTTCTCGTGCAGTGTTTTTGCATCAATGTGCTCGCTCATGTTAAGATTTGTATAATGGGCGGGAATCAAAAGGGCAGCCGTCCAAAAAACCATCATTAGTAAGGTAAGGAACATCACCGAAATTATTTTAACTATGATGATGCGGATGTTCCATCGCTGGTTCAGGCTATATAAGGTGGGAACAGAATAGACCAAACGTAGCATAACGTTGGAACGTAAACATAAAAATGCTATGAAGAAATTCGATTGAACCTTGCTGTAACTATAAGCCAGTATATAAAAAGGTATACCCGCAAAGATGCTCAACCAGAACTCCATTCTCCTAATCCAATACGATCTAATGGTTCTCAGGTCCATAATAATCCCTCTTTCCGTATTCAATGACAAGAAGAAATTTAGAGCGAGCGATGCTGTGTAAAGGATATCGCAGATGATGTTGATAATAAGAAACGCCAGTGAGAATTCGGAGATTGCGATTTGATAGAGGTAAATAATCTGGGGGACGTATGTTCCAAAGAAGAGGAGCATCATAACAATGGCGTAGTTGAGTTTGCTGTGACACGACAGTACGTATTTGCTTTTCACATTGACCGATGTTATATATTCGAAATTTGAATATCCCGGCACGTGATTTGAATGGATCTTCTTGAGTTTCTCAAACTCTCGTTTCGTGCTTGGAAAGTACTGCAAGACTTTGTAAAATTCTGTCGTCTTTACTGAGATGAGTTCTACTATTCCTCTTGCTACTATGCTGCCGCACATCCGGTTGTACGTAACGCAGCATAGATTACCAATAATGCTGCCTGGCTTTAGCGAGCACAAAACTAAACCATCTGGTGCTACAAGTTCTACGACACCAGAATACACAAAGTAAGTCTCGTCCAGGATATCGTTCCGACTATAAACGTATCCATCCTTAATAATGATATGGTATTTACTGTTGATCAAAATATTCCGAAAGAATGGCGTAAAATCTGTTGCTTCAATCAGGCATACGCTGAGCAGCGCTTTTCCGTAACGCTCGAACAGATAATCTCTTTTAAGAGTCACTGCGAAGGTCTTCAAAGTGTCGTGCAGACTGTACTTCAAAAGCACGGCGCAACTCTTTAGGTAAATATCCACGTACTCTATTAAAGCCGGTTGAACATTGTTGGTCATCATGATCTTATTTAAACCTCTTTTGCATTCATCCCAATAAATCAGGTTAACGTTCTCGAACATGTAATGGCGGAACACGTTAGCAGACAATATTGCGTTCCAATAAAAACCTATTATGCATATAACACATACAAACAGCATGGTGTAATTGTTGGGGATGGTATAGCCCTGGAAGCCGATAGTAGAAATGCAGCTCATGAGTAAGTAGTACGAGTAGAAGTGAATACCAAAGGGGGTCATCTTGGTTTGCAGTTTGTTCATTCGGAAGATGCTCGTTTCTGAGCAATTCATTGGTTCCATTAGGTAGTTGGGATTTGTAAAGTCCACAAAGCAGTTTATTGATACGTAGAGACTGCTGAGGATGTTCAGGATCACAATGAAAATTGGCAAAACGGCGAATATATACATTTTGGAGATTGATTCGACCGCGTTCGTGTACTTGAACATGATCAGTCCGAAATATCGATGCAGTTGAAATGCATGGTTCAAGGTGAGGATAACGTATCTGTTCATTGTTACGATGAAATGAGTTGGGAAGACTCCGATCAGATCGATTACGAAAGATTTACTTAAGTAATTCAGGGCAGTTAAAATTGGATGAGTTATAAGGATGCCCCTCTCGTCGAAGTAGCATATGTGCATCCGAACGTAAATATCCATTACAGCTGATATGTCCAGCAGCCACAGCAACATAGTAATTGGATGGCTTCGAGGCAGAAATATTACCATCGTCGTCGGGTAGATGATTGATGAGAGGATGGCGCACAAGCATCGAAAGTTCTCCCAGATCATGAAAAATCTACCCTGCGGAAGGAGTGTTACGCGCATTAGCAATCTAAAGAGAATTCCGAACTTGGTGGTGCGGAAAACCTTGCTGAAGTTCTCGTCATTCTTATGAAACACGAACGAACCATTGCTGTTGTCCAGGACAGGTTTAGCGAATTGAGAGTAATTGAAGCTGTGCAATCGATGTTCTAAAATCTTCTTACGTAAATTACTTGAAGTAAATTCAACTCCGTGCGTGTACTTTAACAAGATCCTCCTCATAGTTGTGTAATCGATTTTGATCATTTCACAATGGCTTATAGTGTAGACGGTACTCCTCATCGGCAAATTCAAAACGATTTCCATATCGTTAAAAGCTAATTTCCTTCTCAGCACTTCCAATTTCATACTCACACCGTTCAACCGCTGGCAGCAACCCGCAGCCAAAATCACGACTTCCTGCAAAAATGTTTACATTAAGTTTGTAAAATACCATCTACGAGCAGTATATTATTACTACCTTCAATATATCTCCGATGTGGAAGAGCGTCACGGTGGGACCGACGGTGTATACGTAGCCACCGTTCCGCAGGATGTCCAAGATTACGTATTTCGGTAGTCCTGAGAAGATTGGTAAATCGATAAGCCAATCTGAATAATGGTGATGGAACATGTGACCGACAAGAGGTCGTGGTAAGCTGCGGCACATGTAGCCGACATTATAAAAGTTGAGGCCATTTGATATGGTCGCATCGGTGCGAACCAATACTTCCAGTCGATTATTAAGTGCTGTGGACATAGACTTGGAGGCCACAAGTACCTGAGATGTTTTAGCTCTCATGGTGGTTCTGTAGAGTTCGGAGAAGGCGAATCCGGAGAAGATGTAGCCGTAGATCACGGTGAACATGACGCAAATGAAGATGCAATTGACCGAGTCCAAGAACATGTAACTATCTAGAGAGGCGTATCCGGGCACCCAGAGCGATACTCCGGTCACTATTTGAGTGGCATAAAAGATAAGCTTGTACAGTTCCACGATATCGCACGTTCCCAAACATTGGACGGTGAAGTAGAGGCAGGCCAGGAAATAGGATATGTAAAACATGATGAAGATGACGCTGGTGATTCGCACCACAATCAGATTACTATTATAGCGGCTTTGCCAGTAATTCAACAGATTGAAGACTCTCGCCAATTTCAAAATCTTTGGTATGTAAAGGGTATCTTCGTCAAGGTCCCAGAAGATGGTCGGACAAAGTTCGAACGGTATGCAGGAGATTATGTCCAAGATGAACATGGGTCTCTGCAATTTGAGCGCAATTATATTTCCCGTATTTGTGACCATCGAGTGCTTCAGTTGAATTGCAGTTCGACATTGCACCACCAAATCCAACAACCAAGTGATGGTGTACCCGTAAATAGAGCTGTAGAATGCGGCCGTCCTTAGTTTGTAGACCAACGTTAGATACGGGATATGTATTCCGGCGGCAAGTGCTTGCACACAGATCAGCAGCTCCCAAAATAGGACTAATCCCGTGTTGGGCTTGAGCATGTAGGGAAACTTGGTCTTAATGAATAAAGTGTCACTATCGATGCGTGCCCTTTCGGCCAATGCATATAGACACAAGTAGTTTGCGCTGAACAGAAGCGACTGGAATGTGGTATGGTTAATCTTGTCCTGCGTGTAAATATTCTGCACGGCGTGTTTCTTGGCGCTTTCGAAATCCTTTTCGCCCATAATTTTGTGTAGCGTAAAGTTTATCCATATGGTACTCAAGCACTGCCTTAGAAGATCATTGTCTTTGTAATTGACCACCAATTTGATTTTGTTCATCTCTTTTGCCGTCCTGTATCTTTTATTTATCCGTTCGTAGAGTTTCCGATATTGAGCAGGAAATTTACGTGTAATATCCAAAAAGTACTTTCTCTCCAACACTTGCAGCACACATGTGGTTAAGCAGCGTACGCTGTACGTTGAATTGTAAGAGAGTATAATCGAAGCTTCTCCAATGCACGACCCATCGCTCAGGCTGATCAGTGGTGTATCGCCATCTTCTTCTGAGATAATCTGCACTATACCGCTAAACACGTAGACCATCTTATCTTTTATCTCGTCCTTGTGGAAAACGTACTGTCCGCTAATATAGACCTGTTGCTTCATGATGCACGTGAGATCCCTCAGGAAGGATATATCAATGGATCGAAGAAGTTTGGAATGTCGAAAAGCGCTCAGGAAGACGTCCATCTGTATCTCGCTCTTGTAGGATTCCGGCAAAATATCTTCAAATTGGTCGAACGGATATTCAACTTTCGTTTCAGCCATATAACCGGCGTATCCTTTGCAAATACTCCACTTTTTGTAAAAGAACAAGTCGACTTTGTTCAGCATCTGCTGGTCTAATTGTAAATAGACGAGGTATTTCTTTATGGCTTGGTATTTGTAGCTGAAGTTATTTTTGTGCACAGCAGATACGAAGAATATGTACGTTATGAAGGCCATGTAAAGATAATAGATAAATACGTAAATCCAGATACGTGTTAACACCATGATACTTTTCTGTACTATGTTTTCCATCTTGTGTTTACTGTAGCCCCACATCATACTGTCGCACAACACATTGACGTAATAAAGTAGAAAAGTGCTCGGTTCCTGTATATTCGCGCACAGTCCAACCGATAAATAGCACGTGTAAAAGGTGAATATGAATGTGTTCAGCAGCACTAAGTAGATTAAAAGGTACAGCGCTTGGACGCAATTGATGAACACCGAACAGCGAATCGTTTTATTGATCTTGTTGAATAAGTAACAAATGTGGACAATCTTCAGCACGCGGTTCAATTGGTACATATCGTTATCCATTTGAAGAGTGCTCTCCAAGATCCATTCCATTGGGAAAATGGACAGGACATTGGTAGACATCAGGGCCAAGTACATTTTCTTGAAATGTCCGTTTTGCAATCTGTGCTGGATCAGCCTCAAAATTGTGTCAATCAGCCAGCACACATCGGAAGCGTAAAAGAATTCTGAGGTTTTCTTGTGGTGCGTGAACTTTGTCGCGATTATTGCATCTTTGAGCGCGGTCTGCATGCTGTAGAATCCCGTGATCAAAATGATGTAATACCATACGCGCTCTGAAGTCAAACTGCAGATCTTCATTAGCCAATCGGTCGGCTCGTCGTAGTCTTCCAGATAGGTGTGAACAACCTCCTCCAAATACGTGCATCGTTTAGTAATACGAAAGTTTTTTTTATTTTTTCTTGTCATATTTTGCCGTTGTTGATTTTATACCACGTGTCAAATAATGAGCAACTTTGATTAAATATAATAATTTTGTTTCAGACCTGCTGAGCTTGATGGTGGTCTGCGCAACGCCGAAAAGAGTTTAGTGCTCAAGTGTCTTGCCATAATCTGTTGCCAATTGAAATCGAAGGAGGTCATCGAACAGGTGCTCAATGTAATTCTGCAGAGCGTCAAACCGAACGACATGAACGAGCTACAGGCCTGCGCCGAGGCTATCGGCATTTGCTCCCGTTCGCACCTTCAGATAGTCTTCGATAAACTGTATGCCATCCGCAAAGATATTCTACTTAAGAAGAGTAGCAAGTTTTTCAGCTTTGGTTTCATGAAGGACCAGAAGGGCGATGCGGAAATTGAGCGTGTTAGATATGTTATATTGGCGAGTTACGCAGAGATCTGCAACGAGGCGCCCGCTGATGCGTTGCTGCGCGTAGTTCAAACCGAGATATTGGATTTTGTGTTGCACGAGTTGCACAATTGCAAAGAATTCACCATAAGAAGAGTATGCCTTAGAGCCGTAGGATGCGTTGCCGACGCTCTGCATCCAAACAGGAACAAGTTGCACATTCAAATCCAGGACAGAGATAAAGTGCTACAGCTGGTGTCTGCACAACTGCAGTTGCACAATGGCCCCGAGTATATCGAGTTGTTCCCGGTGGTGATACCTGTCTTGACATCCTTAGTTCGACTACCAAATGTACTGGAATCTCAGAATCGCCTTAAACTGCTCAAGCTGTGTTTCGATAATGTCTTCAATGCTTCGGCCATTTACTGTAAGCTGGGTAACAGCACTCACGGCGATGTCAAGTTGGCACCGCACGTGTTCACTAGCTTCTCGAAAGTTAATTTATTAGTACAAGAACTGCTGGTCCAAAGTATATCTCCTGCTACACTGGATGAGGTCTTCATGCTCCTTGAGCAATGGCTTGGTAGGAAGAAGCTGGAGCAGAGACTTCCGGCATTGGAAGCTCTACGCACCGCGTTGCAAACATATTTGGATAATATGAAGTTCGCTTACGAAGGGCCGAGTACTTTCGGACAAACCGGCATCATCTTGGCACGTGTAGTTCCCCGATGCACCGATCCCAATAAGAATACGCGAAAAGTGGCCGTGGAGTGCGTGTGCTTGATGCTTTGCATTTCAGGCAGGTACGAAGGCCACATGAGGGATAACGATAAAGTATTGAGCAATTCCCTGCTTCACGTTCAAGAGCAAATCGATACGGAAGACCCTAAGCTTCTATTCAATTTAATCACAGAGCTAGCTACCATCATCGGTAATAATATACCTAAATACCAATTGGGACACTTCGTAGATACGTTGCTCGAAGGATTATTGGACGTCGAGGCTTCCAGCTCTAATGGATCTAGTGTTGTCCTGAATACAGTGATCAAGTTGAAGGGAGCCGATATTCAGCCATTCGTCGGGGAACTTCTGGAAAAGCTCCTATCCACTCTGGATAAGATCACCTGCTCGAGGACGAGGTCCACAGCATTGGCGACGGTGTTGAGTTTCGCCAATCACCACATCAAAGCGGTCGTCGGTATTATTTTGCAACAACCTCTTCCTTACGAGCAGTGAGTCCTCCCCATCGATCGGCATTGCAATTAATTTCTATCAAATATAACTTTCAGATCAACCTGCAGCTGTTGGGCTATCCTCTCCACCGATAATGCTCTTACTGTAGAAATTCTGTATCAGCTGAAGAAAATACTGAAATCTTGCGTATTCTATGAAGAGCAGAAAAACGCAGATAAGTTGAGGATTGCCACGTTGAAACCTTTGCAGGTATGTGTGTTGATATAGTTGCAATAGATAGTTCTTAACAGTTTTATACTTTTATAGGCTATTTGTGCATTGCATGAATTATTTAAGAGCAAGGAAATCCACGAGTTATGCAAGCAACAGTTTTCGGAATTGTTTTCGTTGATGTTCATTGCTTTGGCTTCGTATGTGGACACTGCTGCTCCAGTATATTCCAGTGCTGAGAAGAAGGCATCAGCGGTTCCGAACCGAAGCGCTTACAAGATGACGCCTTTTAAGATTTGCGTGGATGCCTTCAAGCTCTTTCTGCAGAATGCCGAAAGCAAACGGGCCGCCGCGAATTTAATTAACTGCTCAGACAGCTTGAATTCATTCATGACTCTGGTACCGGAATTGACGGAGAGCGTGTGCTCGGATTACCCACAATCTTTGGCATATTTGGTATCTTGTTTAGGACCATACCTGCGCTCCGACACCGACGCTCAAAGAACTGCAGTCGTTGCCTTCTTCGCTTTCCTCCTGAAACACAGGCTCAACAATCAAGCGGTATTAATAGAGAACGTTTTGGAGATGCTCTTGGAAGTGCACAACGATCCTTGTTGCGATGTCCGTAAGTTCAGCCTGCGCGGATTGGGACATGCTGCGGAGTTCCTCAACCCAGACCTCACCCAGATGCATTCCACGGAAATCTTGAATGCACTTATGCAAGGCTTGGATTATAGTAACACCAGGTATACTAATTTGATCTGAAAGTATGATGGTTATATATTTTAATTATTGACTTCAGCGAGTCCGAAGTTGCCTTGGAGTCTATGTTGAGCTTCTCGAAGTTGATTCAGGTGGTATCAAGGAATCAGCTAGGACAGTGCCACGTAACTGCAGCAGTCAGAATAAAACCTCTGCTGCAGAATGAGCAAGCATTGGTTCGAGAGGCGTCTATTCTTCTTTTTGGTGATTTGGCTTCATCGTTGGGACCTGATGACGCTTTCAAAGAGCAAATTTTTGGAAACATTGTTGCATTTTTGCTGCACCTCAGCGACATCGATGATAACGTTATCAAGGTACGAGTACATTTCTTGAACTAATCTATGTGAAAGCTATATTCCACATGGATTTTTTTTAGGCGTGCAAGAAAACATTGAGGAAGTTGGGTCCGTTCCTTGATTGCCCGAAAGTCAACTCCATGATCCAGGAGCACCTTCTCGACGATGCCAATTTGCATTTCCCGCAGTTTTGCACGGATTTAATTAAAGCTATGGTAAGCGAAATTTTTGTTGAGTTTATTTCTTTTATCAACGTATAATATGATGTTTATTTTCGTTGCAGAGCGAGGCTTTGCAAGAGTATTTTCCGCAGTTCATAATGACTAGTCTGTCATTCTTCAAGAGTTCTTGGGTGAATATCCGAGCGAACGGCGCTCTAATTTCCGGTCTGCTCTACGCCCAGACGTTACCGGAGTTCCGGTCGTCTGTTTCCCTGGATGCCCTCAGTTATCGGCTGTTGCAGCTACTTAAAGACGGTGAACCCGAGGTCAGGTCCAGAGCCGCAGAGTCTCTGGCCTACGTCTTCACCACATAAAATAACTATTTACGGGATTTATAAAAATATATTTAATGCCATTATCTTAAAAGCTTGAAAGATAACATCAAGCTTTGCAAAAACATTGATTGTATGCGGCTGTTGTTATTTTTTTAAAAGAATACATGTTATGAATGAGGAAAAATGCACGTCGATTTGACAAGGCTAGTAACTGGCAACAAGAAACGTCGACGTGTCGAGGAAGAGGACAATTTATTGCTTGAGAGCAGCAGACATATTGTTATATTGAAGTATTCGTTTATTTTTAATTTGTATTTTAATTTTTATTAAATATTCTTAGATACCAAATTGAATATGAAATTCGTTATTTACATTGTGATTGATTTTTCGCCTATGATTTTAGAAACAGTTTTGGTGTAACTAGTATGTAAGATATTTTTTATACATTATTGTTAGTCTATTAGTCGTTATCCATCTAAACCGATAACAACAAAAAAATGCTTCGTGATAGGTCAAAAGAATAATTATGATAATTTTCGACTGTTATTAAAGTTTTCGGACCTGCGATTGCCTAATATTATGGGCTTATATGATGTATGCAGTATAAGTGTAATTAAACAACTATGAATTAACTCTGTTTTTTTTTTTGGTTTTATTTATCTTCTATTCAATCCTTTTAGTATATGAAAATTACATTTTAATCTTGATTTCAAAATTAATAATTTTTTTGGTCAGTTACTGACAGCATAAATTGAAAATTTAAAACGTAGTATTTGACAAAAACCTGTTTTTCCTTGTAAATCCTTGCCCTTACGTTATTAATTCGAATATTTTATTTTTTAATATACCAACTTGCAATTGTGGTAGAATGGTTAACAATGGCTATTTATTATTGCGCATCTTTGACGTTTGCAAACAGTTTCAAAGCTTCTGTAAAAATAAGGTGGCTCTGTGGGGCCACCCCCTAGCCCGTGGGCCCCGGGCATTAGCGCGATTGACCGACGCTAGCGACGCCACTGTCATTCGCACTAGTGTTTGGGTGCATGAATGGATTGTTTTCTGATACCATTGTTGCTCTATAGTGCCCTAGGTCAGAGAAGATGTTAGGTTAGGTGAAGTTGCCCTAGGTTTTTATTTTTTAAAATACATACAAACAATTTGGTAATTTCGCTATTTTCATATCCACTCTGTAGGTCAAGTGGCGGTAGGTTTTTTTGTAAATACTTAGAAACAATTTGATAATATGGATATTTTCAGATCTGTTTGAGAAATCTTATTAATATTCACGGATTAACTTATGCGCATGCGCCACCCCTTAAAAAACTAGTGTTTTGGGTCCGGGTGTTATGATGTCCGGATTAAAGAAGTTTCGTTTCAGCGGTACCCGATGTCAACTGTGTTACGATAAAAGAAGAGATTTGAAGCGATGTTCCCAATGCCAGGTAATGCCGTACTGCTGCAAGGAACATCAACAGGCCGATTGGCCTTACCACAAGAAGGTGTGCAAGTATCTGCAGCAGGCTCTCGAGAAAGCTGTCAGTGCTAGAGATATTAAGGGTTATCGGGCGCTGCTGCAATTCTCGGTGAAGATGTCCAAAGGATCTCTAGACGAATACGAGCAATCGCTCATTAGGCGATTGCCATGCTGCGATGTTTGCAACGATCACAAGAATCTGATCTACTGCCAAGGATGCTTTTGCGCCGCCTACTGTTCACATGCACACAGAGACAGCGACCGCGAGAGCCATGCACCGTACTGTGCAGATCTAAAGATCTGGTGCGAGATCGACGAGATGGGCAAAAAAAAGATGCCGCACATAATATACAAAGATATGAATGGGTACGCTCGAAACATCAACGAAGTGTTCCCAACTTGTTCCGACCGAATCTCTGAAGTGCTTAGCAAGCATCTGGCCTCTCCGTTCGCTACTATCATGCACGGCCTTCGAGCCGTCGGCTGTAAAACCAAGCATCTAATTATTCACATCGTTGGAGCGGATACCTACGAGATGGTATTCGACTGGCGAATGCTCACCGCTCTCTTGGGCCATCGCTTCCCCAAGACCCACACCTACGAGATCTATTTGATCGGTCCCAATATGACATGCGACAACATTGTAGCAAGAGTTAGTAATCTTACGGCGTACCGTGTCATAGGCTTGTACCATGACATGATCAAAGAGTTACCGGAACCACATCTGGTCGTGGCTTTTAACTGTGGAATCCATTCGAGTCCCGAAACATGGCAGAAGAGTATTCCTGCCCTCCTGAATAAACCCTTCATACTCACCGGTTACCTAGACGAAGAAACAATCGCGGATAAGAATATATTGATGAAGCATCGTGACGGAGATTACGTTGACATCATCTACGATTGCGTTAAGAATCCCTTTGCCTCGCCATTGGCATACAAAAATTGGGAACTTTGCGAATCCAAGGTTTATTATGTTAACAACTACATTTTCATGAGCAAACCCAAAATCAACATATAAACTATGTACATATTCTATATTATTTATATATTCATACTTATATGATATTGCATAAATTATAAAGATGGAAACAAAATATGTAATTGCTTTGTAAGTATATTAGTAGTTAAGCTTAACCTTGTGTACTCATTTTTTTTTTACTTTCTGTTTATAAAAATTATGTTATGTTCTGACTATTTTTTTGACTCAAACCATTAATGGTCGAGGAAAGGAAAATTACGTCAAGGACATTTAATATTTGTAATAGAAGAGATGTTGAACTTAAAACTATATTTGATTCTTCTGCAATCAAACATAAAAAAGGAATTCACAATTCATAATTGATTATGAACTAAGTTCAATTTAAATTTGAACTCTGTTCTGAACGTAACATTAACTTTATATATTTCTGTTATTTCTTATTTCAAATTAGCTGCTTAAAATCTATCATGTTTTTTGTACACCCGAAATCTCTATATACGTTATTAGTGTAAAAAGATAGATTGCGCAATTGAACGACTTTCACTTCTGAGGCAGAAAAAATATGTTAATTCTGAACCTGATAAAAGCACAAACTGTTTATTAAAAAAATAATAAATGAATTGCGACCCTCGACAAAAGATGATCGTAATACCAAAATCGAGGAAATCCGGTTAGAGAAACAAGGGAGGGTGGGGGAACGAGGAAACCCCTGCAGATCGCAAAAGATTTATTGATGCGTGTGTTTAAAGGATCGATCTCGTTGCTCAATACACTTACCATTTGCTCAATAGATTCGGATGTAGCAAGTAGAAATGGTTGACATTTGAATTACCACATGAGGTTGCAGCCGCCACCGTTCTTCGGTCCCCACCGGTGGCGATCCTTCGAAGGCTCGAAACTCCTCGAGGCGTCGATCGAAAGCAAGTAAAACTTGGGGAGTCGGCAGAAAATTTTCATTATTCGACGTCGTTTCGACAAAACAGCATCGAAGAAAACAAAAGCCGCCTGACGGTATCTTTCAACTTTCCGACAGGTGAGAAAACAAAGAAACAACCCTTAAATCGCCAACTATTTTTTCTCTCTCTCTCTCGTTTTGTTTGTTTCGATTGCAAAAGCGAGAATTAATTATTTTGCCATTAATATTACAACTTACTTTCCCTTTTTTTTATCTTCTGATCTCGTAATTAATTTTACTTTAATTAATTCTCTTTGCTCTCGTGTATTTCAATGCTATTTTTTCTGTTTCCTTGTTGTCCTCAATTTACTCGTAATTAACGCGATTGTTTCGTGATTTAAATTGCATTGCATTTCTCGCACCCGTTGCTAACTATTTTTTCTTTGAATTGTGCAACATCGATCGCTGTTAGTTTTACAACGCCATATTCAAAGTTTGTTACTTAACTCATGCAATTGCTAATTTTGAAATATAGATGTGTATTTACTTTATGAAATAATATAATAGATTTAAATTTATGCGTTTCATAAACTTGGAAACGATTGATTGATTCAATTAACTTTTGGTTCGAAGTACAGTGGAACCTCGCATAACGAGCATTTCGCTTAACCAGCAAAATGAATTGTAAGAAAAATGACGAGAGACGTTACGCATAACGAGTGACGAGGAGAAGAGAAGTCTCGAATTGTGCGCCTGCTACTATATTTTCAAAACTTATGTACATTATTATGAGTATTTTTTAATATATTAACTATCTTTGATTGTTTTTGTAATTTTTGTTTATAGCGGACTATAATATAATAGGTCAAACCATTATTATAATATATAAACATATATGTACGCTTTTCTATATAAACAAATATAAACTAACTTCACCGTATGTGAATGGGAAAACTGTCCCTGGTGTTAGTAGTCATTTTGGAAATAGGTTCCACTGTATTTGAAAATATTTTAGTAATACCTTACAAAAGATGATATTACTGATTAATTAATGTAAAAAGATATTACATTAACAAAAATCGAAAAAAAAAAATAAAATTTTATTAACGGTTATAACGCTGATTTATCTGATCCGCTTTTTATAATAGCAGCGGTATAAAGGAAATGTCCAAAATTATGATTATTTCAAAACAGCAGATTTTCGAAATTTTCTTTATTATTTTGATGAAATACAATTCATTATTTCTTTTAAGATCTATTTTAAGGTACATTCCGGAACTTGTATGTGTTATAAAAATATCCGAATTTTATTTATAACCAACTTCTACTGCATTTAAGAATACATAAATGTAAGTAAAACAATGGAAAAAGATACTGTGAGATATTACGTTTAGGGTATTTACAAGAATATCGTGGTACATTTAAGAATATGTGGAATGAAAGAACGTTTCTGATTTGAATGTACTTGACCAAAGCTTCCAAGGAAGTTTAATTGCGTGTAACTAAAAAAAGCACAGATAATTGTTAGATACAATCGTCCGAAAACATTCCGGAAGACATGTATATTTTTATATAATTGCTTTCTATTTTTTTTTGCATCGTGCATCAAATTAAAAGTCAGCAAACAATTAATTTGCGAAGGTCTAATCCGCCTCTCAATAACACCAAGTAGGAGAAGTGAATGAGCGAGTGACATGCAAAGTAGCGTAAAGGATAATAACGGAATAAGGAGCAACGTTTTAATGACCTAATAAAATACACAGAGATAGAAACAAAGACAGAAAAAGTAAAAGTGTGGTAGTAATAATGATTGTACAAAGTTTATACGCGCCGTTTAACATAAAATCAAGGCCTGCTCTCATTCATCTCGTATTTCTTGTGCGTTTTGTTCTTGGAATCAGGACTTCGATAACTGAAAACCAGCAACCAACGACATGGTGTCTGCAACAGTGTTTGTAACCTTGTCGATGATGGTGGCCATGGCAACGGCATACTCGGGCGGCGCTCCTGAGGATGTCTGCGTGGACATGACCCCTAAGCATTCTGTCGATCCGCAAAAATCTGCGTTCCCCTACAAGATCACCACCGACCACGAAACAGTCAAGGCCGGAGATAAAGTGAAAATCACCATTAGCGGACCGAAACCCTTCAAAGGTTTCCTGCTTCAGGTCAGGGATGGCAAAGAGGCCGTTGGCAAGTTCAACGTGGACGACTCCGACAAGTACGTCAAGACCATCAACTGCTTTTCCAAGAAACAGGTACGATTCCTTCGTTTTAGGTTCGATTTACTCTTTATTTGTTCGCTGTGGTGACAATTATCTTTCCAGGTGTTCCACGATCCTTTAGAAAAACATATCAATTACATGATTCGTCAATCAATAAACCTCTTTCACAGTATTGTGAACAAAATCTTCCCATTGAAACACATGTTTTTCTACAATGGCAACAAAGCCAGCAAACACGTGGGTAGACAATATCTGCATTTGCGGGACGCACACCAAACACATTTGATGATTGGTACCAAATACACATGATCATACCATTTAAAACACGCGCGACACCCGCACCACTACACTCATATGGTTCAAGAACTGACTAAAACTGTTTACTTACTTTTGAATTGCTCAACATTAACTCTTTATGTTTTTCCTTCTTTTTAACTTTTAGAACGCAGCCACCCATAAGAATTCGGCCGAAAAGGAGTCTTTGACTTTGGAATGGGTCGCACCTGAGGCTGCAAAATCCTACACAGTACAGTAAGTAGTAAATTGAAACAGTATGCTAACTTTTGACTTTAAGTATCAAAAGCACTTTCAATTATTATATTAGTATTTCCGAATTGGTAAATTATCAATGAATTAACAAAACATGTTTGGGCAAACTGAAATTATTTATTGGTCATTATTGAAAACAACGTAATTTCAAAACCAACAATGATTGTCACATTTATGAAAAGAAAACAAACAAATTTTTTAACAAATTGCTTTCATTGTACTTAATACTTAGAAACAAATGAACACTATTCGTGACGTACAGTATAAAGTGATTAGTTACTTCTCAAAATATAGTGAAAAATATGACGTAATCTTTCGAACGACAATGATTAATATTTAGCAAATATTAAATCGCACAAACGATAGATTCGATATCCAAATTATTTACTTTAATTAACGTATTTTATTTTTCTTTGTTTTCACAGCGCAACCGTTGCCGAAAACGGCGGAGTATTCTGGGCGAACCACGCGACGGCCAAGATCACAGTCCAATGAAAACACCAAGGATCGGTTACGGTCTAATTTTCTATTGCAGAATCGTTCACGATAGTTATCTTCAAAATTATTTATTTAGATTAAACAGCAAAAAAAACCATCATCATTATAATAATAGGGATAATTTTCCAAAAAGAAAATTAAAAAATTTGTACAAGAAATTAATATGGTCCATATACATGTTTCTTCTTCTTTTCGCTATAGTTGGTAAAAGATGCTGCACTTTAGAATACATTTTTTCTTTCAATTACCAAAGAATACGCTATATTTTCGTCTCGTTCTTCTCTTTCAGCTACTCTTTCGCAATATTTGATAGGTTTACTTGAAAATAAAAGGAAGGGATGATGAAGAAAAGAAGGAAATAATAAGAGGGGGAAAAACCTAACAGAACTTCCAGCGGTTGCCGCACTCGTTGCACAGCACGAAGGTGGTCATAGGTTCATCCGATGAGCGCGTCTGTAACTGGTTGTATGTGCAGTTTTTCTTCTTGCATTTGCCGCATTTCAACATCTCCGTTTTGGTACCTGGATAATAAGAAAGTGAATGATGTATGTGGTCGCGATTAAAAAGCAGTTAGAGAGAATACCTTGCACCGTTGCTAATTGAGCGTCGTTGATGGCTTCCTTCATGAAGCGCTCCCTGATTTTCTTAATCTCATCGTTAGCCATCTCTTCCGCAGTCATCGTGGCCAATCTCGCGGCCGTTACAGCGCCTATTCTGAAGTTTGTGCGCAGCGTGGGGTTCTTCGCGTCTTTCAGATTGGCGATGCGTGATCGTACACGGTTTTTGTACCTCATATCGGTGTTTTTGAATTCGTGGAAGATCGCCTCCTCTAGTTCTTCCGCTAATTCCTCGGGAGAGGCACAACCTTGCAAAGTTGATAAGTTTAAGATCAAGTGGTGACAATGGGTCATTTATTATTGTTACCTTCAAAATCTTCTCCATCAACATTGAGTGCCACAGACAACATTTCCCTGCATTTTAATCGGACAGAGTCTGTGGTGTTGGAGCTGCTGGGTGGGAACGTGTTCTGTAGTTTCTTGTCCTTATCCTTGTCTTCCTTTCCTTTATCATCTTTATCCTTCTTTGACTTTGAGGAAGAGCTGGATGAGTCCTTGCCAGGTGTATTGGATAGGAACTTTTTCCAATTTTTTATCAGAGTCTTGGCCAAACTTATGACCTCCTCATCTTTGGTGGATTTCCTCAGAGCGTTGACGGTCATGCCGATTCGCGTCTTCGTCAGCACATCCAAATTAATGTCTATCTTCTGCAATTCCTTCAGCAAATCCAATGCCTGCTCCTGACCCTAACCACAAAAAAATATATTTACTTAAATTTATTGAATACTCCTTGCGAGTGCTTAGTATTCCTATTAATTCTTGCATTTCAAGAATGCGCGCGAGCCGCTACGATGCATGGACGATGTGATGATGATGATAATAATAATAGTACGATCGTGTTTTATTTTAGACTTACGCTTCCGTCGTCGGAGGTCATCTTCGTAAGCTTCTTCTGGATTCGCATGACCGAGTCCTCTACGCTCATCTTCGTTTTGTATTGATGAGTGGTTTTAACGTGCTGAACTATTCGTAAACTTTTACAAAAACAGTTGGAATTCACACAGACTTAGACACTTCGAGACGATGCAACACACCTCATCATAAGACGCGTAATGGCGCTGTTTTGACAGCGGCATTTGTATTTCGGAATCGAAACGCGCCGGTTCTGCCAACGCAAAGAAATAAAACTCAGATCTGTTCTGTTTCTTCTACTCAGAAAAGAGTGAATGTATGTAACTTAGCTCGCACAACGGAGCGCAAGTAGCCATATTATCAATGCCATAATAAGTGATAAGAAAACATAACTCAATAAAAAAAACACAACTACATAGATATTCTTAAACAGAAATAATCAAAAATAAAGAAATATATCTATAGGCAAGTATATAAATAGACAAATTACAAAAACAACTGAGACATATACAGTGGAATCTCTATAGACTATTCTCGAGCAGGAATCTATCAGCTGTTATCACAGTTTGGAAGGTCTCGGATAGGTATAAAAGTTTTGATAGTTTGTAGTATCGAACCACAAGAAACATAAATAACAATAAAAATTAATTTCGGAAGTATGGATAAAAATAAACAAATAAATTATTAAATTTAAACTGTCTATATACGCTGACATCCTCCATACTCTATAAAATCTCCATGGAAGTCAGAAGGGGAACCGTGTTAGCATTTAATCATTTAATAAAATTGTTTGTGCATTCTAAAAAATATAATTTGCGGTAGGCAAGGAAGGGCAAGATACAGTTCGGAGAATCCAATAGATTTATCCTAAACAGATGAGCTGCAGATCTGTCGTGCCCTGTTCGCAATCTCTTACTTTTTCGCAAATCCGAGTCTCATAAACCATGGTTTATTTCCCACTTCCGCATTTCAACGATAATATCTGTTGCCTTTAATACTAGACAACTTCTCATGCGTCTGTTGCCACTTTACAATTCTCTACGCGTGATTTCCTGCAGATATGTGAAAGAGACCTCTTGGTTCTTCACATCCAGTGTATGTCCCTGCTTCCTTTAAAGATCCTAATGCAGCCTTAATTTTCGATAGCGTCCATCGCACATCTGGAATCGGAGAATAAAACGCAGAAAGTAATTCTATTTCAAATTTATGAATTTTTTAAAAAATATTTTTTAATAGCTATTTAGATGTATTAAAAAATATTTATGAATACACAAAGGTAGAAAAACTATTTTTTTAAAGGACACATGAATTTAAAAGGTATTAATTGAAATTGAATATTCGAGACAATATTTCTTAGCTTAAATGAAATAACTACAAAAAGCTAATCGATTTACAGTCTATATTTTACTGTAAAATAAATACTAATTATATTTTATTTATATATAAATAATATTTTGATTATGATTATGAAACGAGTGCTAAAAAAACATCATTCGTTCAATTTTTGAAACAAAATTTCTTTGGATATACTTCGCGTTACATTATGTTTAAATTATTCGGTCTCCTGAATCTCTTGCATCTGCTGTTCATCTTTTTTTTGCATTTCATTGAAGGTCGGATTCTCGAATCTGGTGACCGGAGTCTTGAATAGGGGATTGTCGTTGCGGTTCCAATTCGCCTGCTTCCGTTCGTTCTCGAATTTCGCGTATTCCCTGCGATCGTGTATTGTTGTGCAGAGCTTCCAGATGACCAGCGTTAAAATACCAACGATGATAGTGCTCAGAATGACGCCGAAGACGAGCGCTGTGTATGCGTTATTATGAATTATTTTTTATTTATATTTTGATGATTCGCTGATTTTACCTAATATGTCGATCGGTTTTGAGCATCTCATCTTGCTCTCGGCGTCGACGGAGATGTCCTTGTCGTCGTTGTAAAAGTAACTGAAGACCATGACGCAGTTTTGCTCGATCGGCAGTTTACAGACTTTTCGGAAGTCTGAGTCTTCGGTTTCCTCCGATTCCTTGATTTGTTTCACTTTGTTGAACTGATACTGGGAGCAGCTTATATCACAACTGTCTTTGAGTTTACCAGAGTTGTAGGTTTTGCATTGGACGCAATCCTGGAGCTCTTCGCATCTGAAACATGAAAACCAAATTAATCCGTCCATTTATTTTATGATGATGATGTTCTACTTTCGGCCGGAGCAGGTGGCGCATTCCTCGCAGTACGTCCCGTAGTAACCGCTCTCGCATGTGCATTTGCCACATTCGCAGGTGCCTTTGCTGTTGCAGACATTGTTGAAGTGGGTGCAAGGAGCCAAATTGGTAGGACACTGGCATTCTTCACCAGTGAAACCTGCGTCGCACTTGCACTTTTTACAGTCGCATTTTCCGTTTCCGTTGCATATTTTGCCATCGCTGCTTTTGCGGCAGGAGTAGTCGTCGCATTCGCAATACTTGCCGTAGATGTGCTCGTCGGGATTCTGCCGTTTATTGCATTCGCATACCGAACATTTGCAGACACCAAGGCCGGAGCATATTTCTTTTGTGGCGTTCGATTGCATGCAGGAAGCGATGTCGTTGGTGGTGAAGCTCTCGCTGTTGCATTCGCATTGTTTTCCGTAATGCCCGGAATTGCAGCTGCACAAACCGCAGACGAGCGCTCCCTTCTTCTTGCATCTATCCGAATTGTTCTTCTGTTGCTGCTCGCAATCGCAGTTGCAGTGCACGTCGAGATCAAGCAGTAGAGTCTCGCTGAAGGTTCCCGGTTTGATGCGGATTTGGTGTTTGGACTTGCTGCAGTCCAACACTTTGATCTTTGCAACGAAGTTGATTACCTCTCCGGCGTGCACCGCTTTGCATCCGTTCTCGATCTTCGACTTGCAGTCTGCCTCGTAGGTGATCTGAACAGCGCTGCTGGAGTCGTCGGTGATCTTAATCACGTCCGAGATATCCCTGTAAAATTTCGTGATAAGATATAGCAGATCCGATTGGGCATTCAATCTGGCCGTAGCAGTATTTTCGATCTCGTTCTGCATCGCCTCGTACACGCTATAAATGTTGTCGTTGGCGATTGCGAAGAAGATGTTAAAGCCTAGCTGCTTGGCCAGGTGGTTGATGTGCGAGATCGATGGGTAATCATAAACTAGATCGTGAGTGTATTGATTGTCGGTCATAAAGCAGAGGCCAGGATTCGGCTCGACGACACCCGCCAATTTTCCATCACCTGCACAAACATAATCTTATCATACACTATAAAATAACAAGATTTCATGTTAATATTAACATTGTTGATAATAGTAATAATAATAATAAATTATAATATTGAAAGAGACCTGCTATGTGAGAGGTTGCGTCCGTTGAAAACACGATTATTCTTCGTGCGGTTTCTCGCCAACCAATAACATCCTTGCAAACCATGGCTTGCATGAGAGCGTCGAAACCGCCCTCAGGAGTATCCTGATTGCCCGATTCCTTCGCAGCTGCAACCTCCTTGGAGAAGGTTTCGCCGTTATTGAGAGATTGGTAATTGATGAAACTGTAAGCTGGCACGCAGTTACTGCACGGTTTTTTTCTCCTACACAACAGCAATAACAATAAATAAATAATCTCATAAAAAATGAACTCGTGTGTCCAAGAATTTGACCTACTTATTGGGTTCCGTGTTGACGAAAGGCATATCGACTTTATCGACGAAGCTGCCGAAACCGATCTTAAAATTGGTGGTGATGTTCCTCATCGTTTCGATGAGCCTGTCGCCGAGCAAGGCGAGGTTAATCTTGTACTTCTTCATCGAGTACGACAGATCAATTATGTAATATAGATCGATGGGGAAATTGGAGGCCTGCGCGTACTGAAAATTCATCTTGTACTCTTCGCCTTTTCGAAGTACAAGCTTAACGTGCTGCGGCTTCAGTTGGATGGGATCTAGGTTGGCTTGCGATTGAAGGTTCTTATTGCTCAGAATCGTAAACTTGCTCTTTGGATCCTCCGCCTTTCCCAAGAAGCATTCGTTCTGCGTGTCCCCGGATCTGTAGCAGTGCTGTTTGTTCGGACCCTGCAACATCATGGACATCGAAAGCAAATTTAATTTAGTACCACCATATGACTCTTGCAAATACTAACCGGTTCCGAGCACCAAGCGCATCCATACTCTTGGATGCATTCGCTGCAGTTGCTTTTGGTAATGCAACTCTGCGCGAACACCTTTGGGAGTGTCACAATTGCGAGTATTACGAGTAATGCGTGAAGCAACATTGTGAACAGCGCGAACTGACTAAGAATACTAAATTATAATATTCAACTTGAAGCGGATGCAAGAGGCGATAACAAACGGAAACTTTGGTTAGTGATTAAATAAATACCGATTCACTATAAATTTGCTATCTTGAACATTATTTAAATATAGAAATATCAAAAATTGTTTTGTACACACGATTTTTTGTGGTTCCATTTACTGCATTCATTACGTAGAAGGGATCAATTATTAATTATTATTTTTTTTGCGATAATTTTCTTTAATAGTTTTTATACAAATATACAAAAGTTAACAATATAAAATATTAATCAAGGATTGGATTTTTCGTCCTCCAGCCGGTCGCCCTTGGACCGAACTTGTAGACCAACCGTCGACCGGCGACAGGAAGCAGCACCTTCGTTCTGTAATAATACCTGAAAAGAAAGAAAAAGCTTAATATTTTCATATAATATTCAAAGGCATCATATCCTACCGCATTGCTCTGCTCAACTTCTCGTAGTTCATCTTCGTATTGTTCTTGCGATTACCCCACATCTGCGCCACTTTCTCGCTCTGCACGAACTTGAACGTACCTTCGGCGTAGTTGTCCCATTTGATTAAACTCGGACACGTCCTCTCGTCCAAGAGGAGATTCCGCAGGAATTCCCACAGCTTACCCATTCGTTTCCCTGATCAATCTAATTATCAAAGATCGTTTTCAATTGAATAATGAAATGCTTACCTTCGCTGATGCTTTTTTTACTTTGGTAGATGGTCGTTTTCAAAGCCTGATCATCGTACGCGTTGTTGTTGAAATCTGCAGGAAAGATCAAAATTCGAAAGAAAATTCACTTCTGTTGTTCTGCATCAAACGTATTTACTTGTTTGGTTGTTATGACAGCAATTGTTTAAGCAATAGTAGGAGCAGACGTTGCCGAAGGTTTGGTGCTGCTGATTGTCTTTTGGTTCTTTGCAGGTCGTTGGAAATAATAGCCTATCGAAATCTACGTGAGCGTTCACTTCCTCCACGATCCACCGGAAAAACGGATCATCTACGGCAAACAAGAGGAATATAAATATTTGCATATATCAAATACGACATCAGACATTGCAAATAATATATGTATTGACACTAATCCAATGCAATTTCATTAAATATGAATATATTTTATATTGAAAATAAGATTGATTTAAATAAACAATATAATGTAAAACAATTTAATAAGAAAGTGTTTATCAAGAATGATGCGAAGATGTACGATGATTTGGTTGCATATCTAGATATTTGTTTTTAATTTATAAATATTATCTAATAGTCAGAAACGTTTTAAGTCCTAATTTGAACGAAATAAGTGCCAATAAAATAGGATGGAAGATCTATAGATCAATGGACTTTGATAACTATTGTAATTATTAATAATTATAATGATCTGTATGTACGTATTTATTTTAATTTATTCTTTTGTACGAAGATTGTTATAAACAAATATTATTATAAAATATTTTGACTGAATATTAATTAAAAATAATATAATTAGTGTAAAATTAGCAAATGCAGTCGATTCCATTTAATCGGGACATATCGGGAAGTCCAGATTAAGTGGCTGGCTCAATTATCCGAAGTTCTATTTCCATTTGTTATTTACTCGGTTTTGTTTCCGTTTATTAGAAAATATCCCTAATTCTCGCCTGTCCCGATTAACCGGTGTCACAATTAAGCGGATTTTACAAATTAAATAATTTTTATAATTTAAATATATTTAAATTGGGATCATTAAGAGTTTACGTTTCAATAAAAATTAACATTAAATTATAAACAAAAAATTAAAAAATGGATTTAGAACACTTTCAAAATAAACAGCTCATATAAATATTTAATGCCCTTTGTAGCAGTTGACTTTAAGTTTTTTATTAGTATTATTATGTATGAACATGTTTAATTTTTGTTTTGACTTTTGTAATAAATCATTAATAATAATTATTAAAAAATCTAATAACAACGTTGATTGTTTTCTTTCTTTTAAAATTAGTGATATAAGAGTGCATCATTATTAAATTGTATTGGATTTTGAATTCAAATAATCGAGTTTACATTGAACGTCAAATATGTAAAATTTAAATTGGATTTAAGCTGGAAAGTTTTAAGTTTAAGTTCGAGCACTTCGTCACTTACCTTCCGTTAAGCCGGTGATATCCCATTGTTTGGTCATCGTTGTATCGAACGGCAGACAGGAGGTGATTAGAGTGCTCGCCGTCAAGATCATTCACGAACTAGCTAATATTAAAGTAAATAAGTGAATTAAGTATCGGCTTATATCTATCCATTTCCATACACGAAAGATAAACAACCCTTCGTCGCATCCAGACTCGAAGATAAAGCGCTCACTAATCTCCCAGCAAGATTAGATATTATATATATATAATTCGCATTCGCGCTTACGTACAATTATTTGCAATTGACTCTCAATATTGGCATTTTAGCGGCTCGAATTACATTACATCGATTAGATTGAGGCAGGTTTCAGATTCTGTCGACGTTTTATCTTATTTATTTTTTTTGTATTTACACTCAACAACAATTTGCCGCACGATGCGTGTCTCAGTCGAATGCTCCTTTTTATTTATTTATTTCTTCATTTATTTATTTTCTACAAATTTCGTTTTCAACAAAATACATATATAATTTCCATCGATATACACGTGATATGTACATGCACCTTATTTCGAACGAACTAGCAATAATTATACTATTTTTCCATTCTGCTCGCTTCTTCATACTTATTTATTGTTGCTTATGTTGTGATGATGCACGATTAACATTACAACGTAATTTTTTATCAATAATATTCTCTTACATATTCAATAGATTAATCAAATATTATTTCCTTTTTGCGCTAGAAAAATAATATTCACATATTATTATTATTTATCTCTAAAATGTTAGGGTATCATTTGTAACCAGTTTCGTAATATTGTCGTTGGCGACCTAATTTTATGTTTCTCCAATAAATTAAAACTTATTATTTCGTTATATATATAATAAAAAACAAACAAATTAAATCACAGCCTTGTTCTGAAGAGTCGCGAACAATGAGATAAAATGTGCAGCGTTTCCCCACACAATATGTATATAATATTATTTACAGTTCGTAATTAGTTTAAAGTTTATTTTTTTTACAATATTGGTATCTCTAAAATTGATGGATTTTTTTTATATTATTCAGGTTAGTTAAAATTATTTTGGAAACGCTGATTTTTGGTTATTTAAATATATATTTTTTTGTGGTAAGAGTAATTATATTATTGCAAAATAATTAATCTAGACAACAAATTAATGTTTAATACAAGAACGAGTGTAGGTGTAAATTTGTGATGATCGTGCGAACTATGTTAATTGTTTTTTTTCTCTATGCAATTCAGAGAATTGAAGTTTACTTATGACCATTCTTGTAGCCAAAAACTTGTTGCATAGTAGTGTCATGAGTCAGGAACAATCGGTGCCAATCTACACAAACACCTTTCATTTTCTTTCTTTTATAAAACATACATTACAATTATTTAATATGTTCGAGCGCAAATTTGAACTTTTCGTTTATTGCATGTTGCATGCGTTGCTGTTAAACCGCGTCTTGTGCGATCCGAAACCGGAACAACATTGGTGCTGATGGTGACTGCTGAAGCTCTGGCTGTTTGGCATCTTCTTGCTCTTGCTCGGCTGTCGCGATTTGTCCGCTTTGGAGCAGAGGTTTCCTTCGCTCTTCGAATTCTTTGCTTCGCGTCCCAACTCGATGATTGTGTTGCGCGCCTGCACGTGGTTTGCTCTCTGGACGAGGACGCTCGGGGCCTGAGGTTGGACTTCATCCGACTGCTGCTGTTTGAATGCTTCGCCGATGGCGCAGCCGAAGATGTCGCCGGGATCATCGAAGCTTGGGCACAGGAACCTCATGTCGGCGAACGAAGGAAGTCCCGCTGATTCGCCGCGCGTCTGCTGCGGTTGGACGACGGGTATTTCGCCCTTGTGGACGGGCGTCTTGATCGGAGAATTCGCGATGCTTCTGCGGGCCACGTCCTGGAAAGTAATCGGCGAGTAGATTCCTGTTCTGCGGTCTTCCGCACTGCCGGTGCTCGTCGCTCCTCCATCACCTTCGACTTCCACCTCGCCAGCGGTCAAAGTCCGATTCAGGGGAGGCCGAGATTCCCTTCCGTGCAGCCAATACGTTTTCATCACACCTACAAACCAATTACAAACTGTTAAATTATCTTGTTACAAGGAATATATCTATTTACTTGGCAAGTATGGAAGTACCATAAAAACTAGTCTTGGATAATTTAATCTATTCAAGTAAACAAATTATTGTTTTGGAAATTGATGAAAATAATAATTTCATATTGTGATTAATAATAACTAACATTATCGTAATTATTAGCAAAATGTGTATAAATCATATTTTGTCGAAATACATTAAATACCGTGCTCGAAGGAAATAAGAAAATGTTAGCAAAAGAATAAGTATTATATAAATGTTTCTTTTTGTAAATGTGGTAATGGTTTAGATTAGATTAGTTTGCGATCGCTTCGAGTCTAATACCGCATTTGCGGTTACTTTGTTCCTGTTAATTAAACATTTATCAAGAAGAAAAAGCAACTTTCAAAAACTTTTTGATCCAAATTATAACTTTATTGGTAATAAGCGATTTTTGTTTATTTCTCACTTTTTTTCCTGTATGAAACCGGACTATTCGAGATCTTTAAAAGTGTATATAAATAAAATAATTAAATAACTCGTAATTTACTCGCAATATTTTCGATTAGTTTTGGATTGTCCTGAAGGTTTGCAAAGCTGAAAAGTTTTTAAACTGCAATAAGAAATTGTATTTTGTATGTACTCGCCTTTTCCTTTGACCTCGACTTCTCCTCTCTCGAGAACTTTGTACGACTCTGGCAGCAGCTCTTTGGTAGACTGGGAGATGTGGATTTTCATCGCTATACTCGTCGATTCCATCCTCGAAGCCGTGTTCACGCTGTCCCCGAAAAGGCAGTACCTGGGCATCTTCAGACCGACGATACCCGCAACAACCGCCCCCGAATGAACGCCAACCCTGATTTTCAGGTGATGACCTGAAAACACACAAAAAACGCATAAAAACAAAACCGTCGCTCACTTCACTTCGATCTGTAATGCACTTAAAGTGACAATAATGTATCTTCTTCTTAACCTGTTGAAGGGTCCTTCAGGTCGGTGATCGCATCGATCATGTCCAGAGCCATGTCACAAACTCTTTCCGCGTGATTCCCCTGCTTCTCCGGTGCCCCGGAAACCACCATGTAAGCATCGCCGATCGTCTCAACCTTTGAAAACAATAAAATTACATTTTAAACCACTTTTTCCACGCTCCTTTTTCTCTCTTAGGATACATATCGATCTAAAAAAGAGCAGACAATGAAACGGAGTGTGAGGAAAATAAAAATATGAAAGGGTCTTTGCCATATGATTTATGTCACGCGCGCGCGGTCCAAGACAGAAATAAATATATTTCTATTTGGGTTTATTATCCGCGCGAAAAGCGTCAAATCTTGACACCGTGTCGATTTTTTTTTGCAGTAATTCAATATCTATTCATCGCTCCAATGAGATCAAGTATCGTCTTGTCGCTGCCGCTACCTCACCACTGGAAATAGATGAAATGTTGAAAAGAGAGAAAAAGAAGAAAAAACGTATGCCGAGGGTTGATGGAATTAGCATAGTTTATTACACTCGCAGGACCGACGAAGGATCAATGATTTATAGCCGCTCGCTCTGATGCAATAATCCACCCCCACAAATTAGAAAAAGGAGTGCAAGAAGAACAAATAAATTCTCTGCACGCTTTTACATGCATCGTCCATATCTTTTGATAATCTACTAATGCAATTTAAAAAAAAAAGTACGAACTTACATCAAATATTTAAATTGTTCTTCTATTATTTAAATTCTTTATATAAATTAATAAAGCTTATATAATATTAATAATAAAAAAAACATAACTCTCTGATAATATAGCAAAATCCTGAATAACAATGAACGGATGAAATATGTTACACCGTTTCATAGACAACGGACGTGCATCATAATATTTCTTCGTCTCATTCAAGATTTATCACACGAAGAGTATTTCTAGATTTGAGTCGTTCCATCTAGGCTATGAACGAATGAAATTGGATGAATTTATTCGTGACGTTTCTCTAAATCATTTCAACCAAAATCAAATATATTAATAATGCATATTTTAAAAAATTTCGGTTACGGTCAAATCTGCGAATGGTACAAAATAACGTTTTGAGTTTCGTAATCATCGTTGATTGAAAGTAGATCAAGTGTTAAGGTGTGCGTTTGATACAACTCAGAAGTAGGTTACATTTTGTATTCACGTGAACGTCAATTTTTTGAACAATTTATACGTCCTAAATAGTATTTAGCGCAATACTAAACGAATAAATTGATAAATTTGTCAATTTGATTTCACCACTCACGTAAAATAGAAGTAAAATTTGTAAAATTTCTAAAGTGATTCAAATGAAACGTTCTTCTTTATTATAATAAACGTTATTTTTTGTAAAAAGCAGACTTGATCTACGAAACGATTCATCTTTTTCATATTGACATTGACGGAACGATTTTGAATTGTCAAGAGAATTATAGTACATACATTTTATAGATCAATACATCGTTTTCTTTTTATAATGCGAAAAGTTACAAATCATAATTTATTTTGAGTATTTAGAGATTAAGTTATATTTTTTTAAATATTGTCCAGACGAAATATGAAATATTACTATTCGAAATAACGTGATGATTTGTCATAGTTTCCGTACGATTTATTTGACGTTTCTCTTAATTGACGTTAAAATATTGATGTTGATGGATTTGAGGTTTACTTACTTTGTATACTTTATTGCGTTCGGTGAGGTTATCGAATATCGAGTACATTCCGTTCAGCATCGAGACGACTTCCATTGGAGTAATGCGACTGCAGATCTCGGTGAACGTGACGACGTCGGAGAAGAGGATTGAAACATTGTCGAACATCTGCGAGGAGCATAAAAGGAAGGAAATGCATGAGTTTTACTTGTTTTAGTAGGAAGGAATTTGTAACCTCGCACGTGTCGATTGGATTCTCCCCGGTGCGCAACCGATCTGCAACCTGTTTCGGTATCATCTGGTATAATAATTCATCCGTGCGACGCATCTCTTCATCTAATTTCCTCATGGATTCCTCCAACTTCTTGCTCTTCTGCTGCTCTTGATCAAGCGCCAGCTTCAGCTCTACCGATTGTTGCGTTCCAGCCAACATCAAATCTCTGAAGAAACATAAAAATATATTTTTCTTACCATATTTAAAAAAAAATATATTAAATTTCACCTGCTGAAATCGTGCATGGATAAATCGTTGATATATAGGCCGGAGTTGATGAGGGAGTTGAGATCTGGCATTACTGGAGTCCCCAGGTACATCATCATTTTCCAGTTATCCATGTAAATCATCTGACCTACAATTTTACAGTCGAATCACCTCATCTTCACGTTGCAATTACTTGACCTTTCAAACGGAGATTTTTCTCTTCGGGAAAATCGGACTCGTCATTCATTAGCAGCACCTCGTTGCGATCGGTTCCGTGCTTTTCGTTTAACACCGGCTCCACTGAGACCATCTCGAAGATGTTGTTTGTCCTATTAAGAATCTGAAAATTTCACATAAATCAACTCGTTTTATATCGTCAAGAAAATAATACGATCCTCTCACCGTCTGGAATTTGAACTCGATCAACGGTCTGACCAGATCGAACCAATTAGTGATCTTCTTTCCCACCACGTCCGGAAGAATCACCATCAGGGAATTCCCGATGCTTCTCACGATCATATCTGATCTAAACCAAACTATTTATCAATCGAACATACATAGCCCACAATATCAATCAAATTGTGACAGCTGACACTGACATTTAAATTGTCAATAATTGTATCGATTTCATGAATTCATTTCATTGTTTATTTATTAATATAAAATATATACTTATGAATCATTTTTTTACTTCAAAATTTCATCTCCAAATTTTGTTTAATCCCACAGCATTATTCAAAACGTTAAAACTGACATTTAAATAGTTAATAATATAACATAACATTTCTAATTAATCCATACATGTCATCATACATGACATACTTAATCTATTAAAAACAACGAGCGAATTGCAATATTTGTCAGATAATGCTTATTTCGTTGACTTCCTTCCACTTGAAACTATTCGAATAAGTACGTATTATATTTATAAATTGCATCCAGCTAACCGATAAACGCAGAGTATAGTATTATTATAAACGTTTCAATCTCTATCTCGCGCTCTCTCATACAAACACTTTGTTTGTAACTGTTATTCATGCATTATACGTGCATTTCAAAATAGATCCAATACAATTTAGTTTATGCACTTTATATCATAAAACTGATATTCTCCTATATCAGACGGTATTTTTTAATTTAGCTGTTGTTGTTATTTGTGCAAATTGTGTTGTAATATTTTGGAAATTCCTTTCCAGACACAATCGTCTAGGATTACTTTACAACGTCAACCCTAAAACGTTTATTCTGAGCGTTTCCTCAGATTTTCCAGTATTGATTTTTTAAATGTAGGAAACAGGAATTATAAATATAATTAAATGAAGGAATCAAAATAATTATTCTTGTTATTATGTTATGTTTCTATTATATTTGCAATAATCATTATTATTATTATTATTAAAAAAAATAATAGTTTTTATTATAAATTTTTGTTGGCACTAATTTCGGTCGAAATCTTTTTGCCCAATTAAAACTAATATTTAATAAAGTATTAAAATAATATTATATAGTTTTGATTATATAATATAAACTAATTCAACTTAACCCAACATTAATATATTTATAAGTAAATAAGCGTTACTTTAATTTGAAGATGAAAACTATAAAAAAATATTGAAGTAATTATTTTATGTAAAATGTTTTTTTTTTGTGCAATGTGCTAAAATGTCAAAAATGATGTTATAAGTTTAAAAATATCAAAAATGACATGTAAGTGTAAAAATGACATATGAATCTATTATATGTCGTATTAAGCTAATGTTTATTTAATTGATATTTATGGTATATTTTTTTTAGGTTTTCGAGTGAGGTGTTCTTACCCAAATACAACGCAGAATGGGAAGATCTCGAAGAGGGCAGACGCGCTGATCGGCAGATGTTTCTCTTCTCGTGTCATCGCCAGGGAAGCCATGGTGAAGGCCCTGTTGTCGAAGGTGAGTTGGAAGGTGACGTGGATCATATCGAAGAGGACCTCTTCCTTGACAAGATCGATCTTCATCTCCTTGTGGTAGAAGTGTCGCGCCACCTGAGGAACAAGACATCCAGATTGATGGGTAGTTCTCATCTAATCGACGCCGCAATGGTAATTGCCTCGCGTATCTGTCCCATCGTGTAGTAGACGAAGCCGCGTCTCTTGCTGCGATAGTGAAGTGTTAAGCCTTGTCTCGTCTCGTTCTCGCAGATGAAGCTGGGAGCCCTCATCCTCGGATACGAGAACTTCAAATACTCATGCAGATTGTCCAATCCGTTCAGGAAATCCCTCATGTGTCTACCCAATACGGACAGCACGCGATCGTACCCATATTGACTCACGAACCCGATGAAGAAGACGCCCATCTGATCGAAGAACTCCCTTTCACTCACATTCAAAATCTGTAACATTCGAAAAATCAGTACGCAATTTCATAAACTTTAACAAATATTATACCTTTATAGCATTTTTAGCCAACTTCGGGATCAAGTTTTCGGGGTAAACTTGATGCGTGCTGAAGCTGGGCTGATCCACGGACGCGGACCTCCTGATCTCCTCCCATTTTTCTTCTCCGTAAGTCTGCTTGATGTACTCCGACAAATTCTCCAAAATTAATCCGTACATCTTACCTACGATTTAGCACCTTCAATCTGCAACAATCAAAAAATAATTATATTAAAAACAACAACAACAAAATTATGCAAAAATTCCTTGTTTTTGGTCCAAGACTAGACAAACATGTTTTCGAGCATTGTCTCAGATAATTGTCGGTGAATTAGTAAAATTCATTGTCCATTGTTCGCCCACCGATAATTAGTTTAATAACAAACAAATAAGGCTAGTACAATTATTACTTAATTTAGTATTTTTTATATATTTGTTAACAGTTTGCAATAAATTCGTAGCATTTTCCATTATTGTTGAATGTAAATATGGGAAATGCGACGTGCACATATTTGCAGACCAAATCATGAGGTGTATTCGTGTGTGTGTGTGTGTGTACTGTATCGTTATCGCTTTCGTGGAATTCCCTCAATCGCGTTACGTTCCCGTCCTTTTAGTGCCATTCGATGTTTCCATGGTTACTTAACTTATTCTATAATAAGCGAGTATTTCGGCTGTGAAGTGAACTCTTTCCATTAATAGATTTATTTACCATTTGTCCGTTAATTATTTTGATAGATTTTGTTGTTTATTACGATTGCTTTTTATTAATGACTTTGCACCGGATTGAATAAGCAAATAGACGTATGTGGCAATTCGATTTTATCACAATAATTCATTGATTTACTTCAATCTGTATTATACTTTGCATCATATAAATATCTAGTAAACAATATTAAATTTATAACAAAAAATAGAATGTAAGCGAAATGAGTAATTTATTATTAGTTTGCAATATTATTATATAAAACAAACATTACAAATCTAGTAAGTTAATTTTAAAAGATTCAAACAAAATATGATTGCCTACTATTTGAACTATTAAATTTTCTAAATGTTAATTCCCTTAAGTCTCTTTTTTGCGATTTTAAAATCCTAGCTAAAGTAAACTGTATTTATAATGAGTAAAGACTAAACTGCGAAAGTATTAATGTTTTTGCAGCAGGATACGTACGAAGGTTTCATTGCATGATGTTCTGTGAAAACCATGCGGTGAACCAAAATCAAACGCACAAAGATCAAAGAAAAAGATTGCGTTATCGAAGAGAGAACCACGGCAATCGATGAGGAAAAATAGAAACACGCGCTAAAAGGATTCGCATCCGACTGAAATTATTCCGAGACCAGTGAAAACAGAGTGAAAAATACATCCGAATCCAGAGTATTTTCTCTGGAAATAAAGATTGAAGAGAACAGACGTTGAGAAATATTTCCACTCGCTGCGAAATCTATTTAATTCCGCTCGTAACAAATTGCCCTTTGCGTGTCCCATCTTTTGCGACAAGAGTAGTTTAGTCGTCAAAGTGCCTTTCTGAACATCTCAGAATTTGTTACAAAGATGACTGCAGACTACATCAAATTGCATTGTTTTAGATTTATTTCACTCGTTCAATTGTGTAACAAAATTTAATTAAGGACTTTGGTCCAGGGCAGCGGTTTCCAACCTTTATGCTACTACGCCTCCCTTACCTTTTATTGTTTTATTATATTAAATAATATAGACTCATTTTATTTATTTGAACATTTTATGGTATAAAAATTAATTTATTAAAAAAAATTGGCGCCTCCACTGCCAATAGTTTGCACCCTGGGAGGAGAGCCTCGCAGGTTGGAAACCGCTGGTCTAGGGACTAACGCCTCTTTGTATTTACTCTTTTAATTAAAATTATCATTTCGAATTCAATAAATTTCATTTAACTACTAAAATAACATTAATAATAAGTAGAAGTATTAGTCCTTGAAACTAGACTAACAAATTTCGAAGGATAATGTGAAAAAATAGGAAGGAATACATAAAAGAAACTCGTCCAAAGAAGTCGGGCCTCTTTATGATATAAAACTACAGCAAACTGCAATAATCATAACGGAATATGAACAATTGAATTAGATGATTCTCAGCATGATAGTGGATAAACTAACTAAATTATTAAAATTTAGTTTTCTCCAGTTAAAATTTTATTAAAACTAAGTTCTCTTCAAATGTATATAATAAATATTGTATTTTCTTTTCATTGAAATGTATCTAAAAAAATATACAAATTATGTCTTTAGAAATCTTAAATTCGTTTTTGTGTGATAGATTGGTATTTTTGAGTAAAAATCCGGATATTTTGGAATGGATTATACTCGTTAAGCAAGGTTCCAGTGTATTAATTTCAATTTATAAATATTTAATTGAATTATTTTCCTTTTAAATTATTATTGTTTTTACATAACATGGTTGCAGAATTAACTTGTCACCGCTTAGTGTTTAAATCGACAAGTATATGTACTTGAAAAGTTACTTGTCAAGTAAATGCTTTTAAATTGTATATTGCAAATTTATACGCTTTGTAATTTAGTGCCTGAAAGTTGTAATTAAAAAATAATACTAAAATAATATTTAGTCAGTGGCTCTTTGCATCAGTTGACTTTTTTTTAATTATATATAATTAATATTTAGTCTTTAATGATTTATTTGTTATTTTTATAATTAGTTACAATTTGATTTTTTGGTTGGCAATAACTGCTGATTCTTAGTGAAGAATGGTTATCGTTTCCATATAAGGCTATTTTTAAAATAATCGTCTAATTTTTATTACATTCTTATCGATTGTGCAAAACGAACAAAGTTTTGAGGCCATATTATCGTACGCAGCTATAGCTGATACATCACGATGGAAACAAGTTGCGTTTTTGTAACCATATAAGGATTGTTTAAACGTTTTACCGGATTGATCACGACGCACATGAGACGCGTCTTCTGAACCATATAAGGATTTGTTTAGTATTCGCAGTTGTTTTTCGCAACGTTTTGACGGTTCCTGACAAACAAGATTTTTATATAAATTCTTATGTGTTAAAATTGTTTTGCTTTTCGACAAATGTAGTTTAGTTAAGAAAGACTAAGTAAATTTAGTGAATAATTAATATTTAATGTAAATACAATAATTTATCTAAAATCAAGTTATTTTTAAGGAATACTGAAAATTTAATTTAATGTGATTACAAAAATATTATAATTTCATTATGAAATATGAAGTAGCTTAACTATAAGTAATATTTAACTCTTTATTGATTGCGTAAACAGGATCGGTTTGTTTAGAATTGATTTAGTAAAAACAGCAGATTAGCTGCAACGTAGTCATTAATCAAAAGCGCTTTGAGACGGAAAAACAAAAGAGAAGGAGATATCCGGTCCCGATTGCGGAGCCAATGATGTACAAAAGCAAGTGAGAACGGATTTGTACGGTCTATTGCAAAAAAATAATTAATCGATGATTCTGGGAAAATTACGGTGTCAAAAGTTTTTGAATTGTTATCACGCAATTTCCACGGAATTATCGGAAAATGGGTGAAGGGAAAAAGGTAAGTGGGTTTGATGATGCGTATCCGAACGTTGGCTGCATACCAAAGAGCGTCGTAACTCGACCTTCTTCAGCTATTAGCAGACGATGCTTGGGTCCACACGAAAGGCAAATTGCGGTGGGAATTAATACTGTCCCACAAAGAAACTTTACTACCCAAACAAAGAGGCGTGAAGCTGGAGATGTGGTATAAATGCGACCACAAAACACCTTTCTACTCGTGTGGATAACATACGCTGCGGGATTACGGAGAGAGAAATAGGAATAAAATAAAAAATAAGGCGAAGAGAGGAAAAAGGAAAAACACTTTTCGCTGCGATGACGACCTTCGCCGGGGACGCACCGAGTTTTCAATTCCATTCCAGTTTTTTAGGAAATTGTCTTCTTCGGCGCTTGTATAAAATTCATTACTTTAAAAGGATTAAATTGGAAAATGGTCGATCGAAGGTTTGTGTGTATGTGGGAGGGTGAGGAGTATTCTTGAAACCTATACCGGATGCAATCAAATCCTCTCGCAGACTCGACGATTTTCACTCCGCAAAACTCGATTATTGCTGCTCCTTGCACCCGATAACAATCTACATTATTGGTGTTTTCGCCTCAGATGAAAAGCGGGAATATCTATTTCCACTTCATCCCCGTCCTCGCCTCTTAACATTTTACAACCGTATTTATTAAATTGCCGGAGGGGTGAAAACACAAATACCCAGCGCATCTACGCACACAAACTAAATGAAGGTCATTTCATTCTTCTTTATAATTTCCTTTACTGCCGTTATATAAAGATTATTATTATTATTGGCGCTGTCATTATGCAAATGATGGTTTTTACAAATAAACTAAAAGTTTAATTGCAAGTATTTAATTAAATTTTTGTACTTTGATATCGAAAATTTTATTTTTTGAGTAATTTATTAACCAACCGTCATATGATAAAATAATAATTTAAACAAAAAAAAAACCTATTGTTATAAAAAATATTTCTATGAATAACAAATTTTTAATTTTATTTAGACTTACAAATTCAGCAAATTTAATTTAAAAAAAAATGATCCTTAGGACTAGACAAAAATTATGAAATAATGTAGAATAAAAATGTTAATATTTCAATATACGCGTAAAAACATATTTTTCACAATGGTCTTTAAGAAATTTTGAACTTAACAATATTTTAAATTTGTTGACCTCTCACAAAAAGTAATCTACTGTAAAATATAACATATTTAAAAAATGAAAATTTAATATTTCAATAATACCCCGGCGTATCCACATAAAAATGAGCGAAGATAATTAAATTCCTTTTGTTTTCTTTTGCGGTCGTTATAAAATAAAAATAATGTTTTTAACATTAATGTTCTTACATTAGATATTTTTGTTTTCATTTTTACCAAAAAAAATATCCATATAATAAGTTAATTATTTCATTACTGAACCTGGCGCATCCACAACAAAAACATAATTTACATTGTTGAATTATTTTTGTGTTCTTTTATGACCGTTACGAAACTAAATATTATGAGTAATCTATTCTATTCTACATTTATTAACAAATTATAATTAATCTAAGTCTTCATAAAAGATTAATAGTAAAATTTAATCTAAAAAATTAATTGAAGAAAGATATGTGTTCCATCGGGTAA